GACTCTTACCGAAATCACTTCAGCCGAGCAAAACCAGCAACAAAGACCATTACACGCCCCGCCTGAGCTGGAGAAAACTTGCAGCCAGTTAAACAAAAAAATACACACACACACCCACACAACTGTCGACCAACTTGAAACCGATACGAGAAACAACCTTTCTGGACCTCGTTGCTGTTTTAAATGTGCTGCTCGTTAACAGCCGAGGTACTCGTGCTGCAACAACAACAACTAAATACATATGCCTCCATATACATACATATAGTTTACCAAGGACCGCGCCCAGGTGGGCAGACACAGTCAAAGGTTCTGTGTTGCTGTCCAGGCGAATGAACTCCATTCACGAAAAAAGGGTCAATTGCTCATGTGTGTGTGTGTGTGTGTGAGTGTGTTGATATTGACCAAGTAGAAAGCTGGACTTGCCTCCTTTTAAAAATTTTCAATTTTTATGCGGTATTAAAAAATAAAATATGCATTATGTTGTTTTATTCGAATTAAATAAAATCTTGATTCAATGAATATCAAATCAACACATCTGAGTTCTTTACGAACCGAAGAATAACATGAAAAGAATATATTTTTTATTATTTGGTAACCTCTTTTTATAATTTAATTATTATTATTTATTTTTTTAATTTTTTATATATGCGATATAAGTCGAATTCCGTCGGGATTCGTATTGAGGGGTAGATTCACAGCGTCCATCTAGTCGGCTGTGGAGCTTAAAACTCCGATATGATTCGTAATAGATCCAAATATATGAGGAAAAAAAACACTCATGGAACCAACATGTTTAAAGTAAAACGAATATTTCTATTCAAACAGAATGCTCAACAGATCAGAATATATTGTTTATTTATTTATTTTTATTGTATTCTCTTTTTTATAATAATTTTAATATTTTATTCACACAACACCCTTTTCATTTCGAATTTTCAATTAAATAGTTTGGCCAACTTTTTCTATTTTTGGCAGACAAACACACAGTCACATGTGTGTGTGCTTGGTCGAATCGATTGCACTATGGGGTCATGATGTGGATTGCCTCATGACCTGCCTCGACGCTGCTCTCTAAATTTGTTTTCAATTAACCTGAGCATACATGCATACATATTTACATAGGCAGAGGAACACCTGCCCACTGATTGAGCGAGTGGCTCAAATTAAGTTTTGGCTTGGCCAGAATCAACAAGCGCAGTCGAATACAGGAAACTAAATAGAAACCGCACCTTCCGCAACAAATTGAAGTGTTTTTCATTCAATTTTTGCACACTTTACATTCGTTGGAGCATTCGACAAGCTTAATAGGAAATGCTGCTGCAAGCACTAAAAAAAACATGATATCTTGCGAAAAACAGCAGTAATATTTCATTCCAGGCATGTATTTTCTTCAACTGGTCAACTAAAACTTTTGTCGAGAGAGAAAAAGTTTATTTTTGTCAAGTTGCTCAACTCAATAAATTGATTTTGATTCTTTGATAAAAAAAAGACTTTCAGTGATAGTACAGCAGCAAAAGGGTACAATGATATATTTTGGCAACAAAAAAGGTCAACACATTATAAGCCATGTGTATAAAAATGATAAAATAACAACAAAAAAACACACACAACTAGTCAGCATTTGAAGAGTTCGTGATGAGTCATGATGGGAGAGGCGGCGTGTGAAAAATAAAAAAAACACTCAAAGTCACAGGGCTAAATAGCAAACAGAAATAGCCAGACAGGAAGAGAAGAGATGGGTGTTTAGTGAAATGGCAAAAATCGCTTGGCCTTCTTGTCTTGGCCAACAAACATAGACTCAATCCACTAAACGGACACATGGACAAAGGCAATTGTAATAAAAAAAAAAAAAACAAGAAGAAAAAAGCAAACAATACATACATAAATTGATTTCATGACTCGTTGCTACAAATAGGGGCAGGTGCTGTGCCAGGCAACTAACGACTGTGTACTTAGCCCAGGGATAGGGGTCGAAGGGGGTCGAAGGGCATCCATTGTGTTGCAATGCAGCAGTCATTAAACTCAAGTGTAAAGGCCAAAAACAAAAGCCAAACAACAACTATTATATTTATCTATATACTAAATGCTCTTCAAGTTTGAAATTGCTGGGCGCTGTGTCTGTATATCTTTAGAGGTAAAGTTTTTCATGATTGAATCTAAAATGTTTATTAGTTCTTTTTAGGGAAGAACATCTTTTTAGCAAGTATATTTTAAACAAGTTAGATTAATTTCATTCGTCAAAAATTTAACAAATTTGTTATTTATCATCTGAGCAGTCTGAACAACTCTACAAGTCTTTCTCGTTTTCTAGAGTATACAAATTCAATAGGCAGCAAAAAAAGCATACAACAAATGATGAGCAACAAGGTAGAGCTTTGAAAAGATACACACAAATAAAACGATGAGCAAGAAGTTGTGAAGAGAGAGACATAGACATATAGAGAGAGAGAGAGAGAGAGAGAGAGAGAGAGAAGAAAAAAGAAGAAAGAGACAGTTGTCGAACAGTAACCCAGAAAAGGTTTAACTTTAATAACTATGCATATATGCAAACTTGTAATAGTATTAGAGCGAAAAAAATCCCAAATGCAAATGGTTAATTATTTGTTTTCATTCTCCTTATCAACAAAAACAGTTAAATACAAATAATAATAAAAATAAAACAGCCCACACATTGTCAAACCCTTATCAAATTTTTGTGTTTTTTTATCGCATGATTCATTCGTTGACTGGGTTTTTTATTTATTTCTTTTATATATGTATATATTTATACATATATATCAACAATGAGCTCTTAATAACTAATTAATACAAAGTACATAAATAGTCTTCTGTGATGATTGTGTCAGGTTTTTGATGGGCAGCCTGGTCAAATTGATGACTCAACAGTTATAATCGAAACACTCGTAAACATGGGTGGTGCATGTCTAAGTCCCATTAGGGTCAGTCGGTACATGTACATATTCAGTTCGAGAGGCGACAGGATGTCGGCGAAAATGATATATTTTGGAGCGTGGTTTATAGATTAATGAATTATGGCTGGTTAAACGAGCTGATATAAAAAAAGGGATTTCTTTGGTGAGTGAGTACTGAGAGAGATTTGCGTAAGATGACTGAACAAAAACTGACTGCAAGATCTATAAATACGAAATGAACGTCAGTAGTCAGTCAGTTACTCGAACTCTAAAGAGCAAGACCCGAAAAATGACTCGATGGGATGAGATCACCTCATCAAACAGATTCTTTTAGCGAAAAATATCAAAGTTGTATATGTAAAAAGTAAAACGGGTAGAACAAAATGTGCAAATTGTGTTTATTATTGTTGTTGTAGTTGTTGAGTGTAGGTCGAACTTCAGCGTATGAGAAATTCATTAATAACACATGAAAATAATACTCGAATCCGGGTTATCTACCCGTTTATATACTATATTTTTCATATAGCTAAACCAGGTGGTTATTCAGTGACTTTGGACAGACTGTTGTCGACAATCATTCTTATTTGCTACTTTTTTAGATTGCATTTCGCCGTCTTCAAAGCTAAAAGTAAAAGTACTCGAATTCGGCTACATATTGCTTATATACATTTTTCATAAGCCTAAAAAAACTGATTGTTTAGAAACGTTTTTGCTATTTAAAGGCAAAATCTAAACTCCAAGTATATAATAATAATATGTTATATCTTTGCCAGCCTACAATGCTATACCGCTGCGAATATATTTTCTACATTTATATTTATTGCTTTGTTTTAAAAGCTTTACTCCATCTTAATTGCTCAATTTGATTGTTCATAAACCTAACCTCAGCTGCAAGTAAAATATATAATTATATGTTTGCCAGCATGACATTAAAATTATAGCATTTATTTGTATTTATTGTTTTCTATTATAAACTTTTTCCCATCGCGAATGCTCAGCTCAATTTACGAGCAATCCAATGATTGGCACATTAACTCTCACGAACCCAATTAGCATAGTGCTCTACACTCAATTGCACTCATAATATTAGTGTGATTATTATTCAGTTTATTGTTATAGAATATTTGATAGATGATTATGACGCTTAAAGTGCGCATTAGACAAAACTAACCGACAATTCCGCGATCTCACAACATAAAGAAAGCAATACATATGTGCAAAACACAATATGACAGCATTCATGAGTAAAATTTCAAATGCGACAAAGATTGAGGCGGAGGAGAAAACGAGGCATTTGTCGTTTTTTTTTTTTTTTTTTTTTTTACTGTTGTATATATGTATATACTTAAGTGACTAAAAAAAAAAAATATATATATATATATATAGTATTACTCACCTCAGTTGGGAGAATGACGCTTGGCAGCTGCATGTGGAGTAGCGTTGAGGCTGAAATCTCTTGTTCACTTTGGGATTCATACGTATTTTCTTTTTATTTATTTATTTCTTTTATCGTATTTCGTTTTGGATTTAGATTGTTTAGCTGTTTTTGTTGTTGTTGTTGGCGAGGCTGGACGGCGGAGTCGCGTTTATGTTTTTTTCTTTTTATTATTAGATGTTACAGTGGGCTTGATAAAACACATTGAATGAGGTAAAGGTTAAAGCAGCATGATTAACTGCCATAATACGAAGTTGATTTCGTTTCGACTCGTTTGCGCAACAATCGACGATGCTTGTGTTTTTAGCGTGCTGGTTGTTGTTGTGGTTGTTGCTGGTTTGTTGTTATTGGGTGGCAGTTGTTGCATATCGCATACTCTCTCGTTTAGTGTCAAGTGAAGAAATGATAGAAACGTGCACGCGTGCTTCTTGCAGTTGCATTCGCAGTGGAGTAGAAATTTATTGCTCTGCTCTGCTCGTTGTTGTTTTTTGTTTGACTGTTTATTTGTTGTTTTCGTTTTTGTTTTACTGTGCTTAAAAAGTGCAGTTCCTACGTAAGCATACGCATTGCTTTCGTTGATTCCGTTAATTAGTTTAGTTGTGTTAGTGTTGCAAAACATTTCATGTGTATTGTTAAGTTCAGATTTCATTTTTAGCCACTACAAAAAAGTCTTGTTATGCTTAGGCATGCTACTTGTTTGCTTTGATACTATTTTATTGGCATAGGTTTTGGGTTTTTTTTTTTGTTTTGTTGTTATATTGTTCGCAAATCAAATAAATTATTAAAAATAATGTTTTGGCATGCAGTTGAGTTTTAAGCAAACAAACAGAAAAGAATCCAAATTGCGTGTTTCGTTTGTTGTTGGCGTGGTTAGTCATTGGGTGAGGGGGGAAATGCAAAACAAAAAAAAAACAAAAATAGAAAAAATAAATAAGTGAGTTAATATTGAAAGGAGAATTATTTTTGTGGATGTGTGTGTGTGTATGTGTGAGAGTGTATTAATTGTGTTTGAGTGAGTAAGCTTGAAACTAATGGAAGGACAAATTTTTGAGCGCTATCAGCAAACAATTTTCCAAAATTCTTGAACCCAAATAAACAAGTCCAACAAGTTGACTTTGTTGCCAGCAATTTTGTGTTGATGTGCAGATAAAATCATTAAAAAATCAACGGAAGTGCAACGAAAAAAAACAAAAGAGGGAAAAATAAAACCCGTTTAAATGGAGATAAATGTTGGACATTTATTTGCGCAACAAACTATTTTTTATCAACTCCAAAATTACAGTTAACCATTTAATTTGAGTCTGGCATTTGTTTGAGGGTCTTTTTTGTGGTATTATATATATAAATATATATATATCTTTATAGTCAAACAGCTTCCTCAATTGATATATATATATATTTGTATAGAGCATGTTTTATACGAGTTTTCTTTTGTCATTTGTGTCGCATTAGCTAAAAAATCTCTGTGTTTGTTTTTTGTTTGTTTAATTAATGTAATGTGCATTCCATAAATGTGAACACGATTGGGTAAATAGCATTTAGTAAATAGTCACTATAGTTATTATATATATGCATGTGTATATCTCATAATAATAATAATCTTTTAATAAATATTCAAGAAGTTAACTAGATTTTAAAATACATAGCATTTGCATGAGATTTGCGTACTGAGAGATTTTGTTTTCAGTGTGTGTGTGTGTCTCTGTGTATGTTTGTGTGCGTGTGTGTCTCTGTGTATGTTTGTGTGTGTGTGTGTGTGAGGATCTACAAATATAAGCATTGAGATTTAGCAAGAATTTTATAGGCAAAATGCGAGAAACCGAAACGAATAACAAAGTATAAAGAATGGATGGTTTTTAAATATGTATGCAAAGTAAATCTACTAAAAACTGGTTTCTCTTTTTGTTTTTCTGATGTCGCATTTGAAGTTTGCTTCGCATTATAACAATAATCAATACAATTTCATGATTCTTTTGCAATTACTTTTGTTTCGTTTTCGTTTTGTTTTTTTTTTCTTTTGATTTTGTAGTTTAATATTATTCTTATTACTTTTTAGCTAAATATGTATGTGTTTTATAGAGTTTCAATAGCCACTTTGATCATATATATATATGTGTGTGTGTATGTGTGTATATTTATGTCTAATATGGTTTTTAGACTATAATTATGTGCCTTTTGTTTCGGTTTGTTCGGTTCTGCTTTTTTCTTTTTTTTACTTAACCTGGCTTTACTTTGTGGCTGGCTAATTAAACGATTGTGTTTTCTCTATATATATATATAAATATATATTAAACTGTATGTGTATGTGTCCATGTGTGTGTGTGTGTGTGTGAGTTGAGCATTGGGATATGCATATATCCTTTGCCCAGGCGGCTGTCTGCATAAATAACAACAAATATTCGCAATTTGCCGCTAGACTCTCAAGGTTTCTAAACTAATCATACAAATTAGCTATATAATGCATTTGTAATATATATATATAGAGCCTAATGTATCAAGTGTGTGTGTGTTGTGTGTGTGTGTGTAAGTGTGTGTGTACATATATATATATATATATATATATATTAGCTCACTGGCAAGGGCCGCTCTCTTAACTGTTTAATGCGCTTTTAGGTATTACACATATATTTTTGAATCAATTCTGGGTGGGTTGCACAACATCCTAAACAGACATCGAGTGTGTATGTTTGTCTCTGTTTGTGTGTGTATGTGTGTGTGTGTGTGTATGTATATGCTTGTGTGTATAAATGTGTGTGTTAAGTAATTGCATCAATTTACATGAAATAACTGCTAAGATATGCAGCCGCTAAGATACCCAACACAGTCAAGCATATCAGTATCATGATCTTCTTTCGTCGCGCTTTGCTTTGATATTTGAGCGCCTTTTTGGTATCCTGAGTTGCTGTCTGCACATAGTCCATAGCGTGCTCCACATGATACTCAATGCGATCGATCATCTCGCCCTGCGACTCCACCAGCATTGCCATGTCCATGAACATGTCGTGCAGCTCCTTGATCGATGTCTCCAATTTCATGATATCCGCATGCCGTGCCTCGATATCGGCCAGCGTTTGTTTTGCCTGCTGCGTTTCCATGATGATGCCCTGCGTGAACACGGCCGGATTGCCCTGCTCCAACATATCCTCGAGCTCCTCGTTGGTGGTGGCACGACCCGTAATCTCCAGCTGACGTTGTATTCTACCCTTGCAACGCTCCCGATAATCGGTCTGGGTGCGATTGTATTCGGTCATCACCTCGACAAATTTACGCGACAGCGTCGAATGTTGGGTTTTGCGTATACGCAAATCGGCCGATGATTTATTCTGTTGCTCCTCCTGTTCGATGTTCTGCTCGATGCCCTTGAGTTTGCCGCGTACACGATTCGCGTTCTTCTTGATGTCGGCCATTAGGTCCTCCAGCTCTTGTTTGGTCTTCTCATCCGATTGCGGTGCGGACAATATGGCCGAATGCTTCTTTTTCACCTCCTCAACGTTGTCCTGCACCTTATCGATCATGCCCCGTATCTCCTCCACCTGGGCAAAGAAATCATCCATATACGAATCATGGCCATCCACATTGACGGCCACCTCCTCCGATTCCTCATCGTCCGACTGGGCGGCATGCAAGGCGGCTAATCTGTCTTTCGTCATTTTGCGCTGACAGTGTCGTTGTTGTTGTTCTTCAAGCAGGAAGCAGGCGGAGTGCTGATAACGCTATTTGATTTTTGTTGTTTGGGTTTTTTGTTTTTGTTTTATACGATTTTAGATTTTTTGTGTTTCCGATGTCGATTCGTTAATTTTCTCTTAGTTAACAATTGCAGTTGCACATTTACCGTTTGACGCGGCGAGCTTTTTACGTAAGCTTTTTTTTATAGCGTTGTTGTTGTTATTTCGTTTCGCTTAGCAGAGTTAATTGCCAAGTTTTTTTTTGAAGCGTTTATGTTTGTTGCTCAACTTACTTTTGAACTTTTTGTTATTTCTTCTTTATCTTGTTCTTCGTTTGCTGCTCTCACAAAGTAACTATTGATTTTTCGTAGATTTTTGTGGCCGCTAAATGGTTTTTCGCATGCAGCGCGTGGCCTAAATAAATACTTCTCACTTGCCCTTTTCGTTTCGTTTGGTTTCGGTTCGTTTTGTTGTTTGTTGCTGCGCTGCTTTCTTCTGTCTGGACTTGTCTACTATTATTTTTATGTTTAGTAATAGTAATATATGCAAACACACTACATATATATTTTTATATACATATATTTAATTCTTTGGCTGTCGTTTTTCTTTTTGCCACTATTTTTTTCGTGTGTGTTTTTTGCTCAAGAGAGCGGGCGCCGCCAAAGAGAGAGCGACGACAACGACGACGACGGCGACGACGACAGTAACAGCAGCAAACACAAACACCTCAATGCCAGGCAGGCAGAGCGAGCAGCAGCAAGTCAAGTCAAGTCGAGTCGAGTAGTGAGCAGCGGCAACAACAAAAACGTTAAATTATGACTCACGACGACAGCAACAAGAAATAGCGTTTATATACCACGCACATACATACATATTATATATATGCACAGATAAATTTGAACAATGCGTAGGATTTTTTGTGCATGAAAAGCTTTTTAGCACAATTTTTTTTCTTTTTCGTTTTTATTTTGCACTACGTCGTTTAATCGCTGACTAAACCGATCGACGTTTCTTTACCGTTTACCAAACACGCATTCACATTCACACAGTCAAAGTGCGCGAGTGGTGGGTGGGGCAACAGCAGCAGCAACAGCAGCGGCAGCAGCAGCGTGCGTCGGGTTTTGGCATCGGTTTTGCCGAGATCGATTCACGTTGCAGTTAAATTGTCAGCAGTTAATTCTCACAGCAATGCGTAACTGCAGCGGTAATGCGTTTGCATCTGCTCTCCTCGTCGTTTGCACATTCAAAAGAATTTCGGTTGAGGTTGACTTCCTTCGTACGCGAAACACGTACGAAAATGGGCAAAAAAAAATCGATTTCTGCGCAGGGCTCCAAATGGCGGCTCTCTTCTTCTTTACCGCTTATTTGAGGGAGGGGTGCGGATGGAGGGCTAACTGTGACGTTATGGTTGCTTTTGGCAACGGCAACACGCGCGCGAACGGCAAAGGGGGCGGGGCGGGGGGTACGATTTGTACGGTGGGCGTTTTTCTCTTTGCGTTCCGTTTTGTTGTTTTATTTTCGTTATTTTGCGTGTCGTCTGCTTTGTATGTGTATGTGTTTGTGATGTTTGTGTGTGTGTGTTTGTGTGAGAGAGTTTTAGTCGGCGGGCAGTTCACACATTCGCATTCGCTTTGGTCTTCTCGCCGCTACTGCTGTGGGTGGCAAACATCCATTCACTCGCACTCGCACTCTCTTCTCTATCTCGCTCTCTCGCAAGAAAGCTCGTTTGTTCTCTCTGACTGACGTTTGTGTGGCTTGGATTTAGTTATGTATGTCGCCTATTGTTTTACGCGCACGTCGCTAAAAAGCACACTCGACGCGTTGCTGGCTCTCGTCAATCTGAAACACGCGTCGCCTTCCGGCGCTGGCAAAACCGAGAAACTGCTCTGGCTGCGCTTGAGTGTGTGTGGAATATGTGTTGAGTGCGATTGCGCTGCTCTGTTCTCCTTTCATTTATCTTTTTTGCGTTTGATTTATAGTAATTCGCTTCTCTCTCTCTCATTTACAGACGCACACATGCGAGAGGCAGACGCAGATGCGGCAAAGTTTTTATTGCTTTCATTTCGTTTTTAATTCCTGGCGATCACTTTCCATCAAAATGTAAATTGTTTTAATTCAAAACGCTGATTGCACAATTATTAGACCGTTGCGAAATGTTGCAATTTTAAGCTTTTTTTGGCGTTTTCTTTTGCTGCTCTTTTTCTTGTTTTCACTTTTGTTGCGACACGACGCCTAAAACAAAAAAATACCAAAAAACGCCTGACAGAAATGTACAAAATAATACCGAAAGCGCTTGCATTACGTCAGTGCTCAAATGCCGCTCATAACAGCGACAACAACAACAACAACAGCAGCAGTGAGCAGTAATTCGGTTTGTTTGTGGAACATAATTTTTGCACTGTACGTCTCGCACTCTCATTCGTAAATGAACGGCATGCGCTGTTTTATGAATGGAAGCCGGTGCTTGCAATTAAAACGATTAAAGATCTGCAGCTGAAAGAGAACTTTTACATGTGCAAATATTTCAAATGCAATTGGCACTTGGCAGAACCGACAATAAAAACAGTTACATATATAAATATAAACAAACGCCAACGCATGTAAATAAACGGCACGGTTGTCTATCGATAACTAATCGATATGCACACTATGCCGTTGTGTAGCACTGACGAACGCGCCAAAATTTGACACTCGGCACTTTGAATATGGCTTTCAGGCAATTTCAATATTCTCAGATATTTAAGAAAATATATATTGGATTTGATGGACTTACCGGAAACTTTGTTTGCAGCACAATACCGCAGATTTCATCGCCAACAAGAAACTGCTCACCGAGCATTGCCATGCAAACGTTCTCCCAGGCCCGCTCGATTTTATTCTTTCGCAATCGTATTACCCATTGTCCGCCTTTACTATTCGCCGGATCCTCCCACATTGGCTTGATGCCCTGTTTGAAGAGACTCAACTCCCGATAGGGCTTCAGCGACGTTGGCCTAATGAGATGCGAATAGAGTGACCACCACTGCTGCACGCTGGCACAACGCCCAACCACGTGCAGCGATTTACTATAATCACTAGCAGCCCGTTGCGTTCCCTTGCGCGAGAACCACAGGCAATATGTGTGCTGTAGGCGGTTCTCGTTCGGCCCCACATCCAGTGGGGGCAATTTGTCCACATCTATCTCGTTCTCCACATCGCTGTCATCGCTGTCGACAAGATCCGGCCAGATTTTCCTGTAAGGCAATTTAATTTGATTAGTTTAGATTCGTACATCAAGTTGAAAGTTTTAAGCCCACACACAAAACATCCCCAACAACATAACAAATCTCTCATAACTGTCTAAGCAAACCTGAACTCGAAAAATTACCATACAAATATATATATGTACTTAATTGAAATGAAGCTATCCATACGCACACTGGACCAGAAGACCATCACCTTTGAGCTGAACGATGCCAGCGAGAAGGTGCTGCAGTTGAAGCAACGTTTGGTAGCCTTGCCAGAGATCTCACAGCCGGTGGAGAATCTGCAATTGATCTATGGCGGGCGCATTATGCAGGATGATCACAAGCTGATCGATTATAACATAATGGAGGATAAGATTATAGTGCTAATGACCAAAAAGGTGCAGGAAAAAGAGCAGAACAAGCAGCAGCAGCAGCAACAACCTGCTCCTCCAACTCCTACTCCCGCTGAAGTGCCACGCCCCTCGCTAACGCCCGATGAGCAGCGTGTGCGTGATCTCATACTGATGGGCTATGAGGAGCAGGATGTGCGTGCCGCATTGCGCGCCAGCTTCAATCATCCCGAGCGTGCCATCGAGTATTTGATCACAGGGATTCCCAATCAGGCTGACCAGCAGCAAACAACAGCTGGAAGCCACGATGGAGCTGAGGTCAGCGAGGCAGCCGAGCGTCTCAACTATTTAGCCACTGATCCGCGCTTTGCGCATGTCCGTGATTTGGTGCGTCAGAATCCAGAGCTGCTGGAGCTGGTACTGTCACATCTGAGGGAAACGGATCCAGCGGCCTTCGCGACCATACGCAACAATCAGGAGGAGTTTGTCAATATGCTCAATCAGCCGACGGCAGCCGACCTAAGCAGCGACGATGAGGCGGCCGTGGAGCGTCTAATGGCGCTGGGATTCGAGCGGGATGTCGTTGTGCCGGTCTATCTGGCATGTGACAAGAACGAGGAGCTCACTGCCGATCTCCTCTTTCGCGACACTGACGAGGAGGATAACTAGGCTGGCGCTCTTTTTGTGGCAAGCAGGAGCATAACTGACATATTTCAAGATTCTAGCAGAGAGTAGATCGTGATATTTTTTTTTTAAATTTTAAAATGCTAACTATTTGAATATGTTTTAGAATGTGGTAGTCTTAAGTACTCACGTGACGTGACATATTTATCATACTTTCTATCTTTGTATCTAGAATTGAATTCTATTTGCAGAAATCCTAGTTTTGAACATCAAAATTTATTTACATAATAAACACAATTTTCTCTAAATTAATTTCAAGGGATTTTCGAAAATTATGCACCTAAATGATTATTAAACAAATAATAGTAAGAAACTGAATCAATAATAAGAATTCATAATTGAAGGCATCAACTTTAAATTCTAGATAAAAACCGAAATCAAAATCTGCTCAAACCAAAATGACTCCTATAAGTTTAACTGTCCGTATTCAATAATGATATCAGATAAATATTATTATTATTATTTTGTTAGAGGTTGACTCTGTGTATAAATAAATATCAGAATTTAAAAGTGGAGAGTTTAGATTTTCAGACGATTTTGGGTTTTGATATATTAGAAACATAACCTAACAAACGAGGCGATAGCACGGGAATAGGGAAGGGTAAGTGCGGGGAGGGGTTGTGGGGGGGTTGGCAGAGATATGTTGCCCTAAATTGATATCCACTTACGATTCATATTGTTTGCTTGCCACCTTCTCCATGCTCATAGTGATTTCCTGGTCTCCGGCTATTTCGAGTAACAAAATATTGCGCGGCTGAATTTTGGATATTATGGTTTGTTGTTGTTGTTGCTGTTGCTCGCTTTTAGCCGCTTTCTGCTGTGCTTCTCTCTTGTTGTTGTCGGCTGATTAATCCGCTGGCCTGGCCTTTTGGTGTATGTGTGTGTGTGGTTTCTTGTTGTTGTTGTACTTTTGTTGTTGGCGTGCACGTTGCAGAATGTGTTTATTTGTCTGTGTGTGGCTTGTTGTTGTACTATCTGTCTAGTTGCCAAATCGTAAATTGTTGTTGTTGTAGTACTTTTAAATTCAGCTCCTTGCTTCTTGCGTGTCGTTGTGTTTGTTTGTATGTGTGCGTGTATGCGTGTGTGTGTGTATGTGAATATATGAGTGTGTGTGATTTCCACACCACGATATTATCGCGTTTGGCTAATTGGCCGCCGTTGGAGCGTCTGGATTGCGTTCTCAGTCCCGTGGCGTGTTATTGTAGTTGAATGCGTCCAGGTGGTAAATTGTTGACAAGATGTTTGGCTCTTTTTTGATTTTAATGGTTTTTATCGGCGTGCTACGTAAATAAGTCAGTGCTGTACAATTTCGTATAATCACTCGACGTTTTGCAACACCCCAACACTTTTCGGGGCGAATGGCTCTTATTGCAACGGCAATTGCTTGCGGAATATACAATTTATTAAAATACACACACCGATCACTTTTTAATTCAGCATTTCATTTGATTCGCTTTCTTAATATGATTTTTTATTACTTCGCATAAGTTATCGATAGTCAATCAGCTGATCCATACAAAATCAAAACACACAACCAGTGTGACCAGATGGGCTCCAAACACACAATCATTTCCCTTATGCATCGATAGCTTATCGATTTGCTGTTATGGTCATAACAAATAAAGCGCCAGGTTCCCTTCTTTGTTTTGTTTTTGCATTTTTAATTTAAATTAAATACTTTAATAAGAACACGTCTTTAAAATAATTATATGCTAAGTTGGATATTATCAATTAAAAATTTCGAAGAAATTAACATTTTCTCACTACATCGCAATCGTTCTCAAGGGTTGTAAAATATTCTAGTTGGTGGTACTTAATGTTAAGTAACAGTGATTCTGTTATGGTTCTACATTATAATTAAATGCATTTATTTGCTTTTAATGTTTATCGCTGTAACTGCAATAAATCTTCAGCTGCTTGAAGAAAATTCAAATTTGTAAATCAAAAAATCACGCAGGAACAGCTGATTTTGCAGTCATTACCTAGTGTTAACAACACGTCAGTATAAGTTCCGTTTTCGTAGCGAATGTTAAATAAATAATAAAAAAAAGTCGATCTCGTTTGATTTTTCTATTTATTCAGGCGCAATGGGCAAAAGCGACAAAAAGGCGAAGAAAAAGCACAAGAGTGAGCGTAAACAGCACAAGGAGAAGAACAAAGATAAAGTCAAGAAATCAAGGAAACACGAGAAAGCCAAGAAACCCAAAGAATCGCCGTCCGCAGCAAATAATGAAATGGCGCCTGCAATTCCTCCTCCGAATCCGCCAGGCCAAACTGCAACTGCGGACAGTGGCAGCGAGGAAGATTTCGCTATACCAATAGGTCGGTAATAATCACAGTTAACTCTCGCCCCCTTTAACCATATTCATACTATTTGCATACAAACACATTTAAGCGTTGATGAACAGCAAATCGCACGCTCCCGAAACGCCGGAGGAGTATCAGAGACGCCAAAGCCAAATTCGACGTGAAGTTGATCCGGTTACGGGTCGCACGCGCATCATTAAGGGCGACAGCGAGATATTGGAGGAAATTGTGAGTAAACAGAGACATGGCGATATCAATCGAAAGGCAACCAGCGGCGATGGCGAATATTTTGAGGCGCAATCCTTTGCAAATGCCGTAGCCAGCAAGCGTCGCAGCAAGCCAAAGTAGACATTTTGTTCTCATTCAATTCAACAATAATAGTAGGTATAGTTAATAATTAATAACTGTTAATCTAAATAAACAAATGTGCAAGCATTCGCAAAGAATGTCGACTTATAAGCTATATACACACACAAATATATATATAAATGGATTGAACGATTTAGAGGCATAGATAGATAGGATAGATAGAATAGATAAATTCCTAGGCACTGTTATTTCCAGTTGGCTGGCCTAGTAGAGTTGATGGAAGAAGGTGGTGCTGCCATCCTGCCAGGCCGGATCATCGCTGACCTTGGCCCGGCACATTGGACAAGTTTGCTCGCGCTTGAACCACGTCTGGACGCACTCATCACAGAATATATGTCCGCACTCCAATAAAATGGGTGATTTATACGCATCATGGCAAATGGGACACACAGAGCCAGCGGCATCTAGTTCATCCTTTGTGGGTGGCCGCTCTGAGTCCTATTAAAAATCGATCATTATACTGTCCAAAAATTGGTGAATTCTTCTTAACTCGATAACTTACAATATTGCGTCTAAATGTTGTAATGGCTTTCTTTAGTGATTTTCCACGTTCGAGCAGCTCAAAGATCTTAGCGCCGAGGTACAAGGATGAGAAGAGTCCACCCGAGATGACCTCCAGGCCCGAGTATGACTCGTACAGAAACATAAACCACTGAGACATGGGGACGAGGGCGCGATAGAATTGCGATGTGTACTCTACTAGAACGTAAAGACGTGCCTGCAAGTGATATAGTAAGAGATATATAATTTTATATATATATATTATCAAATTGGTACACAACAAGCAAATAATTTTAATTTGTGATTAGGTAAATACATTTTAAGTAAAGCGATTTCTTTAGACTCATAATCATAATTTGTAATCTTTAAGAACTGATTACAAGCAATAAATATTAAGATCAGATTATATATTTTAAGTTAAGCGATTTCTTTAGACTCAACTTAAATGATTTTGAAGTTGTGCAAATTCAAAAACATCAGAATTAATCTTATCTTCTTATCTTATCGTTAGAAAGATTTTGAAAAGTTTCAGTTTCTTGTGTACTCTACTTACTCGCACTTTCAGGCGTATCACATTGATGGGCAGTAGGGTGACGCCGATCTTGATGAGAATGGTGAGCAGCTTGAGCAGCAGATCACTGACGGCCACATAGTAGAGGAGTATGCCCAATGGAATGATTTTGGGAGCGGCAGTCTCATTCGAGTCCTTGAACGATTCCTCGAACGTTGTTGTCGGATTATCGAGGATCGGAATGTCAATGCCGTCAATCGTTCTGTAGTGGGTTGTGGATACATCAATGGTCTGATAGGATTTCGTCGGCGGCGGCACAATCAAACCCAACGGATCTGGCGGCATTGTAGCCAAATACAGACGCACTGCGACCGTCACCGTAATGAAACATGCATCGCGCAACAGGACGGCATATTTCTTTTGGGCCAGTTGTGAGACCTGAAGCCTCAGTGACCGATTCATATTGTACATGATGGTCTGGAGAATCAGCAGATCGAGTATGCCCAACAGATGATCGTGCATGAACTTGATCAGCAGTATGCAAATGATGGGCAAATAGCGCACAAAGTGACTCAGCAGCTGCACCACCATGTCCGTAACAATATTATCATCGTCGGCATTATTCTCGTGCGCACCCGGTGCAGCATCACCATTGCCACCATTGGGTGTGCCCGGACCACTCTCAGAGACTGCACCGCCGCCATCAGGAGTGTCAGCGGAATGTGTTGCATCAGCCGCCGCTGATGCTGGCGATGTGAGACCAATGACGCTGGCATTACGACCATTTAGACTGAGGCGTGCCTGTTGCTGTCCTTGCTGCTGTTGTTGCTGTTGCATTTCACCTTCGCGCAGCGATACGCTTCGGCCCATGCCGCTGTTGTTGGCGCCCACGCGCGGCGGAATGGACGCACTGGTGCTGGCCTGCGATGCTTCCGGCTCGCCCAACGGCTGGTTCATCAAAATGTGCGTATTATCAACGGAGCCAGTGGCTCCAGCAGCTGCAGCTGTTTGTGGTGCAACATTACTAGCTGATGCAGTTGGCTGGTACCGAAAGTTGGAATGTGCAATAAAGGAGCGCACTGCTTCAGTGGACGGTGCCGTGGACAGCGAGAACATCTCATTCAAATTGACGCGCCAAAAGCCAAGTTGGCGCATGCTCGCTGGCGTGGTGACGCCAGCGGGCGTTGGCGGCTCCTCAATGCTGCCGCTGTTGGCGCCAATGCTGCCACTGTTGGCGCCAACGCTACGCGACTGCTGCAGACGACGGTTCATCTGAGAGGTAGCACGGGCCGGTGTGCTACTTACGGGCGTAAAGGAGCGCTGTCGGGCCAGCAGCGAGGTTAGTATGTTGGCACCAGTGGTACGACCACTGCCAGTGAGGCTGCTGCTGCGTGCTGCTGTCTGTAGCTGTGGTGCATGCTCCAAATTGATGCTAGTGCTTGTGCTAGCCCCTGTCATTGGCTGGGCCGAGGTCATCAGCGACAAGGGCGGCGCCGGCGTCGGCGCAGGCAGCAGGTAGTCATGTTCAGCTGTCGTTGACTCATTGTCGTCACCGTCGTTGTCGCTCTCAATGTTTATGGCGACGCCAGTCGAGGTGCTTCTGGCCGGCTGTATCCCGCCACGACCCCGGTGCAATGAAGCAGCATCGCTTGGCCCGTTGTGCATTGCGTGGCTTATGGCTCAACTTATTTGCTCTTGCAAAATACGTGTTTTCGTTTTGTGCATACGCGAGTTGAATGTTCTACTAGTCAACTGTCAACGTAGCCATTCGCGTGTCAACGTTGAGAAACAGAGTTGCAACCCAACTGACAGTTACAACTGTTCAACGGAGCGCAAAAATGCAATTTAAATTCAATGCAAGCGATGATCCCAAATAACAATTTACTTTACCTTGAAAAATATTGTAAATTTGCAGCAAACACATTTGTAAATTGGTATGGTAATGTTATTTTTGCTCTGCATATTATGTGGATACGGCCCATTTAACAATTTAATGTTTCGCACCTTGCACTTTCGGCCTTGTTAGGCGCTGTTAGGTATTACATCCCTTACTCCTTTTGTAAGGGGGGCTGAGTCTGATAAGGATAATGTAAATGATTCAGTTACCGCCAGAGCTAACCGCAATTAAACTGACCTAAAGCCGTTGCCCGGCAACGCCAACGAAAACGAAACCTAAACGTGGCCAAAACCACCACCATAAACAAGGATACGCTTGCAGGATGGTCGGCAGTGGTGGTCAGTTTAGTTTAGTTTAGTTTGTGCTGCAGTTCGTTGGCTAAATAGAAACAAATACATATGTAATGTGTGATGACATTATAAATATAAACAACATGGGTAATAATTCATAATTCCGTTTTTAATAAATAGTATTTACATATGTGTGTGTATAGACTTTATTATGCAAAGTCAACAAACTTATGTACGTGCGAATGATTGTGCCAGATCTACATAAACAACCAAATACATACATACATAAGTGTTAATGTTAATGTGCCTTATGCTTAAGTGTAGGCAGGCTATAGCCTAATCTTCTTAGATAGATTCTGAACCCCATTGGATGTGTGTGAGTGTGTCTGTGTGCCTTGTGTATGCAAGCAAAATAAAGTAAAAAATTAATGCGTATTTGCATATATATATATATATATATATATATATATATATAGGCATATATAGACATATATGTACATATATGTATGTATATACGTGGCACGAGTATGTACATATTTGTTATTGCTATTTTGTTCAGTCTGTGCAATCTCTCTCGCTGCTCGCTGCTCGCTGTTGCTAGCGCTGCTGTTGTTGTTGCTGTTTCTAGCTGCCCCGGCCGGCAGTTGCTGCACTGCGTCGTTCAATGAACCGGCGCCGTGATGCGCGGCGATAAACTTTTGGTCTCGCTGCGATTCCGTCGCTGCAAAAATAGCTTGACGGATTCCAGCGGCAGCTGAAAGTGATAGTAGGCGCAATAGGGCAACGGGTCCCAATAGGCGAACAGTGCCTCTCGCTTATCGAGCGCCACCTTCGACGTGTTGCGCTCCAACGTTGACCAGCTCCAGCTCCAGTTGGCCTCCTCCGTTGTCGTCGTCGATCCGCCACTTCGCCGGTGTATGCACATGCACTTGATCGCCCGGCACAGCAGCTGGGCATGTGAACGATTGTGACAGATGTAGGGCAGAGCCACGCCCAATCTCACACCGAGCGGCACAAATTGGCCACCGTGCGCCGGCGACTTGACCAGCCGGAAGCTGATGTGTCCATTGATACTACGCTGAAATCGCACCTTGGCAAAGAAACTGCTCAGCCAGAGCTCAATCTGTGCCTCATCCTCTCGTCGCACCGGTATCAGATTCTTCGTATGATGCTCCACACGGCAGCTGACATTGGCGACGACCCGCGAATCCTTGACCGTTGTGCACGTGACAAAATGATGATAGCCGGGCTGATCACGCACCACCATCCAAGGTTGTCGTTCACTGATCTCATGCTGACTGAACTTCAGCAGCTCCGCTCGTCTGTTGGGCAATATGTACTTGTGTCGCTCCATGACGCCCTGCATTCCGCATGCCATGAATATATTCCGATAGCCAGACACTAATCCACGCTCGTACAGCTGATGTAGTTGCTCCTGTGCCGTGATCACCGTATGCGGCGGCAGCGTTATCTGTTGCGATTCACAGCGCTGGAACAGCTCCAGGCAGTCATCCAGCTGTTGGGTCTCCCGTGCACCAGGCACAAAGCTGGCGCAGCCCAACAGCTCCAGATGCGGCTTGGTCAGCGCATCGTAGTAGGCCGGACTGGTGGCACAGACGGGCACATAGACAGTTGGTCGCTCCTTGCGCACAATGTGACACAGTGCCGCTATGTACTGATCCACATTGCCACTGCTCGGTCTTGGCACCACATAAAACTTATCCACGCAAGTCGAGAAACGCGTCAATCCGAACAGACCCTCAAACTCGAAGACCACAACCCGTGCACCGGACCCGTAAAAATTGCGGGCCAAATGTAGGGTCTGAATGGTGCTGCCACTGCTGAGGAGAACGGTTCGTTGCCGTTGTCGCTGCTGTGTTCCTGGTTGCTCATCCTCGTAGCTAAGCAGCCATTTGACCATAGCGATGGGTAAGCGCAGCAGCTTCCAAAATATCCAGAGTACGGCCGATAGCCAGAAACTGGGCGCTGCTATCGACAGTGGAATGTAGAGCATATAACGCAATAGGTTCATTAACAGACGCATCAAAAGCTGCGGTCCAAACAACAAAAGATTTCGGCTTGAGGATTGATTTGAGTTTTGGACATGATTGCCACGCAGAAGGCTGCCATCTGCGGTCCGTTGGCGACGTAGCGTTATAAAATGACGATGCGGCGTATTCTCCACATTCTCGGACTCATCTTGGCCGGGATGCTCGGGGATGCGATCCAGTGAATTGAAGCGACGAAATTTGGGATTACGGGTGGCTAGACGCAGCTGGCGGGCGTGCTCCTGTTGCTGCAGCAGATCATCCAGTGTCTGCGACATCTTCACTCACTCACACGAATACGACTCTTGATATTCGGATTCCGTCCGTTTTTTTTTTCTTGTAATCTTTAGCGCTCTTCTCTATGCCGTGCAAAGCTGGCAAAATTCGAAATCGGACTAAAGCGCCGCTTAGACAGAAGTTCTACTTAAAACCTATGATGTTTGTCTGTTTGGGCTCTGCAACGGCGGCAAGATTCACGGCGATAACGCCTGAGACACATTAACAGATACGGCAATACCTATAGGCTATAGCCATATAGTAGGTATGCATACGGATTTGCGTTACTTCTTATTCTTGATCTTGTTTTTTTTTTGCTTTTTTCTTTTTTCTCTGTCTGCCAGTCTATAAGATTTTGCATTGTATCTACACTGGCAAAAAAAAAATGGCTACTGAAAGTGCGAGAAAGTCGCAAAGCAAATCAATTGCGAAAAACGAAAAACTTTCCCTTTTAAAAGGAGGCTTTAACAAGATGCCACTCTTAAAAGTAAATATTTTCAAATGATATATTGTTTTTGAATTATTTTGCTGGAAAAGTTTCGCGTAACATTCGATTTAAGAACCAATCAATTGCTTTTAAGTCACATACTGACAAGCTAAAGAATCCATACTTCAGAGTCTTTTGAATGTTTCTTTTTTACTAAAATTTGAGCAATTTTTACATTTTTAAATTTATCAAATCATAATCATTTATATCATGAAGCCAAACTATATAAATGATCGATTGAATTTATAATGAAATATTTTCTAATATCTAATTTTCTGGAGACATTAACTATATATAGATACTATTGTTATTATATTCAAACTTGATTCTTTAGAATGTCAATAACATCTCAATTATTATTTATTATTTTATATTTATACTTATTTTTTCTAAGAAATTAGATCAGGGAATCAAATTTGTATATATGCCACTAGGATATGAAATCAACTTGCTATTTGTGATCTTAAATTGGAAATATGAAATGCTAATGCCTAGTTTTTGCTTGTCAAGAAGGTAGACATAATTGAACAAATAAATAAAATAAATAGCCTCAATTGAGTGTTAGACCCGTGATTTTTCTCAGTGCATTTGCGTTTGTCAATAAATATAAATCATTCACGTTCAGTTGGGTCTTTCTTTAGCGCTGTTGCCAGCGACACTTTGCCCACCTAGTACTCAGAACTGCAACTGTCTTGGGCATATCCCTACCAAAACCAATTGAACTCCAGCTTCCATTTGACTTCCTAAGTTTTCAACGACAGCCATTTCGTCGCACTAGCCACTTGCTGTGTGTGTGTGTTGTGTGTGTGTGTGTGTGTACTTTGATCATGTTGTTAAAAATTAATCCGTTTGTACATATATAAACAAATAGGTACTCAATCCCATTGCAAACCGCCAATTGCGGCATAACGAGTGGTTCCGACTGCGACAGCGACAGAGACTAGAGCTGATAACACGCTGACTATGAACCCAACACCCCATTAAGCAAACCACAGCAATAACAACAGCAACAACAATAACAACTAAGTACTATAATGACAAGACAGAATTAAGTTACTTATGGTTCAGAGTGACAGAAAGAAAATAATCACACACCTACTACACACTATAGTTTTGATTGCGAAATGTCTCATTTAATAATGAGCATAGAAAATACTGTGTATTTATTTAAATGATTAAGAACGGTAAGTGAATAACGCCTTAACCTTGCCAATGCCAATGCGGACTTTAAACAGCTTAGCTTAGATTTACTGGTTGTTTATAGTTATATTCTAATTTTACAGTCAGACATCTTGCACCTTGATATCTGTACACAGGTTAAATGTGGCTGCTGCTGCTGCAAAAAATAAAACTGAAAATAAAATAAATTATAATTCAAAACATCATCGCACATTGATAAGAAATAATTAGATTTCAAACATTTTTAGTAATATTTTATTTATATAATTCTTTTTTATTTTGAATATTTGATTGTTGTTGGTTTGGTTGTTGGGCAAAGCTGGCATGTTCATAACGGAGAGAGAAGCACGCACCTTTCAACGTGTTCAACGGTTTGGTGCATATGTGTGTGTGTGTGTGTGTGTGTGTAATATTCCTGATATGCATTGGGTAGGTGGAGAGGTGGAGAGGTGGAGGAGGCACCGGTCATCACCTATGAGTATTGATAACCTTCAAAGCGTTGGCATTGGCATTAAATCTACTTAGTCGCAATAGCTGTTTAAACATATGCCAGGAAACATTTTGACATTTTGCTTCGGCCAGCTGTCTAATTGAATATATTGAATATTGAATCAAAATACCTAAACATATATATATATTTCAGCATAATCTGTATGTATTTCTATAATATGATATCAGCTACAATTTCTGATTGAAAAATGGTCGGAGTATATACTTATATGCAAAAAAGAATAACGACAGACGCATCAAACACAATCAGTGCAAGTTAGGTGCAAAGTGCGTTGAAAACATATCTTGAATTCCAAGATTACAAGAGTATGACATATTTATTAATTACAAGCTCAACCTCCATCACGGATCTTCTTCCGTTAACAGATTGTTCGGTTCGGTTTAATGTTCTCAATTTTTGCAATCTCTATATGCACTCCACTAATTTATCATAATAAGTATTTTGAGACATAAACTGGAACTTTTATGATAACTCGGTTAGTATATATATATACTATATATATATTTACTGTAGATATGTATAAATACCTCGAGGAAACTAACAATTTCCTTACATAGTGGGATTATTAATTTTATTAAATTTACTTTTACCATATTTCACTAAATATATTCTTTTAATCTGTCTTTGGATCAGCTTCACTCAAAAAAATTAAATCGCTGTGTATTTTAAAAATCGAACAAAAATCCTATTTTAAATTATTTACTTTTTGGAAATGTTTGTATAAATGAAATCTTAAAATCTTAATGTTTAATAATAATAAAAGTAACAAAAAAAAAAACAATTTTCGAGGAATATAAAAAAATGGAAAAGAGACATATTATTTTGAAAATGTTAGAAATGAGTCCTTGACGCCCAAGGTATGCAGAATTTCCAAAATTTGGGGAGATTTCTCTTCAGTCTAGTTAGAAGCAATCTGTAAATACAACTTTTGAAATGATTTACTGAATTGAGTTTAATATACTTGCTCGCATTGAAGACCCATTCAATGCAATATTTTTTTTTTTATTTTGAACTCTTTGTTTTAATATAGTATTTCAATGAATTATGTTTGTGTTCATGTTTCCCGCCCCCTATTAACTTGACTCACAAGTGATTAGCATAATGTGGTGGTTACTTTTTCATGATAATGACGTTGAATCGGCAGAGTAAAAGAAGAATACGTTAATAAGAAAGGGGTAAGCCGCATTGACATAGCACACAATTTATTGCACTGAACTATTTGACTTATTAAACGCAGTTGGGCATGAATTTTGTGAGATGCTCCAGCACACATACACACAAACACACACACACACACACACACACACATATGGATATATATATATATATATATATATATAGAAAGCGACGGTAGGCCGGTTACCATGTTGGAAATATGCTCTGAGCCACGATTTGCATTTGTTGCTTGCTGGCACGGGAAACATAATTGTGACTTCTTCCTGCCTTCGATGACTCGCAATCGCAATCAATTTTGGTTGCTCGTGGTAACGAGGAATTTGTTAATTCAATGCTTATTTTACTTCACCCTAAAAACCCCAAAGTAAACTCAATGCAAACAGCGCCAAGTTGCAGCCGATCGGGTGGACTGTCCTTAATGGCAGTTAGAAAGGTTCGAAAGCGAATCCGTTCGAGTCGTCGACTCTGGCGTCCTTATGTAAATGGCCTCGCACAGCGATTGGCGCTCAGTCGTTTGTGTTCCACGGACCCCACCAGTTGAGAAGGACGCAGCCTGGTTAGTTGCCTACTGATCCTGATTAGTTACTTTCACAACTAAAACTGCCGCATGCGAGAACATTAGTTGCGTATTTCCGCATTTTTGCAAATTTGTGTCAATTGCCCCAAGCGGTGCTAACTGTGAAGTGGAAGTGGGTGTGGTTTTCTCAGTTACTTCAGTTACCAGTGCCGGGCGTGGTGTGTTATCATTTACCCATTTACCCGTTTACCCGTTACCGCCCAACAAGGAGCCAAAGTGGTGTGTTCAAGTAAACCACACGATTACTTGATGAGTATTCAATTGAAGCTCAATCAGTTAACAAGAACATTTTCATATTGTGCGCTCCAAAATCTGATAATTCCGATTTGTGCTGCCAATAATTGGATAAATATCAAACGAAGTAAGTGCTAATTGATTTCTCCTATACTTTTATTGCTTCCGAGATTACCCTTCTTACTCTGTACCAAACAAAATAGGGTATTTACCTTTTTAATGTCGACTAATATCAGTCGACACAGAAATATACCAAAACTAGAAATAAATCAATATAGTACAATTTTAAGTTAATAAAATACAGCATTTTATTAAAAATTAACAAAAAACTAAGTAATATTTTTGGGGGTATTTAGTATAAATTTATGTACGTATATATGCCCAGTATTTTCTCACATCTGTATTTCATTATAAGTTTAAAAAAGGCAAATTATTGCTATACAAAATATTTAATATTTTAGTCGACTGTTAATAATTTTTTTCAAAAATGATAGGATCGTAATAATACTCTTATCTAATGAGGTTGTTCCCAAAATCTTCAAGAGGATATTCTTCTGCAGAAGCTTTTGAAATGTCTTTAATAAAGAGGCATATTTGAGATTTGGAATTAAGACTGTGATTTGTGTTTCCAAACTATTTCTATTATGCTCAAAATGTCATTATTTTTATATATGGATTTAGTTTTGATAAAGATATTGGGATGGAAAGTTTTGACCATCTGTCTTATATTGTACTACGTTTTTAAATGAATTTCGATGCCAAATCATATTGCTAACATTAAAGGCAGTATTGGGCTACACTGCTTTTGAAAATCGATCCAGTTTTCGCAATATTATAGCCAAGGTCGTACGCTGGTATGGAGGTGTTTTAGAAAGCTTCTCCTGCATGAAAAGCATATTTTAACTTTCGATTTTTTGGGAAGGGGTTTTATTTGAAATTCGACCAAATTATAGAATAGAATTGGCAAGGCCATGTCACAAATAGTGTACTAAATTGGGTACCTGCGAGTGGATATCAAAGTGGGTGCCAATGTGTAATTATCAAGTGGGTACCTAGCACATTGTCAGATGATTATTGTTCCCATGACACGCATGTTCCTATAAATAAAGACGCAAGCTCCATAAAAACAGCTTATAAATGACAGATTTATGATTAAGTCTTTATGTCGACCTCAATCCGCATGGAACAGAAGCACTAGTCAACTCTGCCATTAAACAGGTTGTACTAAAATATTAAGTAGACGCCGTGTTGGGAACAAGTCTACTAAAACTCTAGCATAGATTGCATGCTTGAGCATATTCGAGATAATTCGGAAAACTATTAAATTGTTGTTGTTGTTCCCATAAATGAAGCGGAAATAAGTTGCCAGCAGTGACACAAAGCATAAGCAGCTCAAAATTAGAAGACGACCCAAAGAACAAGACTTCATTCGTGACGAAAAAAGTTTCAACAACAAGCTCAGTAAATAGAAAAAAAATATATATAGAAAAAAAAAAACAAATTTTGTTTATTAATATAAATACGAGGACAACGAAATTATAATGCATGTTGTTGCTGGGGGGGAAACTGCATTGGGGCATGGGATTCGAAAGACCTGGCCTGGCCTGGCCTGGCCTGGTAAACAGACGAAGTTGCTGTCCTGGTGACAAACGGTGTCAGCCCAGGGAATTGTATCGTCAAGTGGGCGATGTTTCGCATAGAAATATCATTGACTAGATGTTATAAAAAGGGGAGCTTGTTTATTTATGAGGCCTAAGCATAAATACGAAACGAACAAAATGAAAAAAGTAAAAGAATTTGCGCCTGGTGTAGCTGTCATGACGACCGGATATGGAAATAGTCGCCCGACCAGAGTTAATAAATCAATTTGGACAAAGTTATCGAGCATTTAGGCGTAGGCGGCAAACTTTTGCTAAAGTTGCCTCACACGCAATCCAAACCGCAAGCAATTTTACAAACAAACGTTATCCTTTAACCCGTTCTCAACCCCTGCCCACAGATGCAAGCGTATCGCGATAACTTCAAGCAAACGCCTTGCCCAACGGCCGTCGACCTGCCAGCGGCGCCAGCGTCAACATCCTCCACACGTCTGCCCTTCTCACGCAATCGTGGGCGTGGCGAACCGACAAGCAACACCAACACCAACATTAACAATAGCAATATTAGCCACGGCTCCGGTGCCATCACGCCCAGAATGATGAGCCCCGCACCAGCACCGCCAACTGGGCCAGCGGATTGCTCGGCCAATGCGCTGCTGCGCCAGAATCAGGAGTTGCGCCAACGTTTGGCGGATGAGTCGCACAGCTATCGTCGTCGACTGGACACGTACAAGCAGGCGCAGCACAACCAGGCCAATCTCGTCAGTCGTCTGCAGTCCAAGATACAGCAGTACAGGCAGCGCTGCAGCGATCTCGAGGATCGCATGCACGACACCATCAAGCCGACGACGGCTCCAAAGCTAACGACGGGTCCAACTGCAAGCCAGGTGCTGGTGAGTAAAACTTGATAATCCGGCAATAATTGGCACAGCACCAAGTATATTTTTAATTACAATATGAAGCCAGCTCATCAAAATGTAAGAATATAATTTGTAATCGCTGCATTCCAAAAATATTAATAGCTCACATGTATTGCACACATATCCGTTGATTATCTCTTGAGATGCTGAACTTTGTATTTGTCCATTCAATTTATTATTTAATTGATTAATACATAATAATAATATTAATATATGCAATGTAATAATAGACTCATGTCTAGACTAAAAACATTTCGTATCTGTTCAGCTTTGTATAAGCCGCAAAAGTTCACTCTTCAAACTAATGTCGAGAATCACATAAGTCCAGGCTGATATTAAGTAATATTTTAGTCACATTTCTTATATATAAATTAAAAAAAAAGAATCCTAAACAGTCTAATCTTATATCATATATGTACTACATATATATAACGAAAAAGGTTATCTATATTCTGAATATACCGAAAATTTGTTAAGAAATCAATTTGCAATCAGCACTTTTGTATATGTGGCAAATTGCTATAGTATAAATATACATATTCCTGGTTTACTTTTAAAAACAGGGTGTCTCCCTTCCAATATTTGCTGTGGTTTTCATAAACAAAATTTGTGGTTTTTTTTTTTACCGCATAATTGAGTGCATCATTTGAAATAAATATATACCGATTATCTTCTTTGAAATAGTGCTCGACCTCGCTAACCTTGGGCCAGAGCAGTTTGCCATGCAGCTCATCTTTAGACTCGCCACCGCCAAGTTGTGGACGTGATTACCTGCATGATGATGGCAGCAGTGAGCTGTGCCGCAAGCTGGAGGAGGAGCACAATCGCTGCGAGCAGATTGTGGCACAGAACAATGCACTGCGCCAGCAGCTGGAGGAATCGAATCGCACCAACGAGGCGCTGACCAATGACTTGCAGAAGCTGACCAATGATTGGGCGAGCATGCGCGATGAGCTGCTCATCAAGGAGGATGAGTTCAAGGAGGAGGAGCAGGCCTTCAAGGACTACTACAACAGCGAGCACAATCGCCTGCTGAAGATGTGGCGCGAGGTTGTTGCCGTTAAGCGTGCATTCAAGGACATGCAGAGTGTGATGAAAGCAGAGGTGGCCAAGATGGGCCAGGAAATCAATGGCGTCAACAAGGACATCAATGGCTCCAACTCCACAGTGGCGTTCGCCCTGCAACAGGCCAAACGGGCCGCCGACGAGGAACTGAAGCAATCGCGTCGCACCAACGATGAGCTGCAATCGCAGCTGGCCACGCTTAAGGTGCAGTACGAGAGTGCACGCCACGAGATCATGGAGCGAGATCAGCGACTCCTCGAACTGATGAATCAGCTGAAAAAGCTGGAAGATCGCTGCGCTCAAGCCGAATCGCAGGCTGCCTTGGCTAATCGCTACAATGACGAAATCGAACGTCTGAACAACTCAATGCGCGAGATTGCTCAAGCGGTGGTTCAAGATGCCGAGATCGCCGATCGCGAAGCAGACGCCGAGGTCAACCCGGCCATGCAACACATGCATCTATCACGTGATTCAGCCTCTGTTGCGGGTGGTGGTGGTGGTGGTGCTAGCGGCGGCGGCGGCGGCGGCGGCGGTAAATCACCGCGTCGCAATTCGACACGCGCCTCACAGGCGTTCGCCGAGGGTACCATTTCGGCGGTGCAGGCAGCGCTCCACAAGTATCAACTGGCGCTACACGATATGCAGGTGAAGTTCCAGCATAGTAGCGAAACGTTGCGCAGCACCAGAACCCAACTGGATACCAGCGAGGGCACCAAACAGCTGCTGACCAGTAAAATGCAACAGCTAACCGAGAAACTGGATGCCAGCAACTCAAAGCTATCCGAGCTGCTGCAGGAGCGCGAGAGTCTGCAGAAAACTCTGGATGATGTAAGGACCCAGAAACAGCAATCGGAAATGGGTCGCGCCGATCTGAACAATGCGGTGAGTGGGTGGCAGAGGTGATAATGGCTACAGATAAGCATGGCACAAATAATCTTTGGCTAGACGCGTCGCTTGAGTGGTTCACAAATGTGCAAACCTTTCCATAGAGATTACTAGTCATATAGGGATTAACTGCAAACCTATTTAAAGCTTTAGCACTCTTTGTTAAAGTTATTACTTAATACGTTCTGATAATAGTAATTCCTTAAAATTCCTATAAAATTGATATTAAAAAAAAGCAACACGTCGTAAAATGTTTAATTCTGCGTTCAAGATAATATATATATATGATTCTTTTCTCATACTATATACCAAGATTAAGGCATTATGAGTCACTTATCATAGATAATACCGAAACCTCAGTTTAGGTTTTAGTCTATTATATGAACTATTAAGAAGACTTCGTTAATATACTAGAATCTTTGAATCCAGCCAATTTTAGTAATTGAAATCAATTAGTATTGAAACTGCATCTAGAAATAATAATAATAAATCGCAATTAATATTATGCGATTAATATTAAAGTCAGTTTCGAAACATTTTTCTGTTTCAAAATCAGCATTTTCAGTGCATTTCCAGTGCATATTTATAGAAGTCGAGCTATTTTTACATTTTACCTTTTTAATTTGCTTTCTATATTTTTACATATATTCAATAATAATGGATCTGAGTATAGTCCAGCCAGCTAATCCGATTAGATTACCTGTTTTGCTGACACGACAAAAAACCATAAAATCAACATACTATATAAAGTTGCTTATTTTTCCATTCCCGTTAGATGGGTTACTAAATAACCGAGACATTATGTCATCTGAACAGTTGGAATCCGGGGTCAAATCCCAGACTAAATATTAATATGGCTTCAACAGATTTTATTAAAATAAATAATGTAATAAAAATAGGTCGTGATATATATGATAGATCATTCATAAATCAATCCTAAAACGCAACTGAAAATATTAATATTAAATATTGTATAATATATCATAATTAAATAATTTTTTTTAGTTCGAGGGTTTGAGCGGTGAGTTTGAAAAGCTGCAGCTGAATTGTGGCAAACTGCAGAAGCGCATCGATTCCATGGAGGAGGACAAGAAGGCTGTGGAGCTGGAGATACAGCGCATACTCAAGGATAAGAACATAACCGAATTGAATTTAAGGTATCATTTTCAGCACCTTTAGCCAAAACTGATTTATTTACCTGGCTTCTCCCGCACAGATCCGAGGAAGATCGCAGCAGCCGGCTGCGCGAGGAAACAATATCGTTGCGTGAGGAGCTGAATCGAGTCAGTTTGAATCGGGATCTTTTGGAACAGCAGCGCATTGAGTCGGACAATTTGATATGCCTGCTGGAGAAGCAAAAATGCGATCTGGAGTACGACTTGGACAAGCTGTTGTTGGAGAAATGTGATCTGCAGGAGAAACACGAGAAATTGTCAAACAACAATTGCTCCACCGGCGATGAGCTAAAATCCGTGCAGAACTGTCTGTTGGAGGCCCAGGAGGAGCGCAAGAAACTGCGTCTGCAGTCCGCGGATCAGGTCAATGAAATTGGTGAACTCAAGAAGGAGCTGGCCGTGCTGGATAAGGCACGGCTCGAGCTGGAAACCGATAATCTATCCTACAGCGAGAAGGTCAAGTGCCTGCAGTTGGAGAAGGAAAAGATACTGCAGGATCTGGCGTGCATGACACGCGAGAAGTGCGATATTCACAACCAGCTGACAGCCATGTGCCGCAAAAAGGAGGCGCTCAACGAGGAGCTGATGCGCACACGTCAGCGCCTGGAGCAGACGACGGAGACGAACAGTCGCCTCAATCGCAACATTGAGGATATGGTCAAGGATGTGGAGGAGAAACAGGTGGTCATTGATCTGCACGAGAAGGATACGCATCGCCTGAATGAACTACTTGCCGCATTGCGCTCCGAAAAGGAATCCCTGGAGACGGTGCTCTTCGATACGAATACAACTCTGGAGGCCGTCGAGGAGAAGCGCAGCCAGCTGGAACGGGATCTGCAGGAGGCACTGGTGCGCGAGGAATCCCTCAAGAATCATGTGGCCCGACTGCAAAAAGATCTGGAGCTGTGCCAGCGCAAGTCGCAGGAGACGAAGACACAACTGCTGAACGCAGCCCGCGCTGCCGAAAGCGATTTCAACCAGAAGATCGCCAGCCTACAGGCGGCCGCCGAGGATGCCTCCAAGCGGCATGGTGACGAGGTATTGCAGCTGCGCAACGCACTGGAAAAGCGCATGCAACAGGCATTGCAGGCACTCCAAACAGCCAAGGATGATGAAATCGAGAAGCTGCAGGAGCGCCTAGCCGCCCTGCAGGCGCACATCGAGAGCCTCGTGCAGCAGCACGAGGAGACACTGATACGGGCGGAGAACGAGAAACAGCAGGCACTGCTGATGGCCCATCGTGATAAGCAGGCCGTTGCCGAGCGACTCGAGGCTGTGTCCCGTGATCTCAAGACCGAACAGGAGTCCCTCGATCGGAGCAAGCGGGAGGCCAATGCCCGTGATGAGAAGCAACGGGGCGCCATTGCTCAGCTCAAGGATGAGATTGTGCACATGCGCACCAAAGAGGAGGAGCACAAGTAAGTGAATTATGATTGTCCGATTTATAGTCTGCTCATATTCTCCAAAATTGCCAGAATTAAACTTGAGGAGTGCATACGCAAGCAGGAGCTGCAGTTGAACAGCATGCGGGAGGAGCGCGACACTCTCTGCCGTCTGAGCGAGGAGTTCAAGATGGAAATACGCCTGAAGGAGGACAAAATGGAGGCCACCAATAATGAGCTGCAGGATGCGCTGCGCAAGTCCAAAGAAGGTGAGATTTGTACAGCAAAAATGTGTATTTGTTTTTGGCGTATTGTTGCAACTTACCAAAACAAAAAAATCCTTTCGCTTATTTTGAAAAAATTCTAACAACCAGGCGAGGGCTATATCGATAGCCTGCGCAAGGAGCTGACCGACAGCCGGCGGCAGCTGGCGGATAGCAATATTGAGCGCGACAAGTACTCCACCAGCAACAAGGAGCTGCGCGATCATGTGAAGCGCGTGGAGAGCGCCAAGCGGGAGCAGGCGCGAGCCATCGAGGAGGCATTGCAAAAGATCAACAATCTGGAGGAAACCAGGAACTCACTGGAAAATGATCGGACGCGTCTGAGCACCATACTAAAGGAGACCGAGAATAATTTCACCAAAACCACGCAGGAGCTGAATGCAACAAAGTCGACGCTGCACAAGACCCAAATGGAGTTCGCCCAAAAGGATGAGGGTGGCAAGGAGCTGCAGAACAAGCTGGCCGCTGAGACCGAGCTGAAGGAGCGTGCCCAGCAAGAGCTCTGCCAGATCAAGAAGCAACTGTCCGATCTGGAGGCGAATCTATGCGCCACACGCCAAGAATTGGGACGTGCCCGTTGCCACAACAATCAGGAGGAGCATCGCTACCATACCCGTGAACAGGAGCTGGCCACTCGGATGGAGGAGGCGCGTGGTCGTGAGAAACGGCTCGAGGATCAGAAGCATAATCTGGAGGTGTGTTTGGCGGATGCCACACAGCAGATCCAGGAGCTGAAGGCACGTCTGGGCGGCGCCGAGGGTCGCATCAGGGCGTTGGATGAGCAACTGGCCTGCGTGGAGCTGCACAAGCGTGACACGGAGCACAAGCTGAGCTCCGTGGTGCACACACTGCGTCGCATCGCTGGCATCCAAGTGGATGGCAGTGTCAATCTGTCGCATCGCCTGCTCAGTCCATCGCGACGCTTTAGTCCATCGCGCAGCGTCGGAGACTACGATACGCGAAGCACATCGCAATGTCCTGATGCGCCAGTCGATGTCGATCCGGATCTGGTGCGCAAGGGTGTCCGCAATCTGATGCATCAGGTGGCCCAGCTGGAGCGTGAGAAGGATGACTACAAATCGCAGTTGGGTGCAGCAAAGAAACAACTGCAGGATGCCGCCGAGCAGCAGTTGCGCTGTGACGCCAAGCTGGGCAAGTTGCAGGCGATGCTGCGCAACCTGCAGGAGGAGAAGAGCAATCTGGAGACGGATCGCAAAATGAAGATCTCGGCACTGCAAGCGCTCGAGGAGAAGCTCAAGCAGCGCTCCGATGAGGGTCAAATGTTACGTGAGCGTTTGGCCCAAACCGAGATGCAGCTGGCGGCCACATCCGAGGAGAATGGCCAGAATGAGGAACGTCTGGAGAAGTGTCGTCAAATGTGTGGCAAGCTGGACAACGAGAAACGTGCGCTCCAGGAGGAGCTGGCCAAGGTCGAGGGACGCGCCAGTAAACTCGACTTGCAACGGGTCGCCATGGAGGGAGATCTGACGCGTCTGCAGATGGCTCTGCAGGAGAAGGACTGCAACATTAGGCAGGTGTCCGAGCGCTTGGATAATCAGAATCGTGCCATGACCCAACTGGAGGATCGCTGCACCTCTCTCAAGTCGACGGTGGATCAGCTCAAGGAGCGCCTGCAAAAGGGCGCCGTTAGTGAGACGCAGTTGCGCGGTGAGATCAAGACGCTGCAGAAGGAGCTCTCCGAGCAGGGTCACTGTTCGCAGGCCAACGAGGACAAGCTGAAGCTGCTACAGAAGTCGCTGCAGACGTCGGAGAACGAGAAGCGTATCGTGGCCGAACGCCTCGAGAGCGCCCAGACCAATCTCAATGAGCTGCGACGCAGCCAGCAGGCACAGCTCGATGGCAATCAGCGGCTGCAGGAGCAGGTCACCGATCTGGAGGTGCAACGCTCGGCTCTGGAGTCGCAGCTGCGCATTGCCAAGTGGAATCAGGAGAATGGTGACAAGGTCAACACGAATGGCAATGGTGGAGGCGGTGGCGGCGGAGGTAGTCGCGAGGAGGAGGAGCTCAGTCGCCAGCTGAAATCGTCGCAGCGCGAGAAATCCGAGCTGCGCAGCAAACTGCAAACGCTGCAGGATAAGGTGAAGCAGCTGGAATGCGATCGCAAGAGTAAGTTTGCTGGTGGCAATGCCTACGATCGGGCCGAGAAGACCAGCTCCTATTATGGAGGCGAAAGAGATGCGGGTGAATATGATTCGAATCGCTATGATGTCGGCAACGGTGGTTCCTACAGCTGCGGCCTGGATCACAGCATCATCGAGCAGGAGACACGCGATCTGCGCCTGAAAGTGCGTCGCCTGGAAACGCTGCTGGCGGAGAAGGAATCGGAGCTGGCGCGTTGCAAGGCGCGCATGCATGACAGCACCAAGTGCACGGATGGCATGGACGCGGATCGATATCGTAGCGCCCAAATGCATGCCGAGAAGCTGCTAGATGCACGCGAGCAGTCCCACAAGCAGCAGGTGCTGCGCCTCGAGAATCAGGTGAATGAAGGAATACATTTCGATTTCAAATTATTTACTGATCGCCGATCATTACAGATTTCCATGCTCCGAGAGCAACTGGCTCAGGAGGCCAAGCGACGACAGCAATATGTCTTGCGCAGCTCCAAGGCCAATCGGGAGATGCAACATCTGCGCAGCACTTTGGGTGATTCCCTGCGAAACGTCTCCCAACATCCGGTGGATGCTCACTTGTTGGAAAGCGAAAGCAGACGGTGGGTAGCCAAATTACTGAATTTTTTAAAGAGTTTCGAACCATGGTTAAAAAATAAAAATCGATTCAATTTTGACAAAGTTGTAGTTCGTGTTGAAACATTCCAGCATATTTCTAGGAACTTTAACTTAGGTTCATCTTATAGAATTAATTAAATTAAATTACTTAAATTTAATTTGAATATACGATAATGCTTACCAATTTGTTATACTTTGCAGCTTGGACTCTGCGGTCTCAATGAGCCTGCCGCCGTCGACGTGCCGTGACTATGATCGTGATTAGAGGATTGTGCAATCGCGTTGTCATCTGGTAACTTGATCCCGCCAAGACGTAACGTTAACTGCCAGCGTAAGGCAAACCACATGCATTTATTTTGAGGCTAAACGCTTTAGACTACAAAATACGATATATATATATATATATATATATATATATATATATATATAAAAAAGATGAAGAAAATAACATAATTATAATTAATTGCGCAATTTAGTTCACCAAACTGCGTTCATAAAACACTTGAAGAGCTTCAAGTACGATTCTAGCTGTTCATTGTCTGCTTTGATAGACAATCGAATATAGTGCGCTCCATTATTTCGCATACAAATCGTTTATCTCGAATTGGACATTCATATTTTCAACACATACATATAAAACATTAAAGGGTCACAAGTTCCGCTTCTCCTCGACAGGTAGGAGAGAGCACTGAACTACATATTTATCATATATGAGCTATAAATTTACATAACATTGTCTGCATATATAAGGACATAAACACATAGTCGGCACAACAACACATTTAACTTCTGACATATTTACTTGAAGTACAGTTTGTGTTCAGTAACTTACTGCATATTTTATAAATTATACAAAAATAAACACGTCCAACAACACATAAAAAATGCGCTTTTATTTTTGCGTCTTCAGCAGCTTTTCCAAACAATTTACAACTAATTTCATATTCGCCTTTTGAGCAGATAACTTGGCCACCTCACCGACTATGGCAAAGAGGGCTTTCGATTTCCCCTTCTGGTATTGCTGCACAGCCTTTGGTTGGTTTACCATTGCCTGCTGGCAATAGGCCTCAATGGTGCTCATATCGCAAATCTGTTCCAGATTGTGCTCGCCAATCAGCTGTAAGGTGAAAGTTATTAATTTATTTTAAACAGCATTGTGATATATATGGAAAAAATACTTACTTGACTAACATCACTCGTGGGATTATTGTGTAAGAGCTGAATAAGTTGTCGTGCTGCTTGCAAATTAATTTGTTCTGCATGAAGTGATTTGAGGACATCCTTCAACGCACTGGCGCTTATAGCACTAATAAATGGATAATATTAATGCCCAATTCGGACACCGCGCATATGTTAGTTACCAATCCTCGATGTCCAAGCTAAGCTTGTTGCAGTAGGTCAACAGATCGTTAATAAGAAAGTTGGTAACTAATTTTGTTGGCACACCAACTAGACTCTTAGTAATATTTACAAAGTGATCCAGCAGGACGGGTTCATTCTGCAGAAGGTTGTATAAAATACGTGTACTATCAACTTGTCCAATCTTATGGAGTGAAGGGATCTTACCACCAAAATGATGGCTGTCTCTGCATTTAGTTTGTAATGTTCCATTAGTCGCTGACGCGTATGCTCGGGCAATTCAGGTATTTCTTTACTTAACGCAGCAACCGATATCAAATCGTTGGTTGAACTGGAGCCTGGTTTAAGATTCACATGCAAGGGCGGCAAATTGGGCTCTGGCATAAAGCGATAATCTTGCAGCACTTCCTTGTCACGCATTGCGATAGTCCGCCTGTTCTCTGCATCCCAGGAGCGCGTTTCATTTGTGACCACACCACCCTCAGCCACAAGCTCCAGCTGGCGATTGATTTCATAGGAAATCGCCTGCGAAATGCTTCGCACAGAGCCAATGTTCTTAACTTCAGTGCGCACGCCGAAGGGATCCCCTTCCTTATGTATGGATATATTGGCATCCACACGCATTGCACCCTCTGCAAATAAATATATAATTATAGATCGACAGCTGGACATCATTGGTAACTTGCCTTCCATTTTACAGCTACAGGTTTGTAGTCGCTTTAGTATGAGCATAAGTTCTTTCACCAGCGAAGCAGCCTCTTCGCCAGTTTCCAAATCTGGTGCAAACACAAGTTCCATTAAAGGCAGCCCGGCGCGATTGAGGTCAACTAAACTTCTTTTTAGATGCTCGTCGTGCAATGATTTGCCACTGTCCTGCTCCAATTGCAATTGCAATAGGTTTACAGATTTATAGTAAACCTTTTTGCCGGGCGTAATGACTGGAAATGTCATCAGACCACTGTTCGCCAGCGCCGCGCGTTGTTGTGTAATTTGGTAACCGTTCTACAAGTATTCAAAATGTTTACTTTGTATAAGACGTCAAGGTGTTCCAATGCTCACTGGCAAGTCGGCATAGAAGTAATGCTTGCGATCAAACATGGACACCTCGTTCACCCGACAGCCAAGCGCCAGAGCAGTCTTTATTCCAGACTCCACGCATTTCCGATTAAGAACCTTAAAAATAGATTAATTGAGGTTATTAGCATTTATGTACTTAACAAATGGAATTCAACTCACGGGCAGAGTGCCTGGTATGGAGGCATCAAAATAGGCAACTGCTGTGTTTAGAGGTGCTCCAAAGGCAGTGCCACTGCCCGAAAACAATTTGGACGCTGATGCAATTTGTGCATGCACCTCCAAGCCAACGACGCTTTTCCATTTGCTGCAAAAAGATTTACAATTTATCGAAATAAACAAATTATTTGTATACTACCGCTTGGGGGCCTTGGCCAATTTGGGCTGCGTTGCCAGTCGACGGACTATAACATAACTTCCCATTGCAAATGGTTTCCTTGCGGGCTGAGATTTGATAACCACAACAGCTGAGAATCAGCCGCTCTCTCAGCCAATAGGAGCATTACCTATTCTGATTCGAACTTGAACAGACAAATTCGATAGCAACAATCGAACAGCTGATAACCTGACGAAGTAGATCTAAATCTAAGGGGTAAACCAACTTAGGGTTTGATTAATATTTTCAGCGATCTACCTTCTTTGCTCAAACCACAAATTATTATAAGCAGTCTAGCCAACATTACATTATAAAACAAATAATATTTAATTGGAATTAACATCATGAGAGCGAATATTCCCAATGAGTACACTAGTCTGTTAACAACAGCTGATTTTACTAGTCGTGTCACGAAACAGACGTTTATGATCGATATTTAACATTTAGTTTCGATACTTGTATTGACGATAAATCAAAATATCACGAAGTCAAAGTGGGCTCCACTGGAAGAAGAACATGAAGAAAATGAACATTACTGCTAATCTATTGTAGAAAAACGTGAAAAACTCATTTAAGAAAACATGTAAAAAAGATGAAACTACCAGAGGTAAGTAAACGGGTCACACTGACCGCTGCAACACGTAAACTGGACAATCTGGCCAAAAAAATGTGATGCAAATTTTGTAAAACAGTTGACAACGACGAAGAAGAGAGCAAAAAGCACACGCAGCGCAGCAAACACAAAAAACACGACCAAGAGACCACGACAACTTCGACGACAACAACGACGGCTACAAAGTTCTTGGAGTGGTGACCACTGCCAGAGCGCCAGCGAACGTGTGCAGCTGCAGCTGAAGTTGTTGTAGTTAATCTAAAGGAGGGTAGGCAGTGCTACTGGGACTGAGAGTGGGAGTGGGTGTGGGAGGTGCATGTGCAGTAAGAGAGGAGCCAGCCCATGCTGAAAAATCAATCGAAAACACAACCACATGCTGTCCAAAATTAACTAAACACATACTAAAATGGACATCGAGAAGATCTCCATAGATTTGGAATCAAATCAAACACACGATACGGAGGAGGCAAAGCAAAAACTTGTTGAACTTTTCACACAGAGTAAGTTACTAAAAAATATATATATATAGTGTAAATGTGTTTATTTAATAACTACATACATATTACATATATTTTGTAATAGCTAAGGAACAATGGCCCGTACGCTATATGATGGACTACTTCATCAAAACTGGCTCCACGCGCATCATGGAGGTGCTGGTCAAAGCTAAGCCACCTCACGATGCCTTTATATTCGATCGCCTGGACGATTGGCTCAAGCAGCAACAGTATCGTGTCCAGGCCTTGAATGTGTTCTGTTTTGTTGTGCGGCGCCATCCCACCTGGTTGCACAAAATCGAGAAGCACCGTCTCATTAATAGCGTACTCAAACTGTTAATGGTGAGCTATATATATATATATATATATATATGTATATATATAATTGTAATATGTTTCGAGAGTTTCATAGATCACATAATTCACAATTAAGAGTCGTAAATTCAAGACCCATGCACTGCAATGCAAATTAACTACTGATAATTGTATTACCTTATTTATATATAAATAAATATATGTGTACTCTGTCGAATTGTTGCAGCACGAAAAGGACATTGTGCAGTTGATGAGCGCTCTGTTGAGCATTATAACGCTGCTACCCATAATACCGAATTCGGTGCCAAACTTTTTGAACGATTTGTTCGAGGTGTTTGGTCATTTGGCGTCGTGGAAGCTGCAAATCGTCAATAAGCTGCCGGAGGAGAAGGTGCTGCATCTGCAGCTTGGCCTGACAATGCTGTTTCATCGACTGTACGGCATGTATCCGTGCAATTTCATAGGCTATCTGTCGGAGTTCATTAAGAAGGATAAGGCCGGAGGCAGTATCTTTCAGCATACGATTAAACCATTGCTGGACACGGTGCGCATCCATCCCATGTTGCTGACGGCCACCATCGAAACGGAGCTGAACAATGCACGCTGGAAGGAAATGGAACCGCATGATGTGGTCCTAGAATGTGCACACTTATCGCTGCCCGTGCTGCATCCCGATTCGACCAATGAGGAAATCAACTCCGCTTACAGCTACGGCACGCCCAGCTGCAGTCGCATGGTATCGGTCAACTCGAACAGCGACTCGCACACCAATAGTAGCAGTCTGCTAAGGAAACTGCCTCAATCGGACGCACCTGTCAAACGCTTTGAATCTGCAGCATCCGAGACCATCAACACGCCGATCTGGAGTCCCATGAATGAAATAACCACTGCAAGCGGCGGCACAGCAATACCGTTGACGCCGACGGCGCCGTTTATATTGCCACTGCAGCCGTCCAGCAACAATGCTCAGCTACTCGGTGCGACTGGGTCGTCGCCACCGGAGGCGGCAGTGGAGGCCACGCCGGAGACAACGCCACTAAAGGATTTGCGCGACTTCAAGCAACACCAACAGCAGCAGCTGCCCAACTCACATGCTGTGCGCTCCATTTTTGGCAACAGCCAGCCTTCGTCGCCACAGCGGAAGGATCACCAAAACCAGTTCCACTATCCGGACATTAGCAGCAACGCAACTGGGAATGATTCCCTAACCAATTATACTCGTCGACTGCAGCTGGACAGGCAGAACCCACAGGCAGAGCTGCCCGAGCTGCACTCGGAGGCACTGCTAACGGCCACGCTGTGCACGATGGGTCCGAATACCGTGCTCACATGGGAGACCAAGGAGCTGAGGAGCACCGTTTGCGGCGAATGCAATGAAACTGATCGGAACCTCTGTAGCGATGGAGGCCTCCACATGCCCACCAGCCGCTCAGTGAAGCAGCTGGCGAAGGTGAAGCGACGCGATCGCATGTCCAGCTATTGCTGCAACGAGACCATCTTCTCTCCCAGCAGCAGCAGCGGCACAGCTCCCAAGTTGGCAAATTGGAATAGCGCCCAAGCGCAGCATCAGATGCGACGCAGCAAGTCGTGTTCGGCTGTGCAGATCGTGCAGCAGACTGAGGATCACGAGGAGGATGACGAGGCCGATTGCCCAACAGAGTTGCAGCATAAGAATGGCAATGGGAATGGGAATGGAGTGCATGTTGCATGCGACATCCGACCACAAAAGACTGTGCAGCTGCAGGCTGGAAAACTGCAGCGTAGCGAACGCATTCTGGCCATGGTTGCGCCCAAGTTCGCGAATGCCTGCACACAAACGCTGCAGATGCTGCCGACACACTACGAGGATTGGCTGTTCGAGCTGCTGTTTGAGTGCAAGGAGCAGCGCAATAAGTACGAGCGTAGTCAACTGTATCCGCAGGACATACTCGATCAGTACATAATGCGCTGCATAAACGCCAAGGATGGCTTGGATGCCTGCGGTGGCAACAATCTCAGCATCTCATCCCTGCAGGAGCAATGCCAATTGATGTGCTTGCAATTGCAATACGAGAGTTATCGACGCGGCATCCATGCCGAACGCAATCGCCGTTTGATGGGACGTAGTCGGGACAAGCGCAGCTTAGAAATGGAACGAGATCGTTTGAGTGAGCAGCTGAAGAACTTTGATGCGAAGAATCGTGATCTCGCCGCCATGGTGGACGAGACAATTCGGCAGTCGAATGAGCGACAAAACAGCTACAATGATGAGCTCGCCAGCCTAAAGTCCAAATATCAGCACGAACTGGAGCAGAATAAGTGTCTGCGGCAGGCAAACGATGATTTGCAGACGCGTCTGGGTGCTGAGATACAGCAGCGCAAGGAGATCAATTACGATGTGGAATCGTTGCGTGGCCAGATATTCACAATGAGCACCGAACTGCAGCGTGCCCAACAGCAGGCCGATCTCGGCCAACAGTGCAAAGAGGAACTGGCACGCCTCGAAGCTGAGTTCATTATCATGGGCGAGGTGCAGGTCCGTTGTAGGGATCGACTCGTTGAGGTTGATAATTATCGGGCACGCGACGAGGAACTGCAATTGCTGCAAGAGAGTTATAATGCCGAACTAAAGGGTTAGTCAATATATATATATATATATATGTAAATAGAATATATGTAACTAATCGTGTAATTTACAGAGCTCAAGCACAACCAGGATGAGAAGACATCTCAACTCGAGGCGACCAGATACAAACTCAGCGAACAGCAGTCGCAATTGGCCAACAGCGAGAAGGTCATAACGGAGCAGAAGCGTTTGCTGCGCACCGTCAAGGACGAGTATGATGAAATGTTTAAGGTACATATCAAACTTATGTCTAGTAACTGGTTCGAATAACAACTGATTGTGCTCTTCCTGCAGTCGGTGAACAAAAAATACGACATTCAAAAGAAGATTATTGTGCAAATGGAGGAGAAGCTGATGATGTCGTTGCAGCAGCCGCAGGGCGCTGTGGGTCACACCACCTGTTCGCCGGACACTGACCGAACTGGTGAGATTGCTGCTGATGGCAAATATTAGAGTCCCCTTTTTTAGTGAGCAAATATTGTTTGACTTTTGCAGACATTGCCTCATCCATGGAACGCAACTCACCGCTCTCAACGTCACTGGCATCGAGTGAGAGCCTGTCGGCCAGCCTACGCTCGACGGAGCTAAAAAATTTGCAGCAGCTGCTCGATGCGCCATTGATACCCGAAGTACTGTGCAGCGTGGCCAGCGGCACAGGCTCCGCAGCGGGCACTAATGTCCTCTACGAGGACAATGCTCGCTTGCCTGCCATCGATTTGGCCTCGTCGGCGGGCACTGCGACCGCTATAAACATAATGCAGACGACAGCGACAGCAACAGCGGCACTGCCGCAAGAAATCGACCTGCCGACGGCATCTAATCACACACACACCCACACACACACCCACCCACATTTACACTTGCAACAGCAGGAGCAGCAGCAACAGCAGCCAGCGCACAGTCAGCAGTAGGAAACTGCAGCAAACGAACACGTTTGCACTAAATAGAAAGTACACAAGGCTGTCAATTATAAAAGCAAAAAAATAATGATCCTTTGGAACAGGGGCAAAAATCAACTACAAAATTAAACATGTATCAAAAAAGAAAAAAAAAAAAAACAAAACAAACAAGAAAACTGCAAATATCTCTTCTATATATACACATACGTACATATGATTTTTTTGTAATTTTTTGTCTCCCACTACCAAAAAATAATTGAAGTCGGATTTTGAAACGAACTGTTCAGGGTTTTCTCGCATTCAGTTTAAAACTGTACACTAAAGTTTAATAAAACGCAAACTCCGCGCAATAATTATACATAACGATTATAAACGTTTGAAATTTTAACTTGTTGGCACATTGCAATGTGTTTTGTCGTATACAAATTGTAAAAAAAACAAAACAAAAAAAATAAAACGAAAATAGGTTTTGATATGATGAAACATTTAAATGAGCATAATTCAAGCGCATATTGACTTTATAATAAACGATCAAGGATGCAATTAATACGCTGTTGGAAAGCTTATTTTTGTACTTTGTTTTTGTCTTTATCAATTTGCGTTGTTATGTAACAGCTGCCACTGCTATTGGCGCGCACTTCAAAGACTTTTTGAGAGCAACAGCCTTATTAGCATAAAATAATTATTTGTTCCGCACAGCTGGCAGCTCTGACTGGCTTGGCGCCAAATTCAAACAGGGCGCAACAGTTGTTAGGCATTGCCAGCGTCACGAAAGTGAAACAGCTGGCAGCGCTGCAAGCAGCTGAGGCGAAGAAGAAGAAGAAGACAAGAATAAATCAGCAGAAAACGCCTCTAAAAGAAAACGAAAAAAGAGGAAACTGATAAATATGATGTCCCAATATATGGAGGAGTTTGAACAGGTATTTATAGACCCAAAAACATATACATTAACAAGGGCGACATGCAATAAATTTCCATTCCAGGAGCCTTTCGAGGTGGGCGAGTTTATTGAACGTCTTACCTGGCGCACTAACAATGAGCTGCAGAATAGCGAGGATTTCAATCCGGAGGCTCTTCATAACACGTTCATACAAACGATCAAGGATCTGAAGATATTGCAGGAGAAGCAGCAGAGCAGGTGCGAACGTTTGGAGGAATCATTGCGACAGGAGCAGGATTCGCATGCCAAGAAAATCGTTAAGCTGCAGGAGCGTCATCAAACCGCAATCGACTGGTTTGGCCAGCTGGATGAGAAGATCAATTCGGTGGCAGGCAAGATAATGCATCTGGGCGAGCAGCTGGAGAATGTGAATACTCCACGTAGTCGCTCGGTGGAGGCGCAAAAACTGCTCAGCTACATGTCCGAATTTTTGATGGCCGGACCCGTCATAGTCAATGATATATTCAGTGATCCCCTGCGTCTCCATGAAGCTGCGGATGTCATACAAAAGTTGTACGCAATTTCACAAGATCTACCGCCCGGTAATTTTGCCGAGTCCAAGCGTAAAATTGAAAAGAAATACGATGAAGTGGAGCGACGACTCATCGAGGAGTTCGCAGCGGCCCAAAAGAGCGAGGATATTGAGCGTATGAAGTGCCTGGCACAAATCCTATCCCAATTCAAAGGATATACACAGTGTGTAGATGCCTATATCGAGCAGAGCCAAATGCAGCCATGTAGCGGCAAGGATATATTCATTGGCATAGTGCCCATGTGCAAGCATCACTATGAGATCATCAAGAAGGTGTTTGCCAATCCACAGCAAGTCATGTCCAAGTTCATACTGAACATCTATCAGTTGAAGCTGCATCAGTATGCAATGACCAAGTTGGAAGACAAGAAGGATGAGGAGAAGTATCTGCGAACGCTCTACGAACTCTATTCGCGGTAAGTTAAAGAGGAACAAATAGTTTGATACTATAATACAGGTTATTATAGTTACTGACCCCTTACAAGGAAATAGGAATTACGAATTACTTATAACCATTATAATTGTAAATAATTTGAATTATTTTTAGCACTTTGAAACTATCCAGCGATCTGCAGGTTTACATGTCCACCATTGATGATGATCTGCTGCAAAAGCTCACCCAACAAATTTTCATGAAAAACCTGGCCGTCTATCCCGAAATTGAAATCAAGTGTCTGACGGCTAAGTGCTCGACGGAGCTGGAGAAATTCTATGCCAGCAAGAAACATCAGAAGACACAAACGACAAAAGGTTTTCGACGCAACATGGAGGTGCTGATTGCGACACGGGCGAACATCAACATTGCAGCCATTGAGGATTATGGTGGCGAAACTTTTCTATCGGAGGAACTGGCCATCAATATGCTGCAAGAGGCCAAAGCCTCCTTCAAACGCTGCAGACTGCTCTCGAGCGAGGTAGAGCTGCCCGGCAATGCCATCAAGCTGAACGGTATTTTGCAGCGCTTCCTCATGCACGAGCATGTTGACTATGCATTGGAGTTGGGCCTGCAGGCCGTGCCATTGGCTGAGGGCAAAGTATTTCCACAATTGTATTTCTTTGATGTGGTCCAAAAGACGAATATCATTGTGCATTTGCTGGACAAATTGTGTAACACGTCAGTTATACCCTGCGTTAGGTAATCTAAATAGATTTACTAAAATTATAATGAATAGTTAATGGCATTTTCGAATTTGCAGTAACACACCAAAATACTCAGATTATGTGTTTAAGAAGCGCACATTAATGGATCAAATTGAAACGAAACTGGATCAGGGACTGGATCGCTCCATAAGCGCAGTGATTGGCTGGGTTAAGGTCTATCTGCAGTACGAACAGAAGAAAACGGATTATAAGCCCGAAACGGATGTGGATACAATCTCATCGGCTGTAAGAAATCGCTTTCAATTAGTTTTCTATTTCTCTTTGTTTTTATTATTATTATAATGATTTATTCGTTCGCAGGCTTGCCTTCAAGTGGTGCAGAGTCTGCAGCCCGTTATTGTGCAGATAAAAAAGTGTGTGGATGGCGAAAATCTGCAAAATGTGCTGACAGAGTTTGGAACACGACTCCATCGCATCATCTACGATCATTTGCAGACAATGCAATTCAATACGGCGGGCGCCATGTGTGCCATTTGCGATGTCAACGAGTATAGAAAGTGTATACGTGAGCTAGACAGTCCGCTGGTGACGCAACTATTCGATATACTGCACGCTCTATGCAACTTGCTGCTGGTAAAACCGCAAAACCTTCAAGAGGTTTGCACTGGTGACACTTTGGTAAGTGTGGGAATTTCTGATATTTGCTATGTGCGTATATTTAATGTCAAACTTATCGCTGTTCACATTTCAGAACTATCTGGACAAGTCTGTGGTGCGTCAATTCATCCAACTGCGCACCGATTTTCGTATCATTAAGAACACCAATTATCTAAAGGGAATCATCGAGTAGGAATCGAACGTAACCAGAGGCGAGGGCGAGCCCTTGCTGACTCACATTCCCAAATTTAATTGCGTTGCTCTGTGTGGTTATTTATTTATATAAACGTAATCATGAACAAAAACCAATATACACAACGTATTTGATTTGTTGACACATTTCAATTAAAGTCAAGTGCTTGCATTTTTTTATCTACACTTTAACTATCGTTTTAATTATGGCCAGGTATCTCCGTACCCTAAATATAATACCTCAAAATCTTGATATTGCTCGATCGAGTTGTATCAGTCAGTAGCACCTCACAGTCGCTGGCTACTCTTTTTCCCAATCAGTTAGCTCCAGTTCGTTCACAGGCAATAAATCAAAGTTTATTGCTACTAAACACTAATTATTTGTTTTCGTTTGAATTGAATGAGGTAGGGTGAGCTCTACCAATTGCAGATACCGCCAGTTAAACGCCTTCTAGCCACTTTTAGGTAGCCTTAGCTTTTTGTCAGTCATCTGCTAGCCGTGAAACCAAACGTATCAAACTCTTGCAACTTGGCTTGCCGCCTTTATTATTGTTTTAATCACATTGTTTTATTTTGCTTCTTTTTTTTGCAAACCTAGCCAATAATTGCGCTATATATTTTAATCGCCGCGATCTTGTACGAGCATTGAGCCATGCGCGGCTATTTTGTTTATTACCTGAAAATAATTTGGCTAATTTGTGTTATTCACGAATTGGCTTCCTTTTCTATCAAGTCGACCGGAAATGTTGCATACAAAAAGCTAATGGCGATGCGTTCACTACCATTTGAGGACTGCGGTGAGTGGGTGGATTTATCGTATCGATAAGGTTTTCCTCAAACTAAATCTTCGCTAGAGAGAATCCTGAGTGCTATTTTTGGTTTAAGTTTCAGTTTTAAATTTAGTTTTAGTTCAGAAATTTATTTTTATTAAGAAACATTAATAAAATAAAAATAAACAAAAAGCAGGATATTTGTCTATCATTGGGAAATTCATTTTTGATATAGAGTACTAGAGACTATAATAATATATTATATAGATTGAGTAATTATGTAAGAAGCCAAATTCTAAATTAAACCTGTTAGCAATAAATATCCTAAATTATTAAAATATTCGTTATAACAAAACCGAATTGGACCGACATTAAAAATCGAAGAAACAAATGGGTTCTAAGTATATTCATAGTCGAGTACACTGGATTATACCGTACCGATATTTACTCATAAAAAAGTATATGTATTTTATGAACTTCTTGACAATAAATGTTCTAATCAACTGAAATAGAAATAAATAGCAAGTACTGATGAAAAAATTGTGCTAAATATATATTATATGTAAATTACATAAGAAACTTACCAATAATCAATTTACCAATAACTATGTAAGTCTATATAATCCATTAAATACTGTATAACATATGTAATGATTAGATTTCCTGCTTGACATTTCTTGTTAAGAGGCTACTCATTTATATATATAACACTCATCTTATCCACCTCGAAACACAACTAATCCACAATTATTCAGAGGTCCAATATTAGGTCATTAATTTATAGACCCTACATTTGAAATAGTAAGCGTGCTTGGGCTAAGGCGATATCGTCAATGCTGATACACATGATCTAAGCCATTAATCAGTGTCAACTTTTAATTGGAAAAGTTCCCCACTCACAATAGAAAAAATCTAAACCACAACAGGTTTTTTTTTTGTATTATTATTGATAATCGAATAATCTAAACTAATCAATTTGCAATGGGAGACAACATAAAATAAATCATAATTGCTTCACACTCATCATAATTATGCATGACGAACACGCTAATTATAAACATTAGCTAAGTTAGTATTTAAGTACCCACTTTGTATATACCAGTTCATTGGATGTACATTTTCGAGATCAAAATAATATAACCTATTGAAATTCTCATGAAATCCATGTCCAAAAAGTTATTGCTTTTGAATATCGGTTCAAGTTTGTAGTTTTTTTTGGATAGAAGCAAAATGTATCACGCAAAAATCGGGTTTCTTAATACAATTGCCGAATTACCCATTATTACTTAGGAACAAGTTATTGCATTTAAATCTTGGTTCAGTTTCGATGAAGTTAGGGAAGAATGCACGTTCTACATAGCTGTAAATCCATTTCATCAAAAAGACGCATTTTAAGTAATGTCTAAATATATATTATATAATATATAAAATATATTATATATATATATATATATATATATGTACATCAATAAATGTAAATATTTCTACATCAATTTCTATTTATAAAAAATGCATTTGTTAATATGTTTAATCTTGTGAATTTTGCAGGTTCTCTGTATAGAGTGAACTACCTGAACATTGAGAGCTGTACAAAGGTGCCCTGTTCCATGGCTCGCAATTCCACGGTTAAGGTTACGGTGCTCTTCGATGATAACGGTAAATATACATACATATATAAACATGTGTGTTTGCTGATAATAGGCGTCTGTGCATTCAAATACGCCAAACAGTAGTACTCGGAAACAGTAATGAGCTATTACTTGGGGCTACAGCGATGCCAATCTCGATCAATGGCTGACTGTGGATAGGTGAAGGGGGAGGTGTGTGGCGTGTGGATGGGAAGCACTAACAATGTGCAAAGCGGATGGGGAATGCGGGAAGTCGTCGTGTGAGTAACAGAAGCCATCGGCGATAATGGGTTGTTAAACATGTCATAAAAATAATTGATGGAATGGGCTTGTAAATCAAATTAATACCACCAATTTTGCATTATACGACTTTATTTATGACATGTACTCTGTACTATTAATAAACCGCATACATACACAGATAAGCTTATTTTGTTTGTATTTAAAAATATAAGCACGATGCACTTAACTACCGACCAGTTGGCCATTTGAGTGTCCTTGAATGCAATTTAGGTTGGCGATATCGTTTATTTTGAATGTATAAATAGACCAAAATTGGCTCTTCGATTAGCTGTGTTTTGATTAATCAGCAAATTCTACAATTATTGCACACCGGCCCAAAAGAAACTGATAAATTCTGAAGTGCTTTCATTTGTATACCGATCTTAGGTACCAAACAAAAAGTCGATTGTATTAAAAAATGTACACAATCATTCACTACCAGGAAACGCAATAATAAATTGGGCGCGCACCTTGCAGCTTATTATTATTGTGTTTCTCAATTTGAATTGTATAAATTAGCGACTGAAAAGCTTTCCATTAGACGGCTATGTTTGAATGTACAGTATGTGTGCAATGTGTAACTGTCAAGGATCTCTCTCGCGCTCTTTTCACACTCTTTTTATTATGCTCTTAACATCGAATAAGCGAATAACCACTGCTTACGGAATGCCTTCTTTATGCATGCAATGAAGTTGGGCCAATATCTCATTTCATATTTCTTATATGTATTGGTTTCTAATCTGTTTTACTATCCCTTTTAATTAATGCGCTGGTGCATCTTTTCTAATTCTGGTTAGTCTTTTCGCTGCTGGGATGCAACAACTAAATAGGCAAGCATTATTGCATTATTTTTGATTATTTGCTGGCGCACCAAACCCAATATGCAATTGTTATTTCCTGTGAATATACCTAATCCTGCTTAGATTATTAATCGGCAAATTAAATTTAAGGCTTACACATTTTCTTCAGCTCTTAAGTAATCTTTGAATTTTTGCGCAATTTCCTCGATTGCAGGCAACGGAGTTTCGTTTCTAAAGCACGCGGTTAGCTGGGTGTTCACCTATGTTAAGACCGATGCGGCCATATCTCCCGATCCGTGCGATGGCGACCACAACTGCATACTGAATGTGAACAATAGTAAAAGCTATTGGGCCAATATATATGTGAATCCAACGCTGCCAGTGGTAAGTTCAAGATCCATGGCAATAGGCCACAAGAATCTCTCTGGTTTATAATCGACCGACTTGCTTGCAGATGAGGGGCAGTATGCTCTGGGAGGCCAAGGATGAACACAATCAAAATCTCATATGCTTTGAGGTGCCTGTTCTAATTACACTCTGAACACTTACACATATGTTTATATATATATACATACATATGTACATACATATATACACACATACATGTGCAAGTACAGTGTAATTTGTATATGCATATTTATGATACTTATGTAAAAAAAAAAACAATAAAATAATTGGTGCATGCAAAAACAATAGCAATCGAGTTATTAGTGGGGCAACAACAAACATACACGCACACACACACACACACACATACATGCATACGAGCACACTTACGCACACACATGCGTCCTTTAATGAAAATGTGAATGAATTGGGGAGCAGTGCAGAGAGACAAGACGAGAAAGACATAAGCGAAGGAGCAGAGCGAAACATAAATAACGCGATCTTTTGTTTTTTTTTTTTTGGTGGTGCGTTGCCAACGGCGGTACACGGAGAAACGACACAATTGGAGCATGAGCGCCATTCGCCATTCGCACATTTTCGCGAGCGCCGGGAGAGCGAATGCGAAACGAACGAGAGCCGAATGAGACGAGCGAGCTGCCGAACGAGCGCGAAACTGTGTTCGGTTCTTCAGCATCCAGATGCAATGCAATTGGTTGTCCGTTCAGTGTGTCAGTCAGTCTTTGTGGGTGCAACGCGACGGTCACGCGAGCGAGCAAAAAGAAGGAGCAGCCCTCTCCGCCTCCGCCTCCGCAGTTGCAGTCGCAGCAGCGCAAACCGAGCAGATCAAACTGAGACTTAATTAAATAATAATTCGCGCGCAGGCAACGATCGATTTTACACAGTCAAAAGTGCGCACGGCAGTGTTCTTGGTGTATTTGGGTGGTGCTTGCTGCTTGGAGCCATCCAAGTAGCGACATTCTGCGCCCAGTGCTCAGTGCTGGTGGTTGCCAGAGGCATTTCGTCGCTCATTGTGCGTCAAGTGTAAGTACTACAAAAACAAAAACAAAATGCTTGGCTCGGTTCGTTTGCTTGCCATTTGCGCAATTTGGTCGGCGTAAAATGAGATTGCCTTCGTGCTAATTGCGGCAATCGCTGGGGGTAAGTATGTGGGGCGAGGTTGGGATATGGGGATATGGGGAATGAGGAACGGGCAATGGTGAATGGGAAATGGGGATGCTATGGTGACATGCAACGCCACACTGCCCATACTCAGACAAGGCTACACACATATGTACAATACTTACGAGCTGAGAGTGTCCAACTCTGATATATATTGTGAAGTGGCAAAGCCGTAAGCGTCATACTCTTCGCATCGATAGAGGTAATGGAGCACCATTATCATATCCAATGCCCTGTGCCTGAACACTGAACCTGAACCTGAACCTTGCCAGCGACATTGCATACATTAGCCTAGAACACGAAACTCTCTGTTGTCATTCGGCACCGGAGTGTTCACATGCTCAGCTGAGCATTTAAGCCCCATAAATGAATGGCCCATGCATGGATCACACTATGTGATATGTGACAATAACAATGATGACACAATGTGAGAAAATGTCAAGAAAAAAAACTGTCAAAGAAACTTTTAATGGAAAGTCTAAACGATCCCAATGGGATCTGAATAAAGGTGTTGTTGTTTGTAAATCAAAAATTTGTAAGTTATTAAAAATAACTTAGTATTTCCTTAATTCGGGGTAAACAAAAATGTTAGAATTTTGGAATTTAGCGCACATTGGGGATTTATTTTTGTACATAAACTAAATGAGTATTCTATGTTTGTAATGCAGTTTCTGAACATTATTTTAATATGTTTTTCGAATAATTATATGTTCTTCTCCAAAAGTAAACAAAATCTTAAAAAAGTCGAAGGTAAAAAAGCGATGCCAAACAACTATTAAGTGGAATTATATATTTATTTTAACATTGAGGCTAAGGTTAATAGATTGCAGTTAACCTTTACATAATGATATTAAAAATTTACTGATGCTCATTAAAGCTCGATAAAATCTTTCCCACATTTTAGACATTTCTAGTTGTGCTTTATTATATAGCACCTTACTTATGACCAACAGCGTCTTGACTTGAAGTGTTGTTGTAGAGCATCAGATCTTCGTGTGATCCCCAAATTGTTGATTTGAGCCTCCCCGTTTGGTAGTTTGCTTTGCTCTTCTTGCGTTTACTTAAACGTAAACACTTTTCATATATGTGTATGTGGTAAATATACGACTCTGCCACTGACTGCACTTGAGGAGCAGCAACAAAGCGATGACGATGACGGTGTCGTTGTTGCTGTTGCTGTGTTGCATTTGTGTGTGTGGAGAATGTGGTTGTTGTTGTTGCTGCTGTTGCTGGTTGTTTGGTCAAAGTGTTAAACGATTTGCATCATATTACACACTGTTGTTGATGCTTCGCTGCCTGGCCATTGTCGCCACAGTCGCAGTCGCAGTCGCAGTCGCAGTGGATGTCTCTGTAACTGCCGCTGGCTCTGTCTCAGGCCAGAGCTGCTTTTGTGCTAAGCTGCGATGAGCGCAGACGAAGTCGACTGCGAGCACAAAACAAAAGCCACAACACAGGCGATCCAACTACCACCAATGATTTATCATAGCTGCAGCAGCAGCAGAAGTAGCAGCGACGCCAACGTAATCGATCCGGATCTCTCATAGTCCCTACCTCCCAACCTTCATCCTGCCCCCTCCATGCTCCAGTAGCCATGTGCATGTGCTTGCAATATGCGTGAGTGTGTGCGTGTGTGTGTGTGTGTGCAGCATAAAAAAGATAATTTTGAATTTTTGAATCGTTAAACGCAATTAATTGCTACAACGCAACGGCAGGCAGCCAACTCGAGTCAGCAAAGCAGGCAGCAGCCAAGCAGCCATCCTGGCTGGGAACAGCGACTGCCTGTCTGCTTGGCTGCCCCATTCTACTGTTGTTGCTGTTGCTGCTGCTGCTGCTCTTGCCAGCTTTACTGCCCAATTTTGTTGCAAATTTTGCGTTCCGCGGAACTTGGTGCATTTCATCTTGTTGTCATCAGCGTTGTGGTTGTTGTGGTTGTTGTTGTTGTTGCTGCTGCCGTCGATCGTCGCACATTCATTTGTCGCTTAATGTCCATCAGTTGCGGCTAAGTTACGCCTCACCCCTCCGCTCTTCTCGCACAACGACTTCGTTTGTTCTGTTGCGTTTCTTTGCCGCTCCACTCGGTTTCTGCCCCGCTGCCCCCGTTACCCCTGTTCCTCTACGGATAATGCTGTTGCTCCCAGAGTGTCTGTATCTGTATCATCTTGGCATGTGCGGCATCTGCTGCTGGCTGCCTGGCTGCCTGGCTGGCTGGCTGGCTGGGGCTTCTGTGATGAGATCGCTCTGTGTTTGCCTGTGTGTGTGTATGCTTGTGAATCTGGTGACATCCACTTGCATGCTCACATTTATCGTAGCCGCAGTTTTCATGATTTGTTTTCTTTTTTTTATATATATATTCTATGGCTGCACATTCGCACGCAGCAACACACACACACACACACACACAAACATACACAAACTGTCCATAAAACATTAGTTTCCCATTTGCGTGCTAAATACCCTATGTGTATTGGCTGCTGCATGCCAATTTAAAAAGGTTCGCCAAGCGGACAATTCCGACCAAATTGACAAATGACAGTTCGCAAAGGAATGCTGTTCAGCCCAAAGAATGCGAAAAACTTCTTTGCTGGCAGCTGTTAAATATAATTTAACCAGCAGCGTTACTTAGAACGATCTTTTATACATAGCACATAGCTATGTACTAAACCAACAAAAGAGATAATTTTCAGAATATACCTTGCTGGAAAAGAAAATAGTTTAAAATTTCAAATGAAATAAAGTAAAAGGTAAAATGTATTTAAGCAAACAGGGAAAGGGAAGGGAGACATTCTGTATTAAAAAATATTACATTCCTAGAATTGGATAAAGAACTATAGTTTATTTACCAGGTAAAACCACATTATAAGAAAAAATTAAAAAAAAAAAATACAAATGATGCAGTTTACTAATATGTGATTAGTAAACTTAACTAACAATAAATTATATTAGAATTATTCACAATTAATGCGGTCTACCAAAATAGGGTATCAACGCATTCGGCGTAGGGTAACATTTGAGATAATCTCGCCGTTTGCCTATCTGTCCGATGACTTCGTGGCACGCACTGTGATGCGCGCTTTGAAGTCCTGTCAAGCACTTGAGGAGCATTTATGTATTTTTGCATTTTCATTGCCTGGTTCCACTTGGCAGACGCCAAGCGGCGCACAAATGCAGGGAATGATTAGTTAGTTGGTCAGGCAAAATGGAATAAACCGGTTAGATCGATCCTTCATCATCATAATCAACATACACACATACTGTTAATTATGAATGCGAGGAATGCGTCGACTCTAAGCCAAACAGACACTGAGAGAAAGAGGGAAAGAGGAAAAGAGACTCCCAGAGTCTCAAGAGCATGATGATCATCTGGTAAATATTTATTGCAGATAGCCATCTAAAAGATCGAACCATCACACAGAGATCAAGATGCTGATCATGTTGGCACTGGCGCTGGTCCTGCTGGGCAGCCGGGCCGCGAATGCAACCATCTCAATGCATCAACGCCAGCGCGACAGCACCGACATTAAGGAGAAGATCATCGAGCTGCAGTGTCTGGCGCACTGCGAGAACAGCACCCAGCCGCATCGCTGTGTCGACCAGTGCAAATTGGAACTGTTGCGTGCACCCAGAGCCGGCAGCTGCCCCAGCAGCAGCAGCAGCAGCAGCAGTGGAACACTGCTCGTCAGTGCCCGACAGGCCCGGCTGTCGTGTCTGGATAATTGTGTCTACGATCACGACTGTATCGAGGTGCACAAGTGCTGCCCTTCCGCATGTGGACCTATCTGCCTGGAACCGCTGGGTGTGCGTAATGCCACTCAGCTGCCGCCCATACCGAAGATCTTGCGATACAAGCTACCTCGCAGCCACAAGGTGGAGCTGACCATTGAGTCATCGCTGTTGCCCTACTATTTTCATGTGGAGGTGCGCTCCCATATCGGACGACTCTTTGCGCCCCGTAAACTGGGCATGTGGCAGTCACAACAAGTCGAGAAGATACTGGAGACGACGGACGGACACAGCAAATTGTAGGTACTCACTCCATGCACACCTGTTTAGGTGTATCGGGTTTGGATTTCATTCCATGTGATGCTAAACTATTTTAACAGATCAATTTTTAATTAACTGCTGACTGATCCCCGCAACTGATTCTAATCACCGCTCATAATCAACTCTTAAAAAATGAGTCAATCTTAAGTCATCAGAAATCTAATATTAATGTTTCGTAAGTGGCCAAAACGCCAAAATGTTCTTTAAAAGAAAGGCTTACACCTGTCCCTCCACCACCCAAAAAGCAATAAACTGTTTCCTGTCCCAGAATCCTCATAGTGTGTTAGTGTTTTAATTTTAATACACAGGGCAAAATATTAGTTGGAAATAAAAAATATTAGCCAAGATTTGCACAATATTTTTCTCTGTTTAGTTGAGCATGTTTCTGATAATAAAATTCAAAACAAAATAAAAATAATAATATTTAACTTTGAATTAAAAAAATATTATAAAGTTATTTTTTTAATTTCTTGCGGTTCTTAATTAAGTGAATTAGTTCAACGTTTGTTGCATGGAAGAAAAGTCAATGAGACTAAAAATAAATAATAGCTAGTATGAATCAGTTAAGATAAAATTGTTATTCACGAGACAAGAAGCTCAAAATGTAGTTCTTATTGATAGAAATTAAGGACTCTGCTCTATTGTAATCATTACATAGTGCACGGAAAAGTTCATACAATTCAATTTAAAGTTCAATATTTAATTTAATTAATATACATGTAATTTTACACATAGATGTTTAATTACGGCTGAAGCCTGAGCTTTAGACAAATTGATCTTGCAACTGATTAATACCGCTTTTGCCCACAGCATGGACATCTTTTTCAACATACGACCTGGTCGCTGGTATCAGGTGCGAGTGGCGGCAGTGAATGCATTTGGTTTTCGCGGCTACTCGCAGCCCTCGCATGCCTTTACCCTCTCCAGCAGTGAGTTGTTCGCTTCGTGACCCTTTCGTGGCAATTAACCTAAACCGTTAATGCTTGCAGATCCTAAGCCGCCGAAGGCGCCCAACGATTTAAAAATCGTTTCCAAGCACTACGATGGACGGCGTTATATGAGCCTTAAATTGATTTGGTGCCCGTCCAAATCGAATCTGCCTGTGGAGAAATATAAAATTATTTGGTCACTCTATGTGATCAGCAAGGAGGGCTCTCTCATCACACACGAGGCCTATGTCAAGGACGTAAGTGTGCCAGAATTATAAAGCTACAAGCCCAAATAAATATATTTATACCTATTTAAAAGTTTAAAGAAGGATGATTTTATCTACAGATTTTCTATAGTGTGTCAAACCGATACGAATTTAGGTCCCGATTTGGTTTTGATACCTTGCTAGAATCTGGAATTTGTTTGCTTTATAATTGCTACTGCAAGAAATAATTTTTGAATTTTGTGAGACATTTGAAAAAATATATTTTTTTACGAATTGCATTGCATATTATTTGTTTAATATCTTTTTGAACTTAGTGAAGCTAAATTCGTACACCCTTATTATACCAATAATTTTGAATTCAAATTTCCAACGCTTTTAAAGAGACAGAAAGATGAGATTTAAGTGACATTTATGTCTACATCTTGATCACGAATGTAGATATCAGCCGATTAACTTCGATATGAGCTAAGTAATCTTCAGCCTGCCTAAGACAACCGTTCTTTCTTGTTTTAAATTCTAATTGATGAGAGTATTGCAAGGCTGACATCCACAAAAGTGCCGCTAATTAATAAATTTACTAAATCTTATTGCAGACGCATCAGTTCGATATTAAGAAACTACTGCCCAACTCCTCGTACTATATACAAGTGCAGGCCATGTCAATAAGCGGTTCGCGTCGACTGAAGTCGGATAAGAAGGCGCTGCTGTATAATACAACGCTGCAGTCCCTTGAGCCATCTACGACACTCGACTGTCGAGCACACCATATCCGGCACAAGTATCATCACAGCATCGGCCCAGCCGAGATTAGCTCCACGCCAGCGATGTACATTAATGAGGTGGCGCATACAACGACGCCCGCGGAGCTGGGCAACGCCTCCTATGAAGTCCGTTTCCGTTTGAACCGGAAATTTGGCATGATTGTGCAAATTTTGGGATTTCAGCCACACAAGGAGAAGTAAGTGCGACTAATAATCGGCGGTGTGAAACACATGTTGATATTCATGTTATTCAATTGTTTATAAACAAATTCGTATAATATATGTGTGTGTGTGTGTGTGTGTGTGTGTGTGTGTGTTTATTATATATTACATTGCAGAGTGTACGAGTTGTGCCCCCAAGAAACGAATTGTGAGCAGCGCGAGTTTAGCGCAATTCGCGTCAAAGTAAGTACAAAAATGGGGTCTTTGCCACGAGCTGGGTTCGTGCCACTCCAATCATTGCATTACATTTCAAACAAATCATTTGTCATTTGGTCAATTGGGTATCCGGTTTCGGTTTCATTTTGTTTGCCATGTTTGACACGTGAAACACGTTTTAGGGCGGGCGCCACGTTCGTGGTTCGCTGCAATCGCTGCGCAAAAGCCAATTACGATGGGCCAATGACGTGCTGGGACACACAAGAGCCAAACAGCACACATACACACATGTACATTAACTGTTTGAGATATTTGAGGTGCTGCACTCGCGGGTCGTGTACCAACGATTTATACAAATCGCATTTCTCAAAATATTTACAATTTCTCTGGGTTAAAAAAAAAAGCCAACTAACTAGGCTACAATTGTCCCGTTCTCCTACCGCGGCACTGGAAGAAGATTGACCAAGCGGCTTCACTAATACATTTTGTAAGGATTGAAAACGAAAGCAACCCAAAAAAACTTGATCAGCAATGATTATTAAGTAAAACTCAACTTTTAAATAGAAGAGAGCACCTTAAGGTCCACTTGGTGGGTGATACACAGTATCCTTCAATTTGAATGTGTATCATTATATTTGTAATAATTGGATAGGACATTTTTGACATTGGCATTTCCTTAATTCACTATCTCTTTCACGATCTAATTAAAGTGCGTCAACTTCAAAATTATATGAGTTTATATTATGATTAATAATGAAAAAAAAAACAGCTTTAATCAAAATGCCTATCTAAAGATTCTATCTCATGTTAATTAATCCACGTTTCATTTACAGAAAGACTCGCTGGAGTTTAGTAAATTAAAATATAACACAACGTACGTGCTGAAGGCATTGCGGCCCAGTCCAAATTCAGTGCTGGATGACACCTCCAGGAATGCATTCACATTCACAACGCCCAAGTGTGAAAACTTTCGCAAACGTTTTCCCAAAATGCAAATCAGATGCAGCGTCGATTAACTCTTGGTATAATTATTTAACTTAAACTCGAGCTGGAAATGTTGGTGATACGATTATAAGGATTATTGCGCCAGCATCCGGTTTCCGATTACTTACCGACCATGAGATTATACTAGCTTGTAAATAATTGTATGTAACGACTTAACTTTTTTTTACTTATTGTTAACTCTAAGTATAATAGATAACACACTGAATCTTTCGCATGGAATCGCAATTTTATTTGAAAAGATCTTTAAACTCCTGCAAGTCGCGCTGATGTTGCGTCATCGCCTCAACGCTGGGCTCAGCTGCCTGGGCGCCGGGCAAGGTGCCCAACGGCAACTCGACGCCTAGCTCAATGAGTGCGGCTATAAGACGGGTGGTGTACAAGACAGGGCCGCCAACTAAATGCAGGAAATCAAAGTGCTTCTCTCGGCGTGCACTAAAGAGTATCCGCTTGGATACGTAGTCGCCAAAGTTGCTGATCCGCCCGAGGCAGACGTAGCGCTTTAGTGATGGCGCATAGACCTCAATGCTGGCACGCAAGCTTTCCGAGGCCGTTAGACTTACAGCTGGCGTGTACACAATGCGAAAGGGTACATCGAGTGACTTGTAGAAGTCCACAGCCAGATTGAGGACGCGCTCTAGCTCCGTGTCGGCCTCGTCAGCCGTTTGGGTGGCAACAAAGCTTTGCACAGCATTCGTTTGTGTGGCAGTGTAAAGACTCGGAGTGGGTCCATAGAGCAGTGCTTCCTCGCGGTTATAGCTGCGACCGCAGGCCACAAAGCGCATCGGCAGCACCGAAGGATATACGCTGAGTTTGGTCATGGCGCCTAGGAAGCTCTCGAATGAGCCGCAACCTGTCAGGTAAGCGGTATTCAACTTGTTCTGCAAATGCTCTTCCTGGACTAGATAGTAATGTGTTAACGGTGTGGCATTCGCCTCCAGGAGCACACAGCGCACAAAATCCGGATTGGAGGTTTGTACAAAATCGCCGCGTGTGACGAAATAGTTTGCCAGGGACTGCATGACTCTCACATCAAAATGAGCCGCTTGCTCCATCAGATAATAGCAATTATTGTTCACAAAATGCACAAGATCCTTGCGTTCCAAATGGGATGTGCTACTTCTCGACGCTGTCGGCTTATGCATATAGATAAGCTTTTCCACATCCGAGGCGGGACACTGGGAATGCAAGGAATTGGGCAAATGCAAAAACTCATGTATAAAATCATCCTCAATCGGATACAGTTTTTGCTTCAGCTCTTTTGCATCGTTGCGCAACACTTTCCCATTTTCACGCAGTGCATTCAGTTGCTCTGATGAACCACCAGATTTCGTTAATAATTTTAATTGTTTGGTAATCGAATCACGTTCCTTTTCCAGCCTGAGCAGCTGTTCATGATGTGTCTGATAGTTTTTGTACTTGCTGAGCACTGTTTCCAAATTGATGTTCAGGCCACGGCTAGAAATGCTATGATCCAAAGCCGCTCTATCGCGGAATGTGCCGGCAAAGTCCAGAAACGGCTGGATGGTTACATAGTGCTCGTTCGCCTTGTCACCAGTTATATAAAGTGCGGAAATGTATCGCTTCAGGAAAAAAGATTTCCTCAACACACCGCCCAGCTTTAGCATAAGGATTTGTTTTCTTTTTGTTTGTTTTGGAAAAAATCGAGAAGTGCTTTTCTCGCCAAAACTCGTATAACTGTTATACGCACACTCAGCTGTGTGAATCAGCTGTTTCTCGCAGCTGTTTGTAACAGACATCCGAAATAACTTGTGGCGCGCTCTAGCGGATACTTATAAAAGCAGCATAGAAAAGTAGAGCACTTTGAAAATTCTTTTCGTTTTCCCCGAACTCTAAGCATATGAATTAAAACATAAAATTGTTAGAAAACTTAATTTAATAAACGATTGTCAAGCAATAACAGCATATAAAAAATTACAAAACAAAACATATACAAATCCATATATATATATATTAATATTAACATGAATACCTATCGGAATATTTTTAGTATACAAGGCAATATTTGAACAAATTCATTGTTGACTTTGTAAAGACTGTTTAGTATAATAAGTTTGTGGGGAATACTTTGTAGTCATTAGTCCGTAATCGGGTATCACTTTATATTTTCCAGGACGTCAGCAAACGATGCAGGAGGCTTAAAGCTCACGACTTCCCTGTAGACGAGCTCTTTCCATTTCTCCAAAGAGAAATTCTCATCCTCAAAACTTTGATCATAAAAAGGCGATGTGCGTTCATCACTTGGCTCGGCATATTTCTGCATGTATGGATGAGCCAGTGCCTCCTCGGCCGTAATACGCTTATCAGCGTCTAGTTCCAACATCTTCTCTAGCAGATCAACCGACAGTGGATTAGCATTCTCAAACATGACCTTAAAATCCTTTCGCTTCATCGGTGGCAGTGAGTTGATGTAGTTGCGTGCGTTTTCCGAGGAGATCTTCTTCAAGAAATCATCGGGCGGTGTGCCCAACATTTCCATGATTAGATTCAGCTGATGGATGTGATCGGTTCCCGGAAAGAGAGTTCGACGCGTAATCAACTCTGCCATGATGCAGCCCACCGACCAAATATCCACTGTCTGGCTGTAGTGCATCCAGTTGAGCATGATTTCAGGTGCACGATACCAGCGTGTCGCCACATAGCCGGTCATCTCGAATTCCTGTGGCCGCGCCAGACCAAAATCCAGAATACGCAGCTCACAATCCTCATTTACGGCAATGTTGCATGGCTTCAGATCCCGATGAATAACGCCAGCGCTGTGAATGTACTTGAGACCGCGCAATATTTGATAGACCAGAAACTGGACATGATCATCGGATAGGTTCTGCATCTTGATGATATTGTTCAAGTCGGCACCCATCAAATGAGTCACCAGATAAACATGCTGAAAGTCCTCCAGTGCCGTTTCTGGCGGATGCGGATGAAAAATATCGAGCAGACCGATAACATTCTCGTGATCCATATGCTTCAAGAGCATTAGTTCACGATATGTTCGCTTGGCGTGCACTGTCGACTGGAAGGGTCGTGATAACTTCTTGATCGCGACATCTGTGTTGGTGCCGCGCACCTTTGCCTTGCACACTTGTCCGTAGGCACCAGATCCCACTGGCTGCAGCTGTTCGTATATCTCAGGCACCTCCCATTCAGTCCGATTAATGTCCAATTTGTAAAACTTTCGTATTTTGCACGCACTCATTTTATCCCTTTTGACAGAATTGAAGTTTGTGAAATTCAGCACCACTCATTCACCATTCAACACGACTAAGAAACAAACTGATTAGGTTTATCTTGGTATTTCAATCTGTGCAAAAACAACACCAACAGCAAAAGCTTAACACTGAATGGCCATTGTTTCTACTTTATTGGCGGTGGTACGTATAATTAACCACACTGCGCCGAATTGGGAATGCGCTATTGACGAATATTGGGTTATATAAGCATTAATATTCTTAAATATACAAAATTCATGAATGCTGAATTATAAGCATTTTAATAATAATAATAATAGGACAAAATATCAATCTAAATTATGATATTGCCTTTGACTATTTAAAAATTATGTCGGTGAATTGTAACTGAAAAATACAGCGCGCAATTTATTCGTTGTTGCAAAATGTTTTCATTGTCCAAAACAATAAAAATATCGATATATCGTTTCGAAATTTCGATAAATATGGCAAATTGAGTTGGAGTTGCCATAGCGCAATAAACACTCAAACAGCTGACACAAGTGAAAACACACAAAATGGTACAACAAACGGCTCTCAGGGCGCTCATGCTCTCAGATAAAATATTTGTAAAGTAGGTTGGGTTTATCGTACATATGCATATATATTTATAATCAAATACTACATCATAAATAAGGTAACTAAAGCGCATGCGCATTGTACTTTAAGCTTATCAGAAACAATCTTCTAGTCGCGGCATAAAGGCGAAGCTATTGAACATTTGCTTTTTGTGTCAAGAACAGTTGGTTGTCGAAGCCGCAGTGGAACGGAGTGTGCCAATTCTCTTTTAAATTTGTAACCTATAAATTCTTTTAAGTATGTTCATAAAATTAAAATCAAACAATATAAAAAAATAATAATAATAATGCAAAGCTACGCAAAGCCGTTATGCTTAGCGAAAGTAATAACGCCCATAGCTAAGTGCCTAGTCAAATGGTCTCCAAGGGGGCGAACGCTGACCTTTGGAGCGGCTCTTAACCTGAATTGTATATTTGCTTTTCATAGATTACAAGATTTCTATACTGATTATCTTAAACCGATATTGTTTTTTTTTTGACACGATAAGATTAGTCAAAGGCTCAAAGTATTTTTTATGAAAATGTAAAACTTTGGTCTGCTGTTTTGTCAAGGGTTGCATGTAATAAACATAAACCACCCTATTAAGTGGCGCGAAGTTGTGTGCATGAGTGAATATGTAAATATTATTGGTTTTTTTTTTCAGATCATCATGACTTCAACATTGTTGCCCGGAAATATAGTTTACGGTGGTCCCATTACCACGAGTGAGGCCCAGGACTATCCCTCCTTGGGACAATATATTGTGGACAAATACAAAAGTTTCGGGGACCAAACTGTTATGATTGATGCAGTCACGGGCACAGAATATAGCGCAAAGTTTATGTATGACTCGATTGTGAGATTGGCTCAAATACTCCAGAAATTGGGTGTTAAGCAGAACGATGTCATCGGTTTATCCAGTGAGAATAGCATTAACTTTGCTATTGCCATGTTTGCCGGATTTGCAGTGGGTGCGACCGTTGCTCCCTTTAATGTCACCTACTCCGATCGTGAGGTGGATCATGCCATCAATCTGTCGCGTCCAAAGATTATATTTGCCTCAAAGATCACGATGGATTGCATTGTCAGGGTGGCCAAAAAGAATAAATTTGTCAAGGGCATCATTGCGATCAGTGGCTCCACCAGCAATCTTCCCAACGTGCATTCTCTTCTGGACTTAATGAGTAATGACAAGTACAAGACGAAACCCGATTTCACATCGCCTCAAGCGAACAAAGCCGATGATGTGGTTTTAATTGTTTGCTCCTCCGGCACCACCGGTCTGCCCAAGGGCGTCCAGCTGACACAATCCAATCTGTTGGCCACACTCGATTCGCAAATGTAAGTTTACTAAGATTTTCACACAAAATGCTTATTATATATTTGTTTATCTTTCCAACTAGCCAACCCACCATGATACCGTTGTCGGAAATTACGCTGCTAACAGTGATTCCATGGTTCCATGCCTTTGGCTGCCTCACATTGATCACATGTGCATCCATGGGTACACGTCTAATTTATCTGCCCAAATTCGAGGAGAAGCTGTTCCTTTCGGCCATTGAGGTAAGGTTTTATAACCTAATAATAGATAATATCATCTCCATTTCGACTTTGCCTGATTTGTAGAAATACCGTGTGATGATGGCATTCATGGTGCCACCACTAATGGTGTTCTTGGCTAAGCATCCCATTGTGGACAAGTACGATCTGTCCTCCCTAATGGTTCTGCTGTGCGGAGCTGCACCACTTAGTCGAGAGACCGAAGATCAAATCAAGGAGCGTATTGGAGTCCCATTCATTCGCCAGGGTTACGGTCTAAGCGAGTCAACTCTAAGTGTTCTGGTGCAGACGGATGAGTATTGCAAGCCGGGCAGCGTAGGCGTACTCAAGGTTGGCATCTATGCCAAGGTAGTTGACCCCGACACCGGCAAGATCTTGGGAGCGAATGAACGTGGCGAACTTTGCTTCAAGGGCGATGGCATTATGAAGGGCTATATTGGCGATACCAAGTCCACCCAGACTGCCATTAAGGATGGCTGGTTGCATACCGGTGATATTGGCTACTATGATGATTCATTCGAGTTCTTTATTGTGGATCGCATCAAGGAACTTATCAAGTACAAGGGCTTCCAGGTGCCGCCGGCGGAAATCGAGGCGCTGTTATTAACTCATGAGAAAATTAAGGATGCTGCCGTGATTGGCAAACCAGATGAGGAAGCTGGCGAGCTGCCGATGGCCTTTGTAGTCAAGCAAGCGAATGTTGAGCTCACCACGGGGGATGTGATAAGTTTCGTCCACGATCGTGCCTCTCCAGCCAAACGTTTGCGCGGTGGCGTTATCTTCGTGGAAGAGATACCCAAAAACCCCAGTGGCAAAATACTGCGTCGTGTACTACGCGAAATGCTTAAGAAGCAAAAATCCAAATTGTAAATCAACTTAGTTTACCTAGTGAAAATTGGAGGCGTGTCCAAGTAAATCAATTTGTACAAAGGAGGAAACGGTTTTCATACGTACGCTTTATTATTACTAAACTTTGTTCTTATCGTTTCATTTCATTTCATTTCATTTCGTTTTATAAACTACCAACTGGTTGGATTGTGTTTAAATATATATATATATACTTGTCTGTACTTGGCTTTTTCAAAGTATTCTATGTAATTTAAATCTAAATAAAAACTATTCCCATACATACATACATATTGATCGGCATAGTGTTACTTCCGATTACTAATGATTCGGTAATTTACACACATAGATCGGTCTGTTCAAATGACAACATGCAATTCGTGAAATCCAACTATGGTCTGTCAGAACTATCAATAACAATTTACTTATATAAACAACTACGTACGTGTACGTACATACATACATGTATATCATCCAACGCATTTGCATATGTGTATATACAACTGAACGATCAACTGTTTTAACAAACTTTCGTATAATTTTCATTTGTTTGGCTTCGTATTGTTTCGGTTCCGGTTGCATTTTGTCCCATCTGTATATGCATTTATTTATAAATGTATTATCCATTAAATATGTATATAGATTTGTTTTATATATTTAACTACATGTTCTGGCTTGTAAATAGTTGCTTAATTAACATTTGGGAAAAAGTTTCACATGGGTTTTTTATATTGTTTATATATATTTCTATGTTTCTCACTGGTTTCTTGAGGCGCAGAAATTGCATACATATTGTGTTTGGTAAATATTAAAAGCTATATATGCTTGTCTGAGTTCTCTAGCATTAGTTTACTAATTATTGTGTATGAAACCTTAAATGTAAGAGAAATGCCTTGGTTTCTATAACGGAAATATCGTAAGTATTTTGTGTAAAATGTCTAACGCTCCACTGTGTCACGTTCCTAACGTAGTTGTTTGTTGCAATGCTAATCGACTTGGTGCTTGACTTACAATTAAACCTAGCTCGAGAAATTAGTTAAATAAATTCAGTTGTTCATTTATCATTTCCGGGACCAAGTCAAGAGACCAAAAAGTGCATGCAGTCGTGTTGGAAACAAATATAAATTGTAAGAAACTGCGTATTTGGGTACAAACTGCAATTATACACATGATCATCCGATATAAATATTTATAGTAATTATAATACGAGCATACCTTGCCACTGGAGCGAGCTATCTTGTTGGTAATATCTGCAAATACCACATACTGATCATTGGTCTCAGCCCAAATCTTTTTCCACTGCTTATTGTGACGTAGGCGCACATAGTCGCCCACAAGAGGATGGCCACACTGCAAGGAACAAAGCAATTGCATGCGTATATTGGTGCTAAGTGTTGTTGGCCTTTTGCATGCCTGCCTACGTGGATTGCCCTCCGGGAACAGGCTCTGCACCAGCGTCAGTTTACTCTGGTAAAAGTAACAACGCTGGCAAAATGACGAATTCTGAGAATAGGCAAATACATTTTATCGACATTCTCGACCTGCACAAGAACACACTCACTGAAAGCACATGGAATTGCTGCCGCTTGTCATGAAATTGGGATGACCTGCGCAGCATTGCTGGACGCGCAGGAGGAGTGCCTCATTGTTGCTCAGATGGGATTCGTTGATTAGACTTAAAATACCATAGCTCGGCTTATCAATCAGCTCACATATGGACTCGTTGTCAAAGTAATCGATGCGCGACCATTCCAAGCCTTCGCGCAAATACAGCTCCTGCTCTGAACGCAAAACATTGAACACAAAATTCTGCAAAATAAGATATTTTCAGTTAATTTAGTGACCAATGGATTTGAACACAACTTTGACTTGCATGATGTATTTTCTCGGCACTGTAGTTGATAGCAAATTGTTCAAAGGAATTATAATCCAGCACCTCAAAGCCATAGAAGTCCAGCAAAGCGAGATTCTTCTCACGCTGCGTGGACTTCATTGTTTCATTGATCTTGTTGACCAACCAGGTGAATAGACGACCGTAGAGGGTACGACAGAGCGTGTTCCGATTGCTGGCTGCCTGCCTGGCGTCCATTTCACAGCCCACATCCTCCTGCGCGCTGCTAGTGCTATTCGCTCTGGTCAGGCAATTAATTAAAATTTGAGCTTCCAAATTGAGCAGCTGCGCTGTTTCTTGCACCTCTACAAATTTGCAACGTTTTATTAAATAAGAATTGATGTATATTTTCTATTAACATCATACCGTAGATATTTGAAACCTGACAGCCCTCGGTGCCATCAATGTTGGTCACGGGCACAAAAATAAAGTTGCCCAGCTTCAACACGACGGCGATAACTCGAAAAATTGAGTTAGTCTCATCACAGCTCAGGCTCAGCACGTCCAGAGATCGCTGCATATAGAATATATCAATTAATAAGCTTTACTATGATACTATAATTCCAGCCGATCTACACTTGTGTAATGAAAATTGGCACGATCTTCTTCCATGGTGGTCGTAATAATTCCTCGCAGCATTTGCAGGGCGGCATCCCGTTCCTCCTTCTCCAGGCTCTGAGCACGTGTGCATTTGCTGTGGCCACACTGGCTGGGCGTGGAAGCGGCATTGCTTTTGCATATGATAAAGTTGGCAGTTGGCAGTGGCAAGCTTTGTCGAGGAGGCACCTACATGTGTGGTGACAGTTGAAAAATGCCTTTACTGCCATAGTTACGTGTGCTATCCAAAGAATGGTCAGATATGTGATGATATGGATTCTAAGAGAGTCATATATTTAAAAATATATAATGTATTCTTATATTTTATAATATACATACATGTTATCTCACCTCAGTCTTGCGCTCAGATAAAATATTTTTTAAGTAGGTGGGATTTATGAGATACATAGATGTATGCATATATATTGATACTCTAATACTAAATCATATCTAGATAACTAAAGCGCATGCGCATTGTACTTTAAGTTTATCAGAATGCCTCCTCTAGTCGCGGTATAAAAGCAACAAACATTTTCGTTTTGTGTCAAGAACAGTTGGTTGCCGAAACCGCAGTGGAACGGAGTGTGCCTATTCTCCTTACAAGTTATAACCTATAAATTATTTTAGGTAAGTTTCTATATTGATTATCTTAAACCGACATTTTCATTTTGGACACGATAAGATTAGCCAAAGGCTCAAAGTATTTTCTATGCAAATGTAAAACTTTGGTCTGCTGTTTTGTCAAGGGTTGCATGTAATAAACATAAACCACCCTATTAAGTGGCGCGAAGTTGTGTGCATGAGTGAATATGTAAATATTATTGGTTTTTTATCAGATCATCATGACTTCAACATTGCTGCCCGGTAATATAGTTTACGGTGGTCCCATTACCACGAGTGAGGCCCAGGACTATCCCTCCTTGGGACAATATGTTCTGGACAAATACAAAAGCTTCGGAGATCAAACTGTTATGATTGATGCATTCACAAACACAGAATATAGCGCAAAGTTTATGTATGACTCGATTGTGAGATTGGCTCAAATACTCCAGAAATTGGGTGTTAAGCAGAACGATGTCATCGGTTTATCCAGTGAGAATAGCATTAACTTTGCTATTGCCATGTTTGCCGGATTTGCAGTGGGTGCGACCGTTGCTCCCTTTAATGTCACCTACTCCGATCGTGAGGTGGATCATGCCATCAATCTGTCGCGTCCAAAGATTATATTTGCCTCAAAGATCACGATGGATTGCATTGTCAGGGTAGCCAAAAAGAATAAATTTGTCAAGGGCATCATTGCGATCAGTGGCTCCACCAGCAATCTTCCCAACCTGCATTCTCTTCTGGACTTAATGAGTAATGACAAGTACAAGACGAAACCCGACTTCACATCGCCCCAAGCGAACAAAGCCGATGATGTGGCTTTAATTGTTTGTTCCTCCGGTACCACCGGTCTGCCTAAGGGCGTCCAGCTGACACAATTCAATTTATTGGCCACATTTGATTCGCAAATGTAAGTTTACTAAGATTTTCACACAAAATGCTTATTATATATTTGTTTATCTTTCCAACTAGCCAACCCACCATGATACCGTTTTCGGAGATTACGCTGCTAACAGTGATTCCATGGTTCCATGCCTATGGTTGCCTGACAATGATCACAACGGCAACTTTGGGCACACGTCTAGTTTATCTGCCCAAATTCGAGGAGAAGCTGTTCCTTTCGGCCATTGAGGTAAGGTTTTATAACCTAATAATAGATAATATCATCTCCATTTCGACTTTGCCTGATTTGTAGAAATACCGTGTGATGATGGCAATCATGGTACCACCACTAATGGTCTTCCTGGCTAAGCATCCCATTGTGGATAAGTACGATCTGTCCTCCCTGATGGTTCTGCTGTGCGGAGCTGCACCACTTAGTCGAGAGACCGAAGATCAAATCAAGGAGCGTATTGGAGTCCCATTCATTCGCCAAGGTTACGGCCTAAGCGAGGTTACGATGAGTGTTCTGGTGCAGACGGATGAGTATTGCAAGCCGGGCAGCGTAGGCGTACTCAAGGTTGGCATCTATGCCAAGGTAGTTGACCCCGACACCGGCAAGATCTTGGGAGCGAATGAACGTGGCGAACTTTGCTTCAAGGGCGATGGCATTATGAAGGGCTATATTGGCGATACCAAGTCCACCCAGACTGCCATTAAGGATGGCTGGTTGCATACCGGTGATATTGGCTACTATGATGATTCATTCGAGTTCTTTATTGTGGATCGCATCAAGGAACTCATCAAGTACAAGGGCTTCCAGGTGCCTCCGGCGGAAATCGAGGCGCTGTTATTAACTCATGAGAAAATTAAGGATGCTGCCGTGATTGGCAAACCAGATGAGGAAGCTGGCGAGCTGCCGATGGCCTTTGTAGTCAAGCAAGCGAATGTTGAGCTCACAACAGGGGATGTGATAAGTTTCGTCCACGATCATGCCTCTCCAGCCAAACGTTTGCGCGGTGGCGTTATCTTCGTGGAAGAGATACCCAAAAACCCCAGTGGCAAAATACTGCGTCGTGTACTACGCGAAATGCTTAAGAAGCAAAAATCCAAATTGTAAATCAACTTAGTTTACCTAGTGAAAATTGGAGGCGTGTCCAAGTAAATCAATTTGTACAAAGGAGGAAACGGTTTTCATACGTACGCTTTATTATTACTAAACTTTGTTCTTATCGTTTCATTTCATTTCATTTCATTTCGTTTTATAAACTACCAACTGGTTGGATTGTGTTTAAATATATATATATATACTTGTCTGTACTTGGCTTTTTCAAAGTATTCTATGTAATTTAAATCTAAATAAAAACTATTCCCATACATACATACATATTGATCGGCATAGTGTTACTTCCGATTACTAATGATTCGGTAATTTACACACATAGATCGGTCTGTTCAAATGACAACATGCAATTCGTGAAATCCAACTATGGTCTGTCAGAACTATCAATAACAATTTACTTATATAAACAACTACGTACGTGTACGTACATACATATATCATCCAACGCATTTGCATATGTGTATATACAACTGAACGATCAACTGTTTTAACAAACTTTCGTATAATTTTCATTTGTTTGGCTTCGTATTGTTTCGGTTCCGGTTGCATTTTGTCCCATCTGTATATGCATTTATTTATAAATGTATTATCCATTAAATATGTATATAGATTTGTTTTATATATTTAACTACATGTTCTGGCTTGTAAATAGTTGCTTAATTAACATTTGGGAAAAAGTTTCACATGGGTTTTTTATATTGTTTATATATATTTCTATGTTTCTCACTGGTTTCTTGAGGCGCAGAAATTGCATACATATTGTGTTTGGTAAATATTAAAAGCTATATATGCTTGTCTGAGTTCTCTAGCATTAGTTTACTAATTATTGTGTATGAAACCTTAAATGTAAGAGAAATGCCTTGGTTTCTATAACGGAAATATCGTAAGTATTTTGTGTAAAATGTCTAACGCTCCACTGTGTCACGTTCCTAACGTAGTTGTTTGTTGCAATGCTAATCGACTTGGTGCTTGACTTACAATTAAACCTAGCTCGAGAAATTAGTTAAATAAATTCAGTTGTTCATTTCGTTAGTTAGGACTTAAATATATGAAAGAAATGGTGCAGTTTAAAATTAGTTAATATTTCTTTTTCCCACTTTATGTTGTTTGTTTTCCTTCCTTTTTTGGATTTTTTTTTTTTTTTTTGGCACAATTTTGACAACGATTTTTGAAGACTGATTGTCAGATGTGAGCAAATTGCATTATTCATTGTGTCTGTGTATGTGTATGATTGTATGTATGTAAATATTGCTAAAAACTTGTATTTTGGTCCCCGGGACCAAGTCAAGAGACCAAAAAAAGTGCATGCGGTCGTGTTGGAAACAAATATCAATTGTAAAAAACTGCGTATGTAGATGACTGGACCCTGATTATGCCACAGCCGCATAAAACTTAATAATCAAACAATGATCTCCATGCGATTTGCCTTGCGCGTAACTTTTGGCGGCCCTTGCGCCAAATCCGACAAGCCGCCATATTTAAACGAGAAGATGACTGTTTGTTGTCCAAAATTTGCTTCAAATCTGTGTGTGAAGAAAAATTGATTTCAATTGAAACACAACTAAAAGCCAAAATTTAAATACTAACTCTGTGCTTATGTGTATCTCTGGCGGTTTGCCGGAAGCATTTTGTATGACCAGAAACATTTTGGTAACAATTTCAATGACATGTCCCGTTTGAAAAACAAAATCGCCCTTTTTTCGACCGAATTCGGACTGAAATGGAAACGGAAATTAAATTAGATAAATAAAAATTCATAGGAACTGTAATCTACATTTACCGCTTTCACATGAAACACGGCAATGTCATCGAGATAGGGGCTCAGAGACATGCGATAGATCTCCGAGGCAGGCACTCTATATTTTATTTGCAACGTGCGCTGATCTAACAGCAGCAATGACGATGTTGATAGCACCAGCAATATGGGTACAAACTGCAATAATACACATGATCATTCCATATAAATATATATAGTAATTAGAATACGCGCAATACCTTGCCACTGGAGCGAGCTATCTTGTTGATAATATCTGCAAATACCACATACTGATCATTTGTCTCAGCACAAATCTTTTTCCACTGCTGATTGTGACGTAGACGCACATAGTCGCCCACAAAAGGATGGCCCACACTGCAAGGAGCAACACAATTTCGTAATTAGCAAGTATTGTTATTGATTGTGGGGGAATTCGCGTTTACCTGCGCGCATAAGAAGCCTTGCGATCCTTGAATATTATGCTGGCCGTAACCTTTTCTCTCATGCGATTACGTGCGGTTTGATCAAAAGAATTGCGATATATATAGCACTTCCAGCGATGATAGATTGAGCGCAACAGACGCGACGCATCCGCTAGAAAACCAGGCGCCGTTGGCCACTCTGACGAAAGGGGACTCAGTGTGTTGGGTGGCAGTCGCAGCGGAATCGTGAGCAAATACTGTCGTATCTTCCACTGATGATAATAACGCGCAATAACATCAACGGCCCACTTCACTTGGCGCTTGTACTTCAACGAACGATACTCCTCACGTGCCTGTCAAATAGTTCACAGGTCATTTCAGTATTTAGATATGCAATGGGTCAGTGGTTAAGAGTGTTTAAATAAGAAGAACAACATGCAATGCTTACGGCACGATATAAACTCCACAAATGCCTACGGCCCGTGAAGGGAATGCCGAAACGGCACTCCTACAGAAACAATTAAAATAATATATAAAATATGTACATGAGATATAAGATTATAGGGCATGCAAATCCTGCAATGCAATGCAGCTGCTACTTACTCGCCACGTGCGCCACGCACTCGAGATGACCATTTGACTGTGGCGCATACGCCTATAACGCTTCCTAGCATAATACATACGAAACATCTTCTGTATCAGCACGGCCAGCTCGGAGATGCGCAGGCGACGAAACTGTTCCAACTCGTAAACGGTGCGCGGACTGCGCACGAACACATTTTTGGTGCCCAGCGTAAACTCAGCCGATGGCAGCGGCAAATTTCGTATGATCAGAGCAATGCCCTCCACTTGACTGCCACCGTGATAATGGGGCCAAGTAAGGCTATTGAGCAGCTTGTAACGATGAAAGAACTTCGCATGTGGCAGGTGGTAGCAGTGTCCGGTGCGGCACAGATGCACCAGCGGCATCAGCGACATGTAGCGCACCTGATGCTGCACTAACGCCAGATCAAACTGATGCGACTGTTTGCACTCGTTGGGCCGGATGCAGAATACATAATGGGCGCGACGATGCTTCACAATGGCCAGCAGCGTTTGCAGCTGCGTGCGTATATTGGTGCTAAGTGTTGTTGGCCTTTTGCATGCCTGCCTGCGTGGGTTACCCTCCGGGAACAGGCTCTGCACCAGCGTCAATTTACTCTGGTAAAATGCAGCGCTTATATATCTGGGCAGCATGTCTGAATTTTTCTCCAAAAATCTATGTATCGAATAGTTAACAACGCTGGCAAAATGACGAATTCTGTGAATTGACAAATACATTTTATCGACATTCTCGACCTGCACAATAACACACTCACTGAAAGCACATGGAATTGCTGCCGCTTGTCATGAAATTGGGATGACCTGCGCAGCATTGCTGGACGCGCAGGAGGAGTGCCTCATTGTTGCTCAGATGGGATTCGTTGATTAGACTTAAAATACCATAGCTCGGCTTATCAATCAGCTCACATATGGACTCGTTGTCAAAGTAATCGATGCGCGACCATTCCAAGCCTTCGCGCAAATACAGCTCCTGCTCTGAACGCAAAACATTGAACACAAAATTCTGCAAAATAAGATATTTTCAGTTAATTTAGTGACCAATGGATTTGAACACAACTTTGACTTGCATGATGTATTTTCTCGGCACTGTAGTTGATAGCAAATTGTTCAAAGGAATTATAATCCAGCACCTCAAAGCCATAGAAGTCCAGCAAAGCGAGATTCTTCTCACGCTGCGTGGACTTCATTGTTTCATTGATCTTGTTGACCAACCAGGTGAATAGACGACCGTAGAGGGTACGACAGAGCGTGTTCCGATTGCTGGCTGCCTGCCTGGCGTCCATTTCACAGCCCACATCCTCCTGCGCGCTGCTAGTGCTATTCGCTCTGGTCAGGCAATTAATTAAAATTTGAGCTTCCAAATTGAGCAGCTGCGCCGTTTCTTGCACCTCTACAAATTTGCAACGTTTTATTAAATAAGAATTGATGTATATTTTCTATTAACATCATACCGTAGATATTTGAAACCTGACAGCCCTCGGTGCCATCAATGTTGGTCACGGGCACAAAAATAAAGTTGCCCAGCTTCAACACGACGGCGATAACTCGAAAAATTGAGTTAGTCTCATCACAGCTCAGACCCAGCACGTCCAGAGAGCGCTGCATATAGAATATATCAATCAATAAGCTTTACTATGATACTATAATTCCAGCCGATCTACCTTTGTGTAATGAAAATTGGCACGATCTTCTTCCATGGCGGTCGTGTTGCGTAACAGCTCATACTTTTCCACATTACGAAAGAGCTTCAGTGATTCTTCAATTATAAAATATATTAGAATTTTTGAGTAAGATGATAAGCTTAATATATACATACTTAGCAACTGGAGATCAGCACCCAACAGCAATTGATAGAATATGTGAAAATTGCGCTCTCCAATCGTTGTGTCTGTTATACGAGTCTGTGAATAGAAAATATGTAGAATCAAAACTATATAGTCCATATATAATTGATAGTGGATATATCAAGCAATTCAAACCTTTTCCAGCATATCTGCCGTGAGTCAGACATGTAAGCAATTTCATATAAATTTCATTAACTATATAATTATAAATTTTAGTAATTAATTAATAAAAATCTGTCTTTCAATTACTAAATTCCAGATTATTGAAGAGATTAGATTGTCTAAAATCAAGTTCATTTAAAATACAGAAGATCGATCTTAGATACTTACAGTGTGTTATGTGGACGCCCATTGGATCACCTTTAAAATTAATTTCAATGTCAAATAGTTTGCCCTGAAAGCAGAAAATAAAAGTATGAGCGAATGAACATCAACTATGTTGCCAACCACATACATATCTGCTGGAGTTGTTGTTTTTCAGAGTGCAGGCATTGCCCATGGCCTCCAGAAAAACATCCGCGCATGTGACGCACTCTCGCAAGCGTTGACTGGGTGACCTGTGGCGTCGATGCAGTGAGGAGCTGACCGATGGCGTGGGCGACACAGAGGTGGTGCTGCCCAGCACTTTGCTCAGCTTGTGTGCATCGTACAGCGATATACGTTGCGTGGAGCCAATGGACAATTGTCGATCCGACTGGCTTTCGGTTGAGTGCTGTCGCACGAGATTCGAACAGCTACCGCGCTGAGGTTGCGTTTGGTGGGCTGTGGACAGGCGAGTGTTGCTTCCTCGCAACATTAGCAGGGCGGCATCCCGTTCCTCTTTCTCCAGGCTCTGGGCACGTGTGCATTTGCTGTGGCCACACTGACGACAGCCGCCGCCGTGCAAGTACTTGGGCGATGTGGTGGCGCTCATTTTAGTGGGCGTATTGGCCAGTGGCCCGTAAGTGGCAGTGCAGGTGTTTACTTGTGTGTGTTGGTGCTTGAAGCAGGATTTCGCTGGATGCAAATGGGCAAGTGCGGCAGCCGATTCCAGCAGCGTGCTGATATTCTCGGTGCTTTTGTGATGCGAGAAATCAAAGTCAACAATCTTTTCACGCATATTGCGCCTGGCTTGGCGCTCAATGCTCTCCGCTCGCGTACGCGATCGTTGCGTCGGTCCTGGACCTGGACCCGGTGACGGCGACTGGCGACGTGAATTGCAAGTGCTTCCTTGGCTGGGCGTGGAAGCGGCATTGTTTTTGCATATGATAAAGTTGGCAGTGCCGGAGCAGCTACTTGAGGCGCGTCTATGAACATGCAGGCCCATGCCGCTCGCAGAGCTACTGGAGGACTGTTTGCGTAATGCATTCGGAGTGCCACTGCAAAGCGTTCGATCCTGTATGTGTGTGAGAAAATTGACAATCATTTTGAAGGTCTCCGTTTTGCCAGCGCCACCTTCGCCGGTGAGCAGCACGCACTGATCCTCGCTCTGATCCTTGAGAGACTGATAAGCCAAATTTGTAAGCCCATAGCTGTAAGAGATATTAAAAAGTAGCTTATATTAATAGTAGTGGCAAGCTGTGTCGAGGAGGTACCTACATGTGTGGTGGCAGTTGAAAAATGCCTTTATTGCCATAGTTGCGTATGTTTTCCAAAGAATGGTCAGATATGTGATGATATGGATTCAAAGCCACAACAGAAGTTCCAATGTAGGTCTAAAAGATTCATATTTTTGAAAATATATTCGCTGAGTGTATAATTTATATAGTTACATATATGTGATCGCGTTTGTAACGCTGGTGTATGTTATTTATGAAGCTATCCTCGGACAGGTTTTCCAGCAGAACTGAGTCCCAGGTGCCAATCTCCTGTTCCATTTTGCCAAGCGCTCACAACGTGTACGGCAGTAACAACAACAAATGCAAATGCAGACCATAACATTTGAATTTATCAACTGAAACTGCAACGATAACAAAACGAAACGTGAATATTGTGGCATAGTTGCATAAATTACCATAATCATCGTGCATGCATTTGGGCAAATCCGTGTTTTGATTTTCTGATTGAATTATTGATTTTAATTTTCAGCCTCTGCGAAAGCAGCAACAGTGTGTAATACATCTATGTAGATAGGCATTTCGATTTAATAACTTGTATCGTAATCCATTTCACTTTTTCTATTATCTTTGTTCACTATCAACCAGCACAGTAATAACTTTTTATTTGACACATTTTATCACTAGAAAACCATTGTTTACCTTTTCAGACAATATTTTGGCATTTTGTAGCGAAATGCAATGCACAACGAAACTTACGTACCAACGTAATGGCAAATCTAGCAACGTAACTCATACAGTCAAATAACGCTTACAGCCAATTAACGCGAAAAGGAGCCCAACTGTTAACGCAAAAAGGAGCAAACTTAAATGAGTCTTTACTTGCATTTGTTTACATTGCATTCTATTGCAAACAGCTGATCCCAATTATTTTTGATCTGACATTTTTAGTTATTTAAATAATAAGACATTATTGAATGCCTAAAGGAAACAAACAGATAATATTATCATACTTATTTTTGTAAATCAGTTCAGCAGCTTGTCTATGTTAAATTTGGCGGCAACTAGCTTAAAGAGTGACCAAAGCATTGCTTTAAAAATTAACAAAACAATATTTTTTACATTTATGTTAAAGCTACTGCTATAGAACTGCTAGAAACTTTGCCAATAAATTAAACATAAATAAATACAAAAGATGACAACAGATGAACGCAATTTTAGATCAAGTTACTATGAAAAGGTTGGCTGCTTTAGCGTCGAAGAGAAGAAATCACTCAATAAACTACTACAGGATGACATACGCAATCTAGCCAAGTTAAAGCACTTCGTGTACACATATACAGTTCCAGCCCAGGAGCGGAGTTTGCTCTGGTGCCTCATAATGGGAATAATGCCACTGCACAAAAGCAATACGGATTATGTGCGTGAGCAGCGTCGACAAGTTTACGAGGATTTGCTACGCGCTGTGACCGTAATGCGGTGCGTCGATGCGGACTCGTGTAAGACCAGAGATTTGGTGCTGCACAAAATGTGGTTACTGGAGAACAATCGGCTATTGCATAGCAATGTTCGGATCGGAGCTCAGGCCCAGGATGACAATCACTTTGTCGAAATTATGCGTGCTCTGCTCAAGATTTTTGACGATGAAATGGAAACATACTGGATAGCCAAGGAGTTTTATCAGTACACGCGTGAGTTCAAAAAGGACTGTGCCAAGCTAAAAGAACTCACTCAAATACTTCTCAAGCGCGAGGATATTGCCTTATTTCAGTGAGTGGCCAACAGTGAAATAATATGTGAAAACCATTGTTATAGTGTCTGTATTGTGATTGCAGCCGATTGGACAAGCTGGAGCTGTTTGATGTCAACTCGAAGCTACTGGAGAACTGGTACACAACTTGCTTTGCTGGGGTAATTTGTGAAACTGTCCTTGTCAAAGTGTGGGACAAGGTGTGCGGGGGCGCTAAGAAGATTGTAGTTTTTCTCTTTCTGGAGCTGGTGAAAGACATCAAGTCGCTGATATTTGATCTGAGCACACAGGAGGACCTAAAGGCTCTGATCGAAACGGTAAGAAGTCTATACTTTTCATATTGCTAGGTTTCTCAATGTCTTCGTCGCACAGGTCAAGGATCTAGATGGTGTCATCGTAAACAAAGCCATCAAATCTTGGCAAAGTAATAACAGTGAAATCGAATATGCGCATTAAGAAGAGACAGCGACGAAATGTTTGAATTAGTATAGTTGTATGTAAGAGAAAAGTAAAATGGGATATGAACTAAATGTATTTGAAGACCACGTCCTTCTTATCGGCCACCGTCTGAAACTCCAGCGTGACGGGGCACTGCATCCAGTACGACAGCAGCTCCTCCGTATATCCAATGAGGAAGTACATCTTGCGTGGACTAATTGCCTGTCGTATGATGGCAGCAATGCGTATCGTATTGTGTTGCCGCTTAATAATGATCTCGGAGCAGACCAGCGCATGCCAGGTGCCAGTAATAAATTTGCGAATAAAAACATCCTCAATTGCGGTTTGCGATGGACGCAGACCATCCTTCAGAGTGGCTACAAATATGATTGATTTATTTTGTACGCAATTCAAATAAAAATGCATAAACTTACATGTGTTCCACGAGTTCCAGGTCTTGCGATGTCCAATGAAATGCGGCGGATTCGCCATCTCGTAGGTCAGCGGCCTGTCTCGTTTTGTGGTTATGCGGTAACGTCCAGATTGCACGCGACAACAGACTGCACTCGTGTGTAATGCCGATTTGTTCGCCATGTTGAGCTGTGTCTCAGCTATTGGCAACACCTAAAATAGCCAGCATATTTATTACCCCCGTTTTTCTAATTGTTTAATTTACCTTTTTTAAAAAATTCATTTTGTTGGGTAAACTCAACTCAACGGCGGCTGCAGCTGTGTTTAACAGCTGATATACGTGACGTAACGTAAGTTTACTAGCGATAGTAGACATTGACAATGCAAATTAATGAACAAGGTAGCAATAGGGCACGTAACAACTGCGAAACCATGACGTGAACAGTAAAGTATTTAAAAGAAAAAGTTAATCTATGTGTCTAATATATGTTAAAAATAAGTTTTAACATAAAAATAAAAAAGAATTGTGGAGGAATGTTTATTTATAAGGTTTTCAAATTATTCACTCATGAACACGATGATTGTGCAGCCCTAAAAATTCAATGTTTTACAGCCGCACATGTTCATGCACATCTATCGATTACCTGTTGATATTCAAAACCGATAGCACGTAACAGCAAACTGTCCAAACAAAGGCAGTTGCTTCTGCGCTGTGGGACTTTTGTAGCAAAATAAATAATGAAATACCGTAAATAGCGCCTACCTGCTTGCTAACAGAGAGCCTTGCAAAACAGGCAACCAACAATATTTTGCAGTACCTGGAATTCGCTTAGGTACTAAGCCATCTAGTAATAAAAGCGGAATCATTTGTAAAGATGACGCTGAACGAGAGCGACGCTCAGAAGCAGCTGGAACTGACGCGCAACTTTCTGGAGCTATCAAGAAATGCCGACACCTGTGCAGCATTGCGTAGCTCGGACTGCATTCAGCTGCTGGTTAAAATACTGCACGACAACGATGATGGTGCGAGCGTTGGAGGAGCGGCACGCAAGAACGCCAGCCAAGCTCTGCACAACATTGTCGATGGCAATCAACGGGAGGTGAAGGTGCTTCGTCTGTTGGATCAAATACATGATTACAGTTGTAATTTTTTGCGGACGCAATTGCAGAGCGGTGGCGAATCAATTGCCGACGATGAGGAACGACATCCGCTTGCAGCGATGAAGCTACTGATGAAGGCCAGTTTCGATGAGGAGCATCGCCAGACGATGTGTGATCTGGGCGCCTTAAAGGCAATACCAAATCTGGTGCATCTCGATCATGCTGTCCACGGTCCGGCATCGGGCAGAGAACAATGCAATTTACTGCGACGCTATGCTCTGATGACACTGACCAATCTCACATGTGGCGAGGAGAACAACAAATCGCTGCTCTGTGGCCAGAAGCAGTTCATGGAAGCGCTGGTTGCCCAGCTCGACTCAACCGCGACGGATATTGATGATTTGCTACAGGCAACGGCCAGTGTTCTACGTAATCTGTCCTGGCGCGCCGATAAGCATCTGAAGACTATCTTCAATGAGCTGGGCACAGTGACGGCCTTGGCATTAGCTGCCATGCACAACAGGAGTGAGAACACATTGAAGGCCATACTCTCCGCCCTGTGGAATCTCTCGGCGCACTGCAGCACGAACAAAGCGGAGTTTTGTGCCGTCGACGGAGCGCTGGCATTTCTGGTGCAGATGCTCAGCTACGAGGGACCCAGCAAGACGCTGAAAATTGTCGAAAATGCTGGCGGCATATTGCGCAACGTGTCCAGTCACATTGCCGTCTGTGAGTCGTATCGCCAGATCTTGCGGCAGCATAACTGTTTGGCCATTTTATTACTGCAGTTGAAGTCGGACAATCAGACAGTTGTCAGCAATTCGTGTGGCACACTCTGGAATCTGTCCGCACGTTGTCCCGAGGATCAAAAGTTTCTCATCGATCACAATGCCATCCCATTGCTGCGTGCTCTCGTCGCCTCAAAGCATTCCATGGTCGCCGAGGGCAGCGCATCGGCTCTGAAGAATTTGGTTAACTATCGCACGGCCCTGGAGCTGGCAACGAGCGACGAGTTGCCAGCGAAGGAGCTGAGCAACGACCATGCGGGAACACTGCCACGACGTTACAGTTCCATGCGGCTGAGCAGCAATCCTACGGGCTCCCTGAAGAAAGTGCGCCCTGAAACTGCAAGCAGCAGCAACAGCAACACGTTGCCCCGTAAATGTGAGAGTCGCGAGTCCATCTATTCCGGCAAATCCGATTCGGATTCCACCAAATACTCCACCAAATCCGAGAGCGCCTTCGAGCAGCGCAAACTGAGCTCTGCTCCAGCTAAAACTCATTATGATGCCCCCGCAGAGGAACAGCCCATTGACTATTCCATGAAGTACAGCAGCTACAGCGAGCACAAGCCGGATAAGCCCAGTTTCGATAACTCCATTGACTTGGATCAACCCACGGATTTCAGTGTGCGCTACAAGGAAAGACGATCCGCTCAAGCGGCACAGACACTGTCACAGTCAGCAACGACGGAGGACAGCAGCGAAATATTGCTTATATTGGATGAAACGGGCAACAGCTTATCACCAACAGCTCCAATGCTGGCCAAATCCGCATCAGCTTGTGATTTGAGCAGCGATCAAGTGGAGCGGCCCAAGACACTTAATTTGCGCAGTAATGCACTAGAGAATCTGGCAATTGATAAACGCACCGATGGCGACGTGCACACACCTGAACCGGAGCCCGGTGAGCGGCCGATCAACTATTGCGAGGAGGGTACACCGGGCTGCTTCAGTCGCTTTGATTCGCTCACCAGCCTCATGGATGCAGCAGCCGCGAAGCAGGAGAAGCCGTCAGCGGTATCCAAGCCCAATCACACATCTACCACAACTGCAGCACCTGCACCACTCCTTCCTATCAACAGCAACAACAGCAGCAGCAATAATAACAATGGCCAAAGCACAACAGCTTGCCAGGCTATTGATTCCGCACTGGAGACACCGCTGATGTTCTCCAGACGCAGCTCCATGGACTCGCTGGTAAACGATGAGACGATCGGCTGCGATGATAATGGTTCAGTCATCAGCGAATACAGTCGCATGCAGAGTGGCGTTATCTCGCCATCCGAGCTGCCAGATTCACCCACACAGAGCATGCCACAATCCCCACATCGCGATCGCAAAATTGAGCAGCGACAACAACTGCAACAACAACAGGAACAGACTCCAATTATGAACTCGAATACAAATGACCTCAATGGCAACGATGAGCAGCGTAATTACTGCACCGAGGACACTCCGGCGCTGCTCTCCAAGGCTGGCAGCAATAGTAATCTTTCAGTGTTATCCATAGCGTCCACTGCAAATGATCAGAATTCCAATGAGCTGCCACGACCAATGCCACAAGCTCCAGAGCTAAGTGAGGATGCCATTTCGAAGATGCGATGCGGCGGCAGTGCTCTGCCGAGTTATTTGCCTGTTACGGATGAGATGAACAAGTACTATGTGGAGGACAGTCCCTGCAATTTCTCGGTGATCTCGGGACTGTCCAACTTGACGGTGGGCTCAGCGCATGTGGGTCCAGTGCGTGTGCCATTGAAACCGCCAGATCTGCTGCCTCGGAATGCAGAACTGGCGCCAAAGTTGCCGCCACGACGAAGTGCTGTTCACGTGGAGGCCGAGCCCCGGCTGCTGCCTAAGCGCAGTGATTCGCTCAGCTCACTGTCAATGGACTCGGATGATGACTGCAATCTGCTGAGTCAGGTAAGTGCTGTCATTCATAATGAGTTACTCAGTCAATACCAAATCTGATCCTTTGCAGGCCATTGCTGCCGGCAGCTGCAGACAGCAGCCAAGTGGCGCCAGTGCCAGCACCAGCTCTAGTCTTACAAACACATTGCCAAAATCAAACGGGAACCGGCGACATACAAGTGTTGGCGCCAAGACAGATTACAGCTCCGACGATTCACTGGACGATGGCCAGTCGAAGTCATTATTTGAGCAGTGCATCTTGAGTGGCATGCACAAATCCAACGATAATTTGGAGAGCGATCGCAATGAGCCGCCCAGCGATCGTTTTGTGAGCAATCAGGTGCGCCAGATTGAGTCCATGTTGGCCACGGTTCGACCGTCGCCGACACGCTCCGCATCCGGCAGTCGACAGCATCATCGTCAGCATCATCACTGGGTTTAGCCAAATTAAATAGAATGTTTGCAGTTTGTTGGTCGGTTCTCTTCTTTTCTTTTCTTTAATCCTTCTTCTAATGTAATGTACACACTGCAATAATATTCTTACGGTCTCAATTTGTCTATATCTTTCGATTAAAAATTTTCCACTTAAATTTAACAATTGCCCATTTGCCTTTGTTTCGTTGTTGTTACTTTACATATGGAGTTACTACGCTCACATTTTTCTGCAGTAAAAAAAGAAAAAATAGAACACCTAACAGAAACAGGATAATCTAGATAACTTATGAACAAATATCGTAATGGGTACATTCAATATATAAATTAACTGTTAAAAAGGACATGACAACTTGTCAGCTGTTGCTCGGTTTGGAACAAGATGCTTTCTTGATTGACTATGCCTAGGTTTGGTTGCTGTTGTTGGTGTTCCTGCTTTATTCTTCAGTAGAAACGTTTTCGCGCATTGCGATCCTTGAAATAGGATATGGCAAATATAGCCACGCCCGCCGTCACCAGCACTGCCAATAACAATATGAAGAATATTTTGGCATTTGACATTCCCGGCTTCGGATCATCCTTGTGCTCGCGCGGCGCTTCAAACGTTTTGGCATTTGGAATAATATTGCTACGTCGCATAATCTCCTCGTGCTGCAGCAAATTAAATTATCTTCATAAGAAAACAATATTTTATATGTTATATTTGCACTTACAGTGATTGTTGTGTCAATATCGAAGAACTTGAAGGTGTGTATGTCGTGGGCATCGGACAAATCGCCCGTTGTCGCCGATAGGCCAAAGTAATAGCCCGTTGGCAATTCGACGTTGTTAACCACAAAGCAGTTTTTCCATTCGTTTCGATTCTCTAGATCCGTCGAAACGGAGAGCACATCGTTCTCATAACGTATGCTAATAAAGGTTTCATAGTCAACATTGCGGAAGCGCACTTCGCACCCGGCCAGCTGTGTGTGGGTGCCGTCTCGATCATGATCATAGCTCCAGGTGCCGTTGTTCACCATCGCACTCAAATACGGATGCTGGTGCTGAAAACCAAAAAATTCAATTCAATTCAATAGTTTTATATTTAACGGATAACGTTACTTACATTATGCGGTCCATTGTGATTGCTGTACGTGTCCAGTATGATGGCCAGTCCAGAGAAATGATCTTTGCTGCCAAAAACTGGACCAGTTTGCATTCGATCCTTTGTATACCAAATGGCAAAGCCATCGCCAAATAGCTCATGACCCTTGCCATGCACTTTGAACCCAACGTGAACCTCCCAATTGCGTCCCATGACAGGCTGTGAAAGTAGCAGTTGCAATAGAAGCAATTATTTACTAAATTAAACGGATAAACGGATATGTCAACATACCGAATAATTCCACAGTGCACCGCTTTTTGATTGCAAATCCGGTGTCAGTCTTATATAGCTGCTGGTAACCATTGTGTTGCCCAGAAAGTCCCAATGGGGGAGTATAACGCCAACGCCTGTGAAACAATGCTCGAATCATCGTAAAACTTATAGTAAATCGTACACGTAGGTAATACAATATATGCATCATCGTCCTTCTTATCATCGCTGTCATACCTTGAAATGGACGCACCAGGCTATGTTCCCGCTTCATGTACTCATTGTTTTCGGAGCTCGTCACCAGCTCCAGGGCGAAGAGAGCGCCGAGAAGTGCTAGGATGCAATTGGTGTTTGTGCGCGTCATTCTTGCATGCGTTGGCGTCTACTCTACAATAACTTGGTCTTAAGCTTGGGCGAATAATTCTCGCTTTTTCGGTGCTAATGCCGGTTTGATGAGTGGTTGCTTTTCGCTATCTTGCTTTGTCGAACACTGGCACTGGTTACCCATACAGATATGGGCACCCATAAACTTTAACATTGACTAAAATGTTATTAACAGTGGGCCCCCGGGAAATCTGCCGTTGCTCGTTCTTTTATTATTTTAATTATTGCACAAAACTGAATAACTGATTTTTTATATGATATAAACGGATTGATGAAGATTAGCTATTCCACTCGACTCAACCTTTAAGAATCGGAGAATGACGTTCAAAATAAAATTAAAATTAACATGACAACAGAACAACAGCTGCTGGATAACATTATCTATCGATTACATTGTTTCTCACGTTTTATGTCGTACTATCGATTACACAAATTATCGACCAGGAAAATTGCCAAATATTGTACAAAATAAATTTAACGGATAGGTTGAATTTTAAAATAAAAGTTTTGGGTAATTTGGGCGGCAATGAATTCTTAATGAAAGTGTATTTATCAGAAAATATACAGTTCGCTATCTTCCATATCATATATGTCATATAACAGTCGTGTGCTTGTGATTTTAAACAAATTTCAAGCAACTATTTTACAGGGCATTAAGCATGAAAACATTAAAATCAAAAACCGATAAAAAGCCAAAGCGGCAACACTGATTCGATACGCTGGTGCGCATGCATCTGTACATCGGTAATTCATCGCATTCGCAATCGATACATCGATTATGTACAAAAAACCATCCGAGCCGGCATTTCCACATTGTGGATTACACATCAATTCCAATTGCAGTTGAGCTGCATTCGACTCCAGCCTGTTGCATACGGATGTCAGCATGGCGTTTCATTGGTGCGACAACAACCTGCACACGACGGTGTTCACGCCCCGCGACTTCCAAGTAGAGCTACTGGCCTCGGCCTTCGAGCGCAACACAATCATTTGCTTAGGTCACAAAAGCTCTAAGGAGTTTATTGCACTGAAGCTGCTGCAGGAGTTTTCCAGGCGTGGACGTCGCAACGGTAAAATGAGCGTATACCTAAGCTCACAAATTGATGCTGAAGCCACATCCATGTACACGATGCTCACACATCTCACTGATCTCAAAGTGTGGCAGGAGCAGCCGGATCAACAAGTACCCCTTAATCACTGCTGGGCCGACTACCATGTCAGCATACATAAACCGGAAAGCTTTCTGATCTTGCTGCAGAACCGAGATATACTGCTTAGTAGCGTTCAGCTCATCGTCCTGGAGGACTGCCACGACAGCGCCGTCTATCGCAGTGTTCTACCCATTTTCGAGGAATTCGTACAGCCTGCGAAGCCATGTGATAGACCTCGAATATTAGGGCTGGCAGGACCACTGCACAGCGCCGGCTGCGAGCTGGAGGAACTTAACGCAATGCTCAATACCCTGGAACAGCACATGTTGTGTAGCATTGAGACGGCCAGCGATATTGTCACCGTGCTGCGCTACTGCGCCAGGCCACTGGAATACATTGTGCAGTGTGCGCCCTTCGAAGTAGATCAGCTGTCCAGCGTGTTAGTTGATATACTGACTACGCACAAATCGTTCCTAAATGACCACCGATACGATCCGTTCGAAATCTACGGCACTGATCAGTTCATGGAGGATCTAAAGGGTGCGTGATCATTTTTAATGTATTGTGTGCAATATCTGGATTAAATTTCAAGTTCCAACTACTATCAAAAGAGAAAGAATTACATCATATTAATGAATTTTTCAGATATTCCTGATCCGAAGTTGGACCCGCTCAATGTTCTGGACGCTTTGCTTGCTGTGCTGCTTGAGATGGGGCCGTGGTGTGCGCAGCGCGCCGCTCATCATTTCTACCAACGCAACGAGAAGCTCAAGGTGAAGACGCCGCACGAGCGCCACTATCTGCTCTTCTGTCTGGTGAACACGGCGCTGGTTAAGGTCAATGCGCTCTGCGATCAAACATTCCAGAAGCAAATGAGCGAGGAGCCACTTTGCACTGTTGAGCGTTACTCTAGTCCCAAGGTGCATCGCCTGCTCAAGGTGCTGAGGCGCTTCAAGCCGGCCGAGATGCATGGTCAGGCGGACGGTTTGCGCAAGATGCGTCATCAAGTGGAGCAGACGGATTTCAATAGGCTATCGCAAGCGTTGAAATCCAAGTGCCAGTTAGTCGAACAGCTCGATGAGACGCATGTGGAAACGCGCTCAATAGTTCACAATCTGGAGCAGCTGCTGCCAGCGACAGACAAGGAGGAGAAGATGAGGACGCAGCAGAAGGACAACATCGAATCGAAGGCAGCACCAGCAGTGACTCAAGCACCGCCCTCAACCAAATCCAAGTCCAATACAGCACAGCCCCATGGACGAAGGCGTGTCCATCCGCGCCGCCACAATCGCTACCAGCACGACTCCAGCGAGACGCTGTGTGCGCTCATCTATTGCAATCAGAATCATACGGCGCGCGTGTTATTCGAATTGTTGGCGGAGATGAGTAAACGTGATCCTGATCTCAAATTCTTGCGCTGCCAGTATACAACAGATCGGATCGCCAATCCAGCCACAGAGCCCAAGGAGGCTGAGCAGGAGCACAGGCGGCAAGAGGAGGTGCTGAAGCGTTTTCGTATGCACGATTGCAATGTACTAATCGGCACATCGGTGCTGGAGGAGGGAATTGATGTGCCCAAGTGCAATCTGGTGGTGCGCTGGGATCCGCCCACCACATACCGAAGTTATGTTCAGTGCAAGGGACGTGCACGAGCCGCACCGGCCTACCACATAATGCTAGTGGCGCCCAGGTATGAGCCCATTGCAGTGGCGCCCGGTGGCTCCGTGGAGCTAAATGAGCAATCGCATCGATTCATTTGTGCAGCTCCAAGCGATGATGGACAACTGGAAGTGGACAGTGACTCGGATGACTCGGCATTGCCCAATTCACTGCATTCGGATCCCTACACCTTTGGTACTGCTCGTGGCACGGTAAAAATACTTAATCCGGAGATCTTCAGCAATCAACCACCGACCGCGTGCGACATCAAGTTGCAAGAGATTCAGGATGAGATGCCCACTTTATTGGAGAACGGCAACTCCAGCGATGATGCCATCAGCTTAACTAACACAACGCCCAGTGACAGAAGCGCCGAGCGCAGACCTAAACAGCGATTCGAATGCGAGCTTACCGCACTACCAGATGCTGCCACACCCATCGCTGCCGCTATCTCCGCGTCGGCTGACAGTCTGACATCTACCACCCAAGCGCTGGTGCATCAAATGGCGCAATACCGCGAAATCGAGCAGGTAACACAAATCGAATTTAATTTATTGTAATTGAGTGTCTTTAATAATAACTTGAACTATAGATGCTGCTTTCCAAATGCGCCAATACGGAACCAACTGAAGCTGAGCAGCGAGAGGCAGACCGCTTCACATGCTGCTTGGCCGCCTATCAGCCCAGGCCGGGGCTGTCGACGGCTGCCTCTGTGGATCTGAGCACAGCTATTGCGTTGGTTAACAAGTATTGCGCCCGTCTGCCCAGTGACACTTTCACCAAATTGACTGCTCTGTGGCGCTGTGCGTCCTCCGAACGGCAGGGAATTAAACTATACCAATATACTCTACGCCTGCCCATTAATTCACCGCTAAAGTACGATATTGTTGTACGTATACCAGCACAAACTTCCGGTTATCCACGCCTTGTTTCCCCCATTTTGCAATGTTGCTCATTAATTTATTTTTTTTTAAAGGGTCTTCCGATGCCCACTCAAACTCTGGCGCGACGTTTGGCGGCTTTCCAGGCATGCGTCGAGTTGCATAAGATCGGTGAACTGGATGATCAGTTGCAGCCGATAGGTAAGGAGGGTTTCCGGGCGCTGGAACCTGACTGGGAGTGCTTCGATCTGGAGCCAGAGGATGAGCAGATAGTGCAGCAAAACGATGAGCCACGACCAGGCACCACCAAGCGACGTCAATACTACTACAAGCGCATTGCGTCCGAGTTCTGTGACTGCCGTCCAGTGCCCGATGTTCCCTGCTATCTGTATTTCATTCAGCTAACGCTGCAGTGTCCGATACCCGAGGAGCAAAACACTCGCGGTCGCAAGATCTATCCGCCGGAGGAGGCGCAGCAGGGCTTCGGCATACTGACACTGAAGCGAATACCCAAGTTGAGTGCCTTTTCCATATTCACACGATCCGGTGAGGTGAAGGTATCGCTGGAGCTGGCTCGCGAGCGTGTTGTGCTGACTAGCGCACAGATCGACTGCATCAACGTATTCCTCAATTATACGTTTACAAATGTGCTGCGTCTGCAAAAGTTTCTAATGCTCTTTGATCCGGACTCAACGGAAAACTGTGTGTTCATTGTGCCAACGGTTAGAGCCGAGCGGGACAATCGGCTCATCGATTGGAAATTTCTGGAGCTCATACAGGCCACCGGCAACATGATGCCACAGCCGGTGCCTGACGAAGAACGGCAAGAGCAGGCGTTTGAGGCGCAACGTTTCCAGGACGCTGTTGTTATGCCCTGGTATCGCAATCAGGACCAGCCTCAATACTTTTATGTGGCCGAAATCTGTCCGCATCTGTCGCCACTCAGCTGTTTCCCCGGCGACAATTATCGCACCTTCAAGCATTACTATCTGGTTAAATACAATCTCACAATACAGAATACGGCACAGCCTCTGCTGGACGTCGATCATACGAGTGCGCGATTAAATTTTCTCACTCCACGATATGTGAATCGTAAGGGTGTGGCGCTGCCCACCAGTTCGGAGGAAACGAAACGCGCCAAACGCGAAAATCTCGAACAGAAACAGATTCTAGTCCCTGAGCTATGCACAGTGCATCCGTTTCCTGCATCCCTTTGGCGCACAGCCGTCTGCCTGCCCTGCATTCTGTATCGCATCAATGGTCTGCTCCTCGCCGACGACATACGCAAGCAGGTTTCGTCCGATCTTGCCCTGGGTCGACAACAGATCGACGACGAGCAGTTCGAGTGGCCCATGTTGGACTTTGGCTGGAGTCTGTCGGAGGTGTTGAAGAAATCACGCGAATCCAAGCAGAAGCAGTGCAGCAAAGAGGCAGTCGGTAAAGTCGACGCTGATCCAGAGGAGGCGACGAAGGAGACGCCTATTGAGAAGACCGAAAAGAGCGCCAATGAGCTGGTTATCGAAGGCGAAGAGCAACTGAACAGTGCAGATGACTTTATCGAGATTGGCACCTGGTCGAATGACATGGCTGACGACATTGCCAGCTACGACGAGGATGAGGAGGATGATGAGGACTACCTACCTGTGCTACCCGCCAATGTGAAATTCTGTAAGTTTGGGACTCTAGTTTATTTTCATGTTTTCAATTCTGCAACATTCTTAGTTGGCAATACTTATTTCCTTACTTCAACCTGTTAATCAAGGTCTCAATTTCATGTACAGGTGATCAGCAGACGCGTTATGGATCGCCCACTTTCTGGGACGTGAGCAACAGTAGCGCCTTTAAGCAGTCAGCGCCAGGACATCAGCGAACTAGTAAGCCAAAAGGTGGCTCCGCCAAGGGGAATGCAACAAAAGCAGAGAACAAGCCCAATTATAGCTACTACGACTCGGACAACTCGTTAAGCTCTAGCTATGACGATGACGATCATGTGGGGCCAATTCATCGTTATAGCTCGGAGGATGATGATACGGATGACATTATCGCCGGTCGCATTGAGTTCACATCGAAGAATGAGGCGGAGACCATCGAAACAGCGCAAGAAGTGGAGAAGCGCCAGAAGCAATTGTCCATCATACAAGCGACCAATGCTAACGAGCGCCAATATCAACAGACAAAGAATCTGCTCATCGGCTATAATTTTGAGCAAGCGCCGCATAAGCCCAGCGTCAACTATGAGCAATCCATTGTGCGCTTCAAGGCGGAGATCGAGACCTGTGGAATGCTGGTGCCATACGGAGAGGAGCTAGCGCTGCAGCGCACCGATGGCAACTTATCGAAAGCTGACAAGGAAGAGGTTTCGTTGCAAATGGAGATGTTCAAGGAGCTGTTGCCCTACGTGGCAGAGTCACAAATACTGGCTAAATTGGACACCAAAATATCGTTGCATCTCGCTGACTTGGTGGAGCTGAACGCACAGTGGTTGCAGCCGAACAAGACTGAAAGCTACAGCGTGTTGGGCTGTGGCGATAGCTTTGATAACTATAACGATCATCACCATCTGAATCTGGACAATAAGCAGGTCAGTCTGCAATTCCAGGAGGCGGTAGCAAAGCATACAGCTCCAGCTGTCACCGAAACAGAGAAGGCATCACCAAGCGCAAGCATTAGCGACTTCAACTTTGATTATCAGCCGGAGTTGGTGGGACATCCCGGTCCCAGTCCCAGTATCATACTGCAAGCGCTAACCATGTCGAATGCCAATGATGGCATCAATCTTGAGCGCCTGGAAACAATTGGTGACTCGTTCCTAAAGTATGCCATCACCACATACCTGTACATGACATATGAGAATGTGCACGAGGGCAAGCTGAGTCATCTGCGCTCCAAGCAGGTGGCCAATCTGAATCTGTATCGGCTGGGTCGACGCAAGCGGCTGGGCGAATATATGATAGCTACGAAATTTGAGCCGCATGACAATTGGCTACCGCCGTGCTACTATGTGCCCAAGGAGCTGGAGAAGGCTTTGATTGAGGCAAAGATACCGACGCATCACTGGAAACTGGCTGATCTGCTAGACATTAAGAACTTAAACAGCGTGCAGATCTGTGAGCTGGTGCGTGAAAAGGCCGTGGCATTGGGACTAGCCGCCGGCACAGAGCAACCTGCGATTGCCCAACAGATGACACCAAATGCCAATCTAGACGATTCCAATGAGACCAACGATTTTAGTTGCTTCATTCCATATAATCTAGTCTCACAGCACAGCATACCGGACAAATCGATTGCCGACTGCGTGGAGGCCCTAATTGGTGCCTATCTCATCGAATGTGGCCCACGTGGTGCGCTTCTTTTCATGGCTTGGCTGGGTGTGCGTGTCCTGCCCTACAAATTGGTGCCAACAGCAGCTGACGATGAGCGACGTGCGCCTGGTACCAGTAAACCGAACGCCAAGAACATGGTCACCATATATGGTGCTTGGCCAACGCCACGCAGTCCGCTATTGCATTTCGCGCCAAATGCTACGGTTGAGTTGGAGCATCTGCTGAGCGGCTTTGAGGAGTTTGAGGCTAGCTTGGGCTACAAATTTAGAGATCGTTCCTATTTACTGCAGGCCATGACGCATGCCAGCTACACACCCAACCGTCTGACAGACTGCTATCAGCGACTCGAATTTTTGGGCGATGCCGTTTTGGACTATCTGATAACGCGGCACTTGTACGAGGATCCACGACAGCACTCGCCAGGCGCACTAACGGATCTGCGATCGGCGCTGGTGAATAACACCATTTTTGCATCATTGGCCGTGCGACATGGTTTCCACAAGTACTTCCGGCACCTATCGCCTGGCCTGAACGATGTCATTGATCGCTTTGTGCGTATTCAACAAGAAAATGGTCACAGCATAAGTGAAGAGGTGAGAAATTGAATATATAAATTGGTTAAATTGTTAAACCATATGTCTTGAATATTTTTCAGTATTATTTGTTGTCGGAGGAGGAATGTGATGATGCCGAGGATGTTGAGGTGCCCAAGGCATTGGGCGATGTATTCGAATCGATTGCCGGCGCCATATTTCTTGACTCCGATTTGTCGCTGGATGTGGTGTGGCGGGTATACAGCAACATGATGAAGCCGGAGATAGAACAATTTAGCAATTCTGTGCCAAAGTCACCCATTCGCGAGCTGCTCGAGCTCGAACCAGAAACGGCCAAGTTCGGCAAGCCAGAGAAGCTGGCAGACGGTCGCCGCGTACGCGTCACTGTGGATGTCTTCTGCAAGGGCACGTTCCGTGGAATTGGACGAAACTATCGCATAGCCAAATGCACAGCAGCTAAGTGTGCGCTGCGACAGCTGAAGAAGCAGGGCTTAATTGCCAAAAAAGACTAAAGATGCGGCGTTGTGCCATTTTGTGAATATTTATAGTTGTAGTAGCTATATGTACATATGTACGGCATAAGTGCTCCAATAATCATGATTTTTTCCATATCGACTTATTATGTAGTATTTTTAAATTAAAATCATAATATAAACCAAGATACGATCAGCCTCTTTTTTCTTACCCAAGTGCTAACCAATAGTTTATCATACAACACAATGGATGCTGTGGAGCTGCGTATTTAATTGAATAAATTAAGGTAAGTCTTTTCCAAGAATGAATTTAATATAATAAAAAAAAAAAGAAGAAAGCCGTCAACACCCAAATATAATAAAGTTCATTGAATAAAAATTGTTAATGTCCTATAAATTAATGGGTTATGTATTTGGTTGGTACATATGTGAATAGATTTGGAATATGAAATGACAAACTAAATCTAGTTTCCATATATGGTCTATATGCATTTTGGGAAATGTTAATTAGTGGTTAACAATCGTTTCGTTGATTTGATTAGATGCGAACTGAAATGTTTGACCGAAATATTTACAATAAAACCGAGTAGATAATGATAGTATGGGGGGTGTATGAAATTTCTAAACATTCGTGGTGTTAAATACATTTTTGATAGCTGTAATACATAAATTCATATTCATGATTCATAATTTGTATATAAATAGTATGTGGCTAAGTGAATATTATTGAATATACGATCACTAGCAATACATTTTAGGTTGGATAAGTTATCTTGTTTGTTGCCATATAAAATAATTTCATTAATGATTCATAAAAGTTGTGATGCTTTTCAATCTTTTGATTTGTTAATAATATGTTTATGAAAAATTAATAAATCTTATGTTGGATGTGTGTGAATGTGTGTTATTTAATTGCTAATTTTGCATTCGTTTCGCAATAAAAAATTGTAACGTTTCATAAAAGTTCACATTTGAGTATACTATATAATTGTTTCGTTAGTTACATATGTTGAATTTGTGTTTTTAATAATAGTTGCATACTTTAACCTTACTTAAGTATAGTTTAGTTAATTAAAAATGTTTGGTATAATTGTTAATTTCATACTCGTTATTAATTGTTCTTGTTTTTCGTTTCGTTTCGTTTTTCCTTTTCTTTTTCACCGCACGTTCCTGCCTACGATTTGTTCAATGTCTTCTTTATTAATGAATGTTAATGCATGTGTATTTATCTTTGTGTTGTTGTAATTTACGTCGCGTTCAACTTTATTGTTGCTTTTATTCATCTAAAACTCTGTTTAATCATTTTCTAATTTGCTTTGCCAAAGGTCGTTTTTTTTTTGCGAAGGGAAACTAAATGAAACTAAATCAAATAAAAACAGTGATCTGAGAATATTTCCGGGGTTATGTTTGAATGAATGAATGAACATAACAAATGATACACTCTTTTAAAAAAATTAGAACACAAATTAACTAATATGTAGGTATTTATGTAATAATGTGTGATGTTTTAATAATTAAATAAAATAATTAAATTACACAATCTAAAAAAAAAGTGGTCAGAAACGTGTTTATTTATTTTAATAAACTGTGATATGTATCCAAGTAGAAAGCATTAAACTCAAGGCAAATGTACAATATTAAAATAAAATGTAATAATAAATTAAACTGCTGTTACAATTGTACTTAAAAAAATACAAGCTGCCAACTTAAGAGAGAGCTCAAAATATTGCGATTAACTTAATATTATTAAATGTGAACTGAATGGTAGACGGGACGGTTTAAGTATTATACAAAAGGTGTGTAGCTAAAATACATATTATTTCGAGTACATTAGGTATAAGAGTAGAGCTGACACACAACACAAAATAAATTAAAGTTGACCAACTCATTTTGGTACAGATCAAGAAGAAATTTAAAATATGATATTGTATAGCGGAACCGGTAATTTTAAGCTGCTCATTTGAGGGTTCTCGAAATATATATATATGACTGTTATCGACCTAGTAACGAAATTATGTGGTCATATCAATATTATTAAAGTTTTAGCAAACAAAAATGTGTGTGTGTGTTTTCTTTTTAATATCGTCGAAATTTCGTTTTGGTTTGGGGTAGGGTGTTGAATGTTGGAGTATAGTTAGGTTATATACACACATATCTGGTACGATTACATGGGTAAACAGCTATGAATTTCTATGCTAATTTTCTAGCTATACGACTTGTATGTATCTGAATATTTGTCCTCGTATATATGTTTACAAGTACGTAAAGTACAATTTTGATTTGCATTTGTCACAATTATGCCAAGGAACTGACTAACAATTGGCTGACAAAAGTTGCGATTATGCATGTTTTCCTAAATATGTATTTATATAGGTAGGTAGGTAGGTAATAGGTTGGACACGATTTCAAGATTATATTCGATTATATATGGGATGCAATGAGAGGCGCAAGTGTTCGTATGTATAGCTGTTTTTGGGAGATTACCTTTCAACTTAATACAAATAACATAAACAAAACATATTGTATCGAAACTAATATCCAGAACTATGGGGATAAGGAAGTCGCTTTACAGATTTTTGTTTTTGTTGTCGTTTTGGTTTAACATGGGTATGATATACGTAATCGGAATTGTAACAAATTTGTTTGCTGAGAATTATTGTTTTGATTTAGTTAATTATTCTTGAGTCTGAGTCAAATCAATATTTATACACGTCTGTGAGTGTCTGTGTGTGTCTTTGTGTATTGGTTGCTAGATGCTTATGTCTAAAGAACGACGTCAGGCAGGTCGTGCGGCCTTGCCTAGGCGCGCATTTGGTTTTCATGTACAATTTTCCTTTCCTTATAGTAGATCTCCTCAGATTCTTTGTCACAGAGTAAAAGGACAACGGCGCCAAACAAGAAAATGGCTGCGCCCCAGCCCACTCCATAAGCCCAACCAAACTCCCAAACGCGTCGATTCGCTATATATAAAATGAATTATACATTAATTGCATACGAAAGCAGCTAAGGTCAACTGCTGCTTACCGATTGTGAGTTCGCCTGCAAAACACACTGGATATACAATTAGAGCGGATAGCACGGCCAATACTGCAATTAAGTACAATTTTAAATATATTTTCTGTATGCAGTTTGTATGTTGTTTGGGGTGAGTGAAACACTTACATGAGACAAGCATTACTAGAACTGCTATTCGATAAAATTTATATTTGAGATTGTGATTCTGCGTCCTCAAGCCCAGTCCAGTTAGAACTGTGGCAATGACGTCCGTTATCAATGTGATAATGCAAAGCGCTGCGGTCGCCTTGATGTACCCTGGACAACAATAAAAGATTCTCAGTATTGATTGAAAAATATATGTTATTCGTTTATGGTCCAAGTACCAATATCGCGGGTCCAATAGCAGCCGGGTGGGTCCTGTATATTGAATGGCAGTGGCTGCGTCGACTCCTCTTCAATACAGTGCACAAATAGACCCTGACGCCAGTCGGCAGCCATCAGCCAGTCTGTGGAGGCCAGTGCCATAATCATCAGTACTACAACGATGACACCACAAATAAATGCAATCACCTGCAGATAAGATAAAGTGGGATTAATTGAGCAGCTGCCTCTCAAAACGAGAATTTCTTGAGAGTACGCACCTTGAGCGGCCTTGTGATTGTAATCGTTTCAATTGTCGTAGTCGGCGCCATTTTGTCCGGTTCGGGGCGCAGAACACTGTGTGTTGGCAATAAAAATTGATTTCACCTAAGTTAGTTGCATGAAATTCGGGAATACTTGTGCAATTGCAACTGTTGCTCAAAACTTACCTTATAATCTAATTAGGCAAAACGTCTGCCCGCACAATATACTGAATTGGAATGCGTTTCAAATGCGTTTTTTTATTTGGTTAGTTTGCTAAATGTATATAGTTTATATATATATATATATATTGGGGAGTAACAATAACTCTGGCTTGGAATATAACAATTTAATGATTCAATTGGCGTTTTATTGCTTAATTCTTAGCGCACAGCGGCTATATAATAATTTTGCGTTTCAATTCAAAATGTTGGCGGCAGCCTTTTCAACATCTGTTTGTTTGTTGGTTTGGTTAAATCAGATTGCATGGGGAAGAAATAGAATTGGTAACATTCGATTAGTAGCTGATAGGCATGAGACTCAAAACATACACATAAACTTAAGCAAAAGCATACAAGCGCATCCCAAATTAAGCTGAGAAAATAACATAGCAGCAACATGCAAACATAACAAATTGTAGCGTTTTCTAATATCTTACGCCTATCTCGATAACAACAACTGAACAAGTTGACTGACTACAAATTGGCCCAAAACAACAAAAGGCATATCAAACTAACTGAATGCTGCGATGCTTTTTGTAACGCTTCAATAATTTTGATAATCAAAACGCCCAACGACACTTGCCAGCAAAATTGTGGTTTATTTTCAAATGTACTCGAGCTCGAGCATTGGCTCAAACAAATTTTGCATTTAATTCATAAAAATTCAGTTTTTCTAGTTTGTCAAAATTTAAAGTTCATAAATTTTGTTTTTTTTTTTTCAATTTTGAGAAATTATTCAAAATAACGTTTATTTCGAAAACCCATATATAAAGATTTCACGTTTTGGAATTGTTTTTTTTTTTTTTGTATATATATAAATATATGTAGATATTCCATAGTATACCCGTAAAATAATAGTAAAGCATTTGCTATGCATTGCAGATCTTCTCTAGAGAATCATAAAAATAGCTTACATATTTAATAAGGAAATCATTATATTTTATGAATTGCATATTGAACAATCAAATTTTAATAGTGACACATATATGATAAAAAGAATATGAGTACTCTTGTAAAATAAGCAAACTAAATTACTCTAAATAATTATAAAAATCGAATAAGATTCTGTTTACGTTTAAAATATCAATTATTGACAGCCAAGAAATGCTTTACAATCTCCATGACTAAACTATAATATTGACAATGAGTGAGGGCAAATACAAAGGGGCAGCACAAAGAGAAGCCATTGAATGATTGGATGATAAAGGGGTGTTCTGGGAGTGTCGAAGCAGCCGTAAAACTGCACTCTCAATGGACTCAGTACACACACAAATTATGCATTAGTAATTGTCAAGAATTCACTTATTTATAAATACATAAATACATCACATATATGCATGTACGTACGAACAAACGTCAACAGACATTTGAAGAAATTGGGGAGGAGGGGTTTGGAATGGCGAGAGAGAAAATAGCAAATTCTATTACACAGACGGAGGCCAGACAGCAGAGATGTCTGCACTATTTTTAGCCGAACAATGAGAGAAACTCAAATAATTCGCATGTTGTTTAAAATATTCGAAATTTTGAGCATGTGTGCATGGCGGATGGCAACAGGATCAGTAGCAAAATTAGAGAAAAGAAAAAAAATAGCACACACAAGCGAACAAAATGAGGGCAGAAAATAGACAATAACAACTATAAAACTGCAGTAACAGAACTTTAAGGGTGAAACGGAGCCAAAACAAAAAGGCAGACAAATTACGATTTGTTGTTGTTGTCATGTTCATCGTTTGCTAAATACCTTTCCTTGTAATAGTCCAAAGTTACCGATTCGGAATCAAATTCTGAATAATCTGGCAGAGATTCGGCATCAAAGTTGCTCATTCCGCTCAAGGTGTAATTTGGTATGACGTTCATTTTATTATTCAAGATGCCAATGCTGCCTTGCTGCGACTGCTGTTGTTGTTGTTGTGGGTATTGTTGTTTAGTTAGAAATTTTTCCGACATCTTGCTAATAACGTTATAATATCAAAACACGCACACAAACACACACACACGCTTGTTAAAGGAAACCTCAATTGTGACACAGATTTGGGTGAAAAATAATGCACTGCTTTTTCTCTATTCTGTTTTCCCAGCTTTTCACTTTCGTCTGCTGTGAAAATGGCGTTGGCGTTGTTGTATTTACAATCGTTGTGTATTTTTGGAATCAACTCTCACTTACGCTATTGCTATTGCTCACGCTTAGCGCTCGTCTTTCACATTTTTAATAAGACAGTTCATCGAGTTCCTTTTTCGTTTCTACATTAAACATAAACAAAATAATAAAAATAATTATTTGCAGAGGGGTTGACAATCACTAAAATGGAAGTGCTGATTGTTTGGTATTTTTTAGCACATCCCCGACTGCTGACAGGTGGCAGCGCCAGCAGCACGAGAACTCAATATTATATCGATAGTTGTATGGGTCACATCACTGGTTCAGCGTCGCGTTTGTTGTTTTTTATTTAGTTTCACTCGGCGAAAAAAAAACCCAAGTTTAAATCTGAGTCTCTAAACGAAATCCAAGCCAAAAACAATAGATAAATAAGGGGTATAGTGGCGCACAGTGTTTGCGGCAGGCTGCCCACTGTTATTTCCTGTCACAGACAATGGCAACGGAGACGGTGCCCAACACCGAAAACTACCAAATTGCCAACGGCGACGAGGATGTGATTTGTCCCACCTGCGATGCAAAAATCAAGCGCAGCCAGGTCGCCGATCACTGTCAAATGGAGATGGAACGTTTGCACAGCATGCAGCTGCGATCCTCGGCTGCAACTTCGCCCACAACAGCCACCGCCTCCGCTTCTTCTCCAGCTGCGGCCGAGGGAACTCAGCGTCGGCCGTGGAGCATTTTTCAGCGTGTGCAACGCAATCGACAATCCCGCCAGCGGCAACGGACACGCAAACGACCAACACCACCACCGCCGGCAGCACCACCGCCAGCACCACCTGTAACAATGCCGCCACCAGCACCACCACCAGCTACGACTGCTACTGCTGCCACTGAAGCCAACTGCAGCTGCCCGGTGTGCAACAAGAATTTCACACAAGCAGAGATTCATGAGCACGTCAATCAATGTCTGCGTACGAGTCGCAACGGGGGGAACGAGCGTCAGTCCAGCGAGGATGACGAGGACAGCGATGAGTATGAGGAGTACGAGTGGGCGGGACAGAAGCGTATACGTGTCTCAACACTCGTCCAGGGCGGCTATGGAGCACTGAATCTGGGCCAGACCATCAAGTATAATGGCGGGCAGCAGGCGACGGAGGACGAGGACGATGTCAATGTCGACGAGGACGACACGCACATCTATGGTCCGACGCAATATGGCGAGGCGGATGTGATACCGCTGGCCAGCGACGATGCTGAGGAGGGAGCCATCGCCGAAGCGGATGTCACCAGCTATGTGCGCCGCCTCATCTCCTCCAACGAAACAACGCCCAAGCCAAGTGGCAGCAGCGGAAGCAGCAGCACCGCCAATCATTCCAGCGAGCAAACAACGACTGAACAATTGGATGAGACTGACGCCGTCAGCCTGGAGCCATCCACATCGAAGCAGGCGAGCAAATTGGCGCAGACGCAACAGCAGATTATTGAATCGCTGAAGGCGCGATTGCGTCTGTACGAGAAGCAGGCGCAGAGCAAGCTGAAGTGCCTAATCTGCATCGATGACTACAAGAATCCCGCCATTTCCGTCTCCTGCTGGCATGTCCACTGCGAGCAGTGCTGGCTGCAGACGCTCGGCGCCCGCAAGCTGTGCCCTCAATGCAATTCCATAACAACCCCAAAAGATTTAAGACGCATTTATCTATAATGGACAACTTCAGTAGTCGCTCGATTTGAACGCAGATGGCACTTTTGTAATTATTATTTTCTGTGTATTTTTCTTTAAGAGAATATTATTCCACATATTCTTCTTTCTTAACTAAAATATTACAAAATCGTATTTTTTGTATGCAAAAATAGTGCTTACCTTATGGTTTTCGAGCGACCCACATTCATGGGACTTTTTACAATACGTTCGAAAATTATTCTTAGTTTTATTTTGAACTTTTCTATTTGGTCTTGTCGGGACAAGACTATTCATTTTCAGTTCAATTTTGTAGATTTAGCTTTACAACCATTACATATTATTTATATAGCAGCTATGATTATCATACGTGACATAACAATAAGCATTATGTAACTTACAATAAACATTTAAAGCATTATTCGAAATTTTGTTGTTGCCTATTTACAAATTGTGTAGGCTTCATTGTGTTTTTAAAATGACAGCTGAATTGGCGGCATATTAAACGATACCTAATCGATACCTGCACTACAGCATCGATGAATAGTAGTGCGTCAATAGTTGGTAATGCTTATCGAAAAAAACATCGCAATGAATAAATATCAGCATACCGATGTTAGAGTTAATCGGACACGATTGTCACTTGCCAAACATAGTGAAAACTTGAAAAGTTGCTTTTTTTTGTCTCCCGTGGACTTTTTTCCAGGGATTACTAATTCGCGAAAAAACGCGCGGTTTACTGCTTGCTATTTTGATAGGCGGAACGCATTGCAAAATTCTTTGGTGTGCTACACAAACGCTCGAAACGCTTCGAGTTAGTGGGGATCGGTCGTCTTCACTTCACACACCTTCGTCGCCGCTGCCGCCGCCACTGTGAACCTAGCACAGGTCCAGTTTGTACAAACATATATACATATATGTATATATCTATATATATATTGATAGATATTGCAAGTTGCATACGTATGTGGCGCGTGGATTATGTCATTTACTTATAATATAAAGCATCAAATTGTCCGACAATATGCTAACAAATTGCCCGCTGAGTGTTGCACCAAAGAGTGAGGAATAATAAACACGTAAAAATGTAGACTCTGCGTATGCGTGTGTGCGTGTGTGAGTGTGTGTGCCGCAGCAGCAGCAGCAGCAGATAATGGATGTTTAGTAGTGGCTGTGTAAATATATATGTATATATTTATATATATATCGATACATGTGCATGTATGTGAAGCATCTGCGCCACAACCAGTCGCCAGACGCCAGTCTCGTCGTCGTCGTCCCTGGGGGCCATTGCGATGTCCGATGGCATCAGCATTAGCTCAAGCCCAGTAGCAGCTATATAGTAAAGTGTTTATATACCACACCATACAACGTCCCATAACAACAACAATAACAAACAACAACAAATGGCAACATTCAATGTAACAAATGCAACAAGCAACAGCAGCGCAGATGTATTGAGTTCCTCAGCATTTCTAGTGCCCTCCACAACGACAACGACAACAGCGGCAACATTGGGCTCAATAGCGGCACATCCGTTGCATCTGGAACCGTTTGCTGCAATGCCAGCCCATACGCAATATATGAACGCTGCTGCTGCTGCTGCTGGAGCCGGTGGTCCGTTGCCTCTGTCGTTGCCTTTGCCGCTGCAGCATCATCAGCAGCAGCATCATCATCACCACCAACAGACCAACTCGTCCTCGTATACGTTTGTGCAGATCAAGCGCGAGCCATGTCAAGTCTCTGAGATTAGTTCCAACAATTGCCATCAGCAGCAGCAGCAGCATCAGCATCAGCAGCAACAACACCACCAGCAGCAGCACCATCATCTGCAGACAGCGTCCACCTCACTTGGCATGGGCAGCGTTACCTCGTCATCGGTAACGGCATCGGCCACCTCGAAGACCATGTCTGCATCGACGCTCACCACGCTGGTCAAAATTGAAGCCGCCTCGCCCAAGGTGTCCGATCTAGAAAAGTCCACCTCCAGCACAAGTATGCTTCCCCTCAACATTTGTTCTGATCTTGATTTCATTCTACATTAATCCTGACATATGAATTCATTTTTTTCACAGTCAACTCGGTGCCAATTGGCATTGCCGTCGCCCGCAAACGTCCACAGGAAGCCAGCAGCGCAACGCTGAGCGGTGGATCGGCTTTGCCGCTGCAGCAACCGCTCAACAAGGATTTGAACTGTTTCGGCATACGAGTCGCCGATTTGGGTAAGTTCCTTCAGCTGTTGAGTTAATTAATGACTGTCGAATTTTTACCTTTGGCGTTCTCCGTTATTATACGGTTTCTCTAATTGCGTTTAGTCCCACATATGGGCGTAGCCAGGTATGGGTAGGGGGCAGCTGCCACCCCCTAAATCCCAAGTTTATAATTAATAACTATCTATATAGAATTCTAAAAGATGGTCATTTTTTTGTATCAGATTGAACATATTTTTAAATATATACGAACTGAACATAGGTTATAATTCGTAGATTTTTTTTTAGATTAGACCAACCCCTAAATGCGTTAAAACTTATCTTTCAGAACCATTCTATTATCTAGATTTTTACCACATCCGAGCAACACAAAGAAAACAACAAATGTTTTGTAATTTTCTTCAGACTGACAAATATAAAAATTCATATTTAATGTTACTCGTCTGCTTTTAGATATGAACAAAGACCAGTTTCGGAGCCGAAACATGCAGACAGCCAAATATTAATGGCGGATGCACGATATGTTTATTTGATCGTTAACAAGATTTTACTAGAGTGTAGCTTAAATTTTTGATGAATCGTTCGAATACACATTTTAATGATATGATTGTAAATAAATTAATTTAATAATTTGTACTTAATGTAAAAGTGACATGCTGAGATTTAGACAATATTTACATTTATACAATTTTAAGTAGAGAAAAAAATGGTAAAAAGTAGTCAAGTTTGACAAAATATTTTATTACTTCAAATGAAATGCATGTATTTACGTATATTCCTTTCAAAATATATCTAAAGTGAAAGATTTAAGGTTGATAATATTTCGGGTGTGCGTAGATCTAGCATCTAATTGAATTTCATAGCGCAGATTTGTGCACGATAATGAACACTTGGCTAAGCCACTCAGCGCCTGTCCCCAGAGGCATCGTTATCGGGCATAATACAGCTCGGACGTGGAGCGTGTGACTCGATGTCAGTGGGCTGGCTAGCTGGCAATGTGGACGGCGCTTCGTTGTGGCACTAATAGGATTTCAGCAAACATTATAAAATTCCTTTAGTGAGTTGGGGGTGTGTGTGTGTGCTACACACACAAAGAGAGACCACCCCGATAATATTGAAAAGGGCAGAAATCATATGATGTGCGGCGACAGCGGATACGATTGCGGCTGTAGGCTACAGGGTAGCTGTCGTTGTTGTTGTGACAGCCCTGACTTGTGCCCGCTGCCTGAGGCATCTCCCCGCTGTGCGACGAGTGCATTACAAAGCACTAGCGTGAGTGGTGTTTAAAAAAAAAATGATAAAAAGGGGCACACTGAATAAAACTTCTCAAAAGGAAGTAAATGAGTGGAGTATCTATTGCGTTGCCTAAGTAAAGGTAAAGCATCGCACAGTGGTTGATTAGAAATCAAAATAATTTTACTGCCACATTAGTTTTTAATTGCTTAAAATTAGAATTTCTGCTGATTTTATTGTCTAATAAAAAAAAAGTGGGATTATAATTTTACTATTCTTGAAGGATAGTTGGAAACCCTTTCATGTTAGCCTGTAGAAGTCATTAAATTATAATTAGGTATTTAAATTCTATGGAAAAACAATAATTTCAAATATTTCCAAAAAAGGCAAACTTGAGATTTGTAAATTGATGTGATAACATGAATTTTCCGAGCAATCACTGGTTAGGTTTGATTTACATCAAATTAATTTTGTTGTGTTTTTATTGTCTAATAAGAAATTGTTATTGTAAATTAGTATTTATTAGTATTTTTAAACCTCAATTTTGTACTATCGGAAACCCTTTGATATTGATCTGGTGAAGTAATTTAATTTATGGCATTTACCAACAAAAAATTGTTTACTAATCGAAAACACTTTAATACTGGTCTGTAGAAGTTATTTAATTTACGGTATTTACATCTACAAATTATCTTTAAAATTTGATTTTTAAATTGACTCCTAAAAAATCTTAAGAAGAAATTTGAATTGCTGAATATTTATATTCACTAGAAATACAATTTCCAAATCCACCACTGTATGAGTGGAAAATGCGTTTATCTAGAAGGCAGATTACTCATAGGTGGTATATGTCTATATATATGTATATACACACATATATATGTGCATATTTCCTTATTGTTGTGGGTGGTTGATGTCGAGTTGTTACTGCAAGTACACATCCTGAAGGTGGTGCGTTGGCTGGCAGTAGTGCTGACGGATGAGGGTGAAGGGTAAGTGGTTAGTTCAACAGCAGCAGCAGCAACAAGGGATGCTCATGCTGAGCGTCTCTATCAGGCAGGACCAATGCTAAGGCAATATGAGATGTATAAGTGGTTTGGGTATGTGACCATATGGTAAAGTCGCCCTCATCGGCTGAGCGGATTCTATTTATACACATGATTGTAAGCATATATTTATTTATATACATACATATATAATATATCTTACTGGGTAGTTGCCCCAAAAAAAATGTCGCACTAATTGCATTTTGAGGCAGCTTCGGTTTTTTTCCTTTTGCTATTTGTTGGGACGCACATCAATCTGAGGTCCATAATAGCCCCTTAATGTAATGCAATTAGTGTGTCGTGTACGCTTTAATCGAATTTCTGTTAAATTATCCTGGCGTTCTCTAAGGGTTGGTGGAGTGGTTCAGTGGCTCAACAGCTTGATGGGTCGGTGTGTTGGTTGGTTGGTGGGTCGTGTTTAGTTGTGGAGGGCGAGTAGGTAGGTCGAAAATGCATAGTTCAAGGACATTGCAATATTCTACGTATACACACACAGTTCTTTCTCTCTCTGTCTCTCTCTCTCTCTCTCTATATCTCTCTTACACACACACAAACACACACATGTTTGTCAGTTGCATGAAAAGCTGTGGCGCAAAACAAAAAGTTTATTAAATAATTGAACGTTGAGTTGCAAAGTTGAAAAGTGAAAAAGTTCTGCTTACGACGGACTCAATTAGAACAAACTAAAAAATATATAGAAATAACTTGAGCTATAATTATAATTTTGATTGCTGTTCAACTTGCAACTGCAGGCGCCACCAGTTGCGGCAATCTATATTTCACTGGAAACGGTGATCTGATGACAACGGGCACAGCCACCGCCGAGGAACTGGCACTGAGCGCCGCTGGCGTCAACCGGGCGCCATCCACCTTCTGGCAATATCCAAGTGAGTTTGGACAAATCATTTTCCTTCTTTTAAGCCTTTTCTAGTTGGCCGCTCCGCCGCTTCCCTTCTGTTGCACTGTTTACACAACTTTCCGCCCACCTCGATATTTATTTATTTATTATTGGCGTACTTTTTTTTCCTTTTGCGTTTGTAGATGCATTGCCCATTGATTCAGTGATTTCCATGTCACCTGCCACGGTGGGCTTACAATACTCACGCGAGGCCAGCCGCGGCCAGGTGGTGCTGCTGCCAGCCGCTCCAGCAGCGCTTGGTAAGTCTCCTACTCATCAACTATGTAACATTTCGACGCTTTATTCACGAAACACACACATACCATTATATAAATGTATACATGCATATATTTACAATTAAAAGTAAAAGCAGCGTAAATTGAATTTATCGCTTAGGCTGACAAAACTAATCCAAAATTTATGTAAAATAGTATTTTTAAAAATTAATTTAATTTGCAACCATTATTCATTCACATTGCAATGTCATCCGATAAAAATTTTAAATATTTTGTTGTCACTCTTTCAAACCTTGTATGTATATGTATTTATGTATGTGTTTATATTCCTGTGTACACGTTGATAACTCACAATAAGTCACGCTTGTAAGATTAGCAACTAATGCTTGCCTTGCCGATTCCAAGCTAGGTTAACTTGATTTCGAAACAAAACTAATTCATGCTTTTATAACTCCGCTTTTCTTCCCTCCCCCCACCCCCAAACTACAACTCCAAATCCATATAAACAAAAAAAAAAAAACAACTTACTGATACCGAATAAAAAAAATAAACCAAAAACTCGACTATGCACAGCAGGCATATCAAATTTTCCCCTCTTAACGCCCACAGATCCGTTCCAGCAGGCAGCAGCGGCCTTTGTGTGGCCCTCGGCCTATATACCACAGGCAACGGCCGGTGGTGGGGCAGCTGCCGCCGCTGCCGCTGCACTGCAACCATCGCCCAACTTTATCTTCCCCTCGATGGGCGCCCACTCTACGTTGGGCGCAACGCCTTCATATGCCTCAACGTTGCAGTTGTATTTGGCTGCAGCGGGCAGCTCAACGCTGTGTCAGCATAGCAATCAGCAGAGCAGTAGCACCACCACAACCAATTCCACCATTAATCTGAGTCTGGCTGCTGCCGCCGCCGGTGTAACGAACAGCAGCAGCAGCAGTAGCCTCAGCAGCCTTAGCTCCTCCACTAGCAGCTCGCGATTTCTTAGCCTTACCGCACAGCCACCGGCGTTGGCGCCCAAACCGTTGTCCATGAGCTCATTGCTGCTGCCGCCGTCAGCACTGAAGCTGGAGGAGTATCCAGTAGCTGCGCAGCCGTTACCAATGCCCGAAGTGACGCGCGATAACGAGCAACAGGCGCTCAATCTGATGCGTCTGCCGACGCCGCCAACATCGGCGACCATTGAACCGATGGCCACGCCACTGTCGCATCAGATTCTCTTTCAGTCGGCGCCAACTACGTCCACTCCGGCGCTACTAAATTTGTCTATGCATGGAACGGGTGGTGGTGCTGGAATTGTTGCCGACACCACACCCAACGGCTGTGACGAGGCAGCACTAAATTTTAAGTTGCATGCACCATTAACGCCACAAACGCCGCCACGTGTAGGCCCAGCGATGTTGTTGCCACAGATGCAGGACGTCAATATACAGACGGACACGCCCGTATGCAGCGAAGATGAGAACTCTTCGTGCCCGCTGAAAGCAGCACAGGAAGCAAACGAATCACAGATGCCTCTAGAGCTGACCCAAAAACCCAGTGAATCCAATGCCAATCAACCAATCGAGTGCCATACCCAAACGAATCCCAGTGACATTAACAATGTCAGTGCCAGCGAGCAGATCGAGGCGCCCATCGAAAACCAAGGACCAAGTCAACAGCAGACGGCGCCCGAGGATCTAACCGGATTGTTGCTGCTCTCTAACATCAGCACAAATAGCACGCCGCTGTTGCGTGTCAAACAGGAGCCCGTGGAACACAGTGAGGCGGTGCCAGCGATGTTGCCGGTGCCGATAGTGGAGCCAGCGCCGCTGCAGCCCTTGATGGAGGTGGACAGAACACAATCGGAGCCGCTGGGAGGCCTAAATCTACTCTGCGCTTTGGCCGAGCAACGCATACAGGAGGAGGTGGTGCAGGGCAGCAGTCTGTTTGCCACGCCCACATCGCGAACACCCTCGCCACGACCAGTGACACCGCCCATCATCGAGACGGACAGTTCGTATAGCTGTGTGCCACCGACTTCATCAGCGACGGCTTTCTGTCCGCTGCAGCAGATGACACTTGGCTCATCAACGTTTCCCTCAATGCAGGGCATTGAGCTGCCAACCACGTCCAGCGCTGCGGCATCCGCCGGCGAACTAACGCCCGCCAAGCGCAAGAAGCACAAACATTCCAAGTCGAATTCTGTGTCCGGTGACAGTCGCAAGTCCTCGCGCTGCAGCAAGAAGAGCAAAAAGAAGCGTCGACACAGCATCAGTCGACAGCAGCAGCAGCAGCAACAGCAACAGCAGCAGCAGCAGCAACAACAGCAGATACTGTTTATTGAAGAGGATGCGGAACTGCAGGGCGAGGAGATGCAATCTGAGCTGCGCAGCGCTCTGCACACCATTGATCCCAGTTACGCACAACAGATTGGTCAGCAGGTGTTCAGCATGATGGATAGCAATATGCGTTCGCGTCTGGTCGAGATTACGCGACAATATCGCAAAAAGAAGCGCAAGCTCGATGAGATATCCAAGCACAAGAAAAAGAAGAAGTGCTCCAAGCAGCAGCAGCAGCAACAGCAACAACAACAACCGCTTCAGCCTCTCCAGCAGCAACTACATCAGCCGCAGCTGATGCTGTCTAGCGTCCTGGGGTAAGTTCACATCTTACAATCTGATTTAACAATATTCATGTATATAAGTCAATTTTAATTTGTTCCCCTCACATATTTCTAATTGAGTTTTGAAAATGCATGCGTTAAAATCTCTTGAATTACATTTTGGGCAGAATATTCATTTAAGCATGAAATCAAAATCATGGTCATTTTTGTTTTTAATGTTAGAAATCTATCAAAGTTTCTTGTATAAATCAAAAAAATCGGAGTTGAGCTGATCTAGCTATGAAGAGCAATAAATCAGGGTTTGAAACATGTTTGTTACTTAACTATTTTATGCGCTTTTGTCTGTACACTTCCGAATTTGTTTTTGTGGTTAAATGTGCATCAAATTAATTGCTGTAAATTTTCCATTAACTAGGACTGCTTCACCGATGCGCGAATACAAATTCCCGCAGTTCTCGAGCGGCAATCTGCAGGCGTCTACTTTTACGCGTTTTCCGGAGAAGACGCACTCGTTTCCACCGCCACCACCGCTGTTGCAGCAGCCACAAACGGAGCCCAGTACCTTGCCGAGCAGCAGTTCGCCGAGTACATCGTCGTTTGTGCGTCTGGAGCCCAGTGCTCTAGATGCTGCTATTGCTGCAGCTCCAATTACCTCGTCGAGTTCTTCCAGCTCCTCACACAAACATTCGCATACCGGCAGCACAAGATCGGCGGCGCGCAAGGAGCGCAAGCTGAAAGCGAGTACCGCCGACGCACAGTTGGCGACGGAAGCAAAGCGGCGACTCAGCGCCGCCGATGTTGAACTTCAGCTGACCAGCGAACATTTGTATCGCGACGAGACGCGCGTGTTGACCGACATGGGCGGCCTGTTCTATGCGGGCGTCATGAAGCCGCTGCGTCCGCCAGATGTTTATGCCATTACACTCGATGGCGAGCGTGGCAATAAGTCGCATGTTATGTCACGTGAGGATATACTTAAGGATACGGTGAGTAGCAAGCAATCTGTCGTAAACTATTGCAACTAATTCGTTACTTCCACTCACAGATACTCGAGGTGGCACCCAAGAGCGTGGACAGTGTGCCAGTTGGTACCCGCTTGTGCGCCTACTGGAGTCAGCAGTATCGTTGCCTGTATCCAGGGCGTGCCATCGAGTCGGAGCCTGTCGAGGATGCAACTTCGGCAGTAGCGTCAGCAGTGCCAACGACACAACAGGACTTTGTCAGCGTGGAGTTTGACGACGGCGATAGCGGCAGGATCCGCTTGAAAAACATCCGCTTACTACTCAGCCATTATCCCATTGCAGGTGCGTTGCACAGGCTATAGTTACTAGTTGTGGAATGAAACTACAATTTGTGAACCCTTTTAAGTCAGATTTAAAAAATGAATATGCATATTAAGTGATCATTAACTGAGAACTGTAGCAAATGTTAAAATGATATTAGCCAAAGGACACGGTTTCAAATTCAAATTACGTTTGTGGTTTCATTCTCCATTTACTATCCTCTTTTGTGACTTCTCTGTTTATGACTTTATAATTTACTATGTTGTTGTTTTTTATCGTTTTGCCTTGATTCGTTTGCGCCCCACGTTCCTGCCCATGGTCTCTGGTACAGAGTACAACGATAATCCCCTTTACTCTGTAGGCAAACAGAAGCGTGGAGCGCTTCGTAGTGGCGACAGTGGCGGCTCAACAACAGCAGCCACAATGGAGCATGCGGGCGCGCCGAGTGGAGAAGAATCGCACAGTCAACATGGGCTCAGCATGACTAGCGACAACACAACCTCACTGGCTGCTACCATGGAACTGTTCACGCAGCGCAGTGAGAAGAAGCGCCTCAAAAAGAGCCTGAAGAAGTTGACGAAAGCTCAAAATGGTATTGGCCAGTCTGCGGAATCAAATGGCTATCAGAATGGCGGTGGCGAGTTGGCTGCGGCTGGGGATGGCGGCTCCACCCTTGATGACGGCAGCCGCAAGCATCATAAGCACAAGAAGCGTAAGAAGCATAAGAAACACCATCGCAAGAATGCCAACGAAGATGCTGAGCCGGCTCAGGAGCAGGAACTGCATCCGGAAACTATACCAGCAGCAGCAGACGAGTCCGCAATTGCTGCGCCGGCAGCGGATCGCGTTAAGGTAGAGGTTAAAGTAAAGGCGGAGCAGCTGGACATGGAGGAAGAGACTACGTCCAACCTAATGTCAGAGGTATCCGATGAGGTAAAGTCTAAAATTATACATGGGATACAATTACTAATTCTGATCTGTTTGTTCCAGGTCAAGGGCGACGATCTGGTTGAGCACAACAACTCCAAAGGCAGCAGCAAAATTGCAGCTTTCCTGCCAGAGCGGCAGTTATGGGGTTGGTTTGGCACAGCCTACCGCAAGGCGGGCGTCAAGGGACGAGCCAGAAAGCAATTCTACAAAACAATCAAAAGGGGCAAAGAGACTATAACGGTAACAAATCACAAGAAAATTCAAATCTCAATATGAGTTAAATATGTGTACAATCGTAGGTCGGGGACTGTGCAGTATTTTTATCCACGGGTAGACCGGATCGCCCCTATATTGGGCGTATCGAGTCCATGTGGGAGACCACCGCTGGCAATAGAGTGGTGCGCGTGGCATGGTTCTATCATCCGGAGGAAACCACGGGCTGTCCAAAATTGAAATATCCGGTAAGTGCTTTAACCTTTATCAAATTTGTTTATAATAAGGAATCAGAACCGACCTGTGTTGTCTGCTTTCTCCAGTTTTTCCTCTTAAACATTGATTAACATTTAAATATTTTTCTTCTAACAGGGTGCTCTATTTGAATCGCCACATGAGGATGAGAACGATGTGCAGACAATTTCGCATCGGTGCGAGGTGCTTCAACTTGTTAACTACCAAGACAAGTTTGGCACCGATTCGAAGCAATATCAAACCATATATGATAACAATGATACATATTATTTAGCCGGGCACTATAACCCAAGGTTGCAAGTGCTGAAACTACAAGACGATATTCCAACTCTCGAAGAGCTGCAGGATACTACTACTACTACAACTACTACTACTACAGAGAATTAAGCAAAGCGTGGTTAGGCTTAAACATAGACATAGCCGAAGTGCATAAAAAATCTATATAAATATATATATATATATATATATATACGTTAGACATATATTTTACAACACGTGAAACAGATGAAGTATATATACACATATTATTTCTATATATTTTAAAATTAATTATATACCGTAAACAAAATGAGAAAAATCTAAAAAAAAAAAAACAAGTGAGAAATAGAGGACAGTTAGAGAGAGAACAAGGAACTAAGAAACAGCCACTAAAATAGTGTATAGTTGAGAGAGCGCAAGCAATTTTAAGGTTTAATTTGTATAAACAAAACGCGCGATTATTATTACGACGATGATTTGAGATTAAGAGAAGTTCTTACAATGTTCAGCAAATGTTTACAGATGAAGTGTGTGTTGCGTGTTGCGAAATTTGTGACCCTGTGCTACACACCCCTGTCTACATTTGAGACCCACAGACACTGACACAGCAACATGCAACACTCAACGATACATGCAACATGAAAACACGCAACACAAAAATACAATCCATACACAGCCCACAGATACACATGTATACCTATATGTTTCAGATGAAATTTAACACACGTTTTAAAGATTTTAAGCAAGCAACAATGCAGCAACTACTACTATAAATGTAACAATTCAATGTGATAGCAAAACAAAACCAGATGTTGATGTGTATAGATGAGAAAATAAGCATAGATGATAACGAAAAAAAACTTACAAAAACCAAGCAAAAGAATGTGTTGAATATTTACAGCTCGTTTATTCAAGTAAAACAACAAAATATAAAATCAAACCTATCTATAACCACACATATATCAATAAACTTGCCGTGATTATTGTATTATATTAACGCTACCAGGTCTGTTTAGCAACTGCTACTGGGTTTAACTTTATACGCTACTGTGTATATGTATATATACCACTCCCAAAAGATATGGGCTTCTTGATTTTGGTATGCTTCACAATTACAATATGCTGCTGTTCTGGAAGTTATATTTATGCATATTGAAAATTTATAAAAAATGTATTTCAAATTGATAACGAATTTAAGTACAAGCCGACTTATAAGCTAAGCAACAAATTCACATTCTGCTTGGAATGTTTCTAGCTTTTTACCCGTGCACCTATAAATCTTTTCACTATCATGTAGTGCAAATGAAATACTGATAAATGTCTGTCTGTCAATGTTATTCAATGACTACATAATGGTTTGGCGTGAGCTGCGCTGTGCCTGCTGCCAGAACTAAAGCTCATCCAAATATTGGAAGTTTTTAGTCACCCAGAAATACTAACATATGCGTGCGTTGCCAGGTGACTCGACCTCGCGTCCTGCCATCGATTAAACATTCGCAGAAAATTGGCATTTGATAAGTCGGGTTAGACGCTGGAATAAGGAGGGCCAAACGAATGCGTGCCTGGGAGACACAATAATTAAAAAGCTATTTAGAGAGCGGGGTAGGTGATTGGCTAAGGAGTGTGTGTGTGTGTGTGCCCGGTCGGGGCAACTCTGAAAATGAGCACGACACCAAAATGGTACTGCCGCAACAAATCGCAGCCAATGCACACGTTCGCGGAAATCGGCAATCTGGGCCTGGAGCTGCGACGCATCACAAAGCGCATTGTAATCGATGTGAACTCGTCCATATTTAGCGAACATGTGAGTGCCAAGAGTTAGCAAGTGGGTTCTATTCATTTATTTGTGCATACCAATTAGGATACCATTTTGGAGGAATGCGAGCATGTGGTGGAGCTGTACTGGAACCTAAAGGACGAGACGAAAAATGCGGACTTTCAGTCGCTCTCGAAGAAGATCAAGCGTAGCCCGTACAATGCGCTGCTCATGCGAAAGTTCAATCTGATCATGGAACTGAACGACAGACGCTTCTGCCAGTTGACCTTTGTGCTCAAGCGGACGGTGAGGGTTTTGATGGTTGTGTGTAGATAAGTTTGCTATTTACCGATTTCTTAAATACCGTTGCAGCTGTCGCTACTGCTGCGCAAGTCGATGCAGTCAGAGATGTGGCTTAACTGGGCACTGCACATCACCCAGCTGTATAACAAGTGCCGCAATGTGAACACGTCGGAAAATCAGATTCAAGTGCCGCCTCAGTCAGAGCAGGATGCCCATGCGGAGGATGAGAAGGAGCCAAAGTTGAGTGGCAAATGCAAGGAGGAGATGCATGCCAATGTTTGCAGTAACATGTATCCAGCTCTTTTAATGTCCCTTAAAAACATCGACTTTGGCTTTGTACTGCAGGTAAGCTAGCCCGCAATCTACCCCAAGTTCTTATTAATAATGAGGACTTATCAGTATGTGGCCCAAACGCGCGTGGAGCAGAACGCACTGGACCTGGTCTTTGGCCTCTTCAACATGGGTGAACAGGATGCGTGGCGGGAGCATCAGCAGCACAACAACGAATCCACATCCTCCAGTCTCGAAATATTGCGCACCTTAAACATTTCATTTGCTGCTGGCGATTATCAGCCGTATTGTGACTCTGCACAGGATTACAAGTCCATGCAGCTGACAGAGGCAAATGTGCAAGAGGAGCAAGCAAAGGGTCAAGATCACCAGAGTTTGCGCTGCAAGCATACCGAGACTTTTCTGCAGAAGGAGCGCATTTTCATAGCACAGCTGATAGCCAAGGCAACTGAAATATGTCCAACCATATTTGGTATGTTCAAAATAAAAGTATATAGCCTTAGACTATGATCCATACTAATCACGCACAGATAGCCGCAAGGTAGGTGATGTGGACGTGAACGCATATATTGTGCGGGGATTGCGTTTGCTCTGGTCATATGTCGGCATCATTTTGGATCATATCCTGCTCTGGTGGATAGACACACCCATGTCCTGCTATAATCTCACCCACATTGATTCCATACGCTGCTGGCTTTATCACCAGAACGTTAATGGTATGATTAGCAGTTTTAAAATATATCACATTTAAAATGGGCATTCCTTAAAGATATACCCGAACCGGTTTATTCCACATTACGTGGCATTGGTGAGATTCTAACCGGTTTTATATGCAACAACATTTGGGATCAGCTCTTTCGTTTGGCCCTCATCACATCTAGTAATCCAAAGCGTTTGGTCCAGCAAGTTGTTGAACAATATCGCGATTCTCCAAAGAATGTAAGTTTCAATCGAAGATTAATCTACAAATATTAATTCTCATATTTTTCACTGTAGGAACATGGCACACCTACGGGCACTGTGTGGATCAGCGTCTTTTCCAATTTAGTTAACCTGAGTAATCAGTATTTTGCCAATACAGACGCTCATAATAATTCCAGTTTACTGCCAGTCGCCGAGCAAATACCCATACTACATAGGATGGGTATGTTTAAAGTGCATATGTTTATTTTCTCAAATTTCACAACATCCATGAAAAATAATATTTTGAATTTAAGATCACTCGGTTCACTCGATGCGGTTGTGGGTCACCGAGCAGGCGAAGCTGCTTTGCTGCGAGTGGAAAATGGATCGGTTCTTTCAAATACTGGAGCACGATGTGAAACTATGCCTGAATGTCTTCACCACATTTAAACTGCCCAAACTCACTGCCGATTTGAGTGACATACTCATGCTGGTGTGCGTGGCTCTGCGCACAAAACTCATCACTGAGTCCACAAATAATATAGATTTGCTTAAGGTAAATCAACAAAATATATATAAAATCCAAGAATTGCTTAACTATTACGCATACTTTGCCAGAAAACAACCGATGAATGTGTTCAGATATTGTCCGCGGTCTGCCGCGTTCTCAGCTTGGCCAATTTTTCGCTGTGCTTCCCCGCCGCCAGTCACTGGCAGCGTAGCGTCTACAACAATGAGAATAAGAGCTTGTATGTTGGCTATGTGCTGGATGAAATATTTTTGCCCACCATACGTGCCACCAACGATATTGTCATACTCAAGCTTGTGCTAAAACTGATATGTGAGGCCTGGCTGGATTTTATCTACCAGAAGCGCATACGCTTCAGTGTCAATGGAGCCGTCCGGCTCCTTAACGATTTTGATGATGTACGCGAGTGGATTCTGGCCTGTACACTGCTGGACGAGGAACAGCTGGACAAGCTGAGCAACCATGAGGTGCTGCGTATGTGCAAGGGTGTGGGCAAGATATTGCTGCGCAAGCCAGAAGACATCATTTCCATTACTCAGTCGCCCCGATTTGACAAGAAGTCACGTAAGTTGTGTGCCCGGCCAAGATATATGTTTACACTAATCGAATATTTTTCCATTTGACAGTGGATGCAAGTGGCCAGGACACACAGCTGCCATCGGAGATGTTTGTCTCCAATCAGAAGCACTGGCTCCAGTTGCGCGCAAGTGGCGGCAATGGATTTCCTCTGCTGAAGCTATGCTGTGGCGACGCCCTCATGTAAACAATAGAAATGTTTATTGTGTCGCGTAAAATGCTATACAAAATATTGAAAGATCTAAGTACATTGTTGTGTATAAAGTAAGGCGTGCCTATAGTTATGATCTTAAAAGTTATTAATTTCTCGCCGTGCTCTTAGGCGGGGACTTTGCGACTAATTATCTTTATCAGCTCGTCGCAGCGCTCGCTCTTGCCAGCAAATTGTTTTGGATGCGGTCCAATCATTTGAATAATCATCTGTACGTCTGGCGATACCTAAGACAAATGAAGAGACAAAAATTTTGACATACGTCAGTTTAAAATGGCATGCTGCGAATATGGGTCAATACCTCAAGAAAACGTGCTAGCGCCTTCAGCGTGCGAAAGATTTGATCTTCGTTGGGACTGCTTTGGAAGAACTGTAGTATGGCCATTGCCAGCTCTACGGCAATGTCATCAAATACCTAAAGATTGGATATAAATAGTTAATATGAGCTGATAGTCTTAGATATTATGTTTCCCTAGTTATGCCTACCACAGTTTTCACTTCTTTGATTGCAATGTTGTACAAGATCATGGAACCAATATTCTTCAGCTGCGGACAATTGGAGAGTATGCAATGAACTGCCACCTTTGTGGTCACACGTATATTTGAAATAGTCTGTCCATTATAATCCCATTCCGAAATATACAGCAGCCATTCTGATGGGCCCAAATTCTCAAAGAGATTGCATGTCTAGCGGTGTGAAATACAAAGTAAATCTTGATTTGTCATGCTAAAAAGTGTGCAATGTGTGGTTGAACTTACAAACATTGCCCAAGCCTGTTGCTCCTCGGGTGTATGCTTGTCAATATCCTGGGCAAAATTCATCAGCGTGTGATCTCTACGATCCTGATGCAATATTATAATCACATCATCCTTCAGCGCCGCATAGGCCAGCGTCCGCAGCATATGTATCCGCGTGTCCGGCGAGAAGGCCTGAACATCTCGCAGGACGCGCTGCACAAATACCAGGAAATTATCACCCAGCGCCCAGGAGCCGTCGTCCTCAATCAAATATTGATGCAACTCCTCCATCGCCACCTCCTCCTCTTTGGAAATTTTACCATCGAGTAATTTCACTAGGCATTCTAGTTCAGTCTTAATCTGCAAACAATACAATTTTATGTGTTTACTAACAATTCCATTTCGTTTCAATAATTAAATTAGGCTTTGGTATATATGTATATGGTACATTCTAGTAACCGGTTCTATCCATTAGTTCTTACATTGATGTCTTTGCAAACCAGCGCCGGTTCGCGTGGTATTTCTTTCTCCTCAGTTGACGTGGAACGTTCCTTGCCATTCTGCGGCTGCTGTTGCTCGGCTGTGGGCTCTGACATATCTGTCTAAAAATAGTAGAGAAAGAAAAATAAATTAAATTAATTTTTCATATTTATAAATAAAAAGACGACGCCACAACAACATCGAAAATGCAATATCAAACGTCATTTCACATATTTTCATCTTGTCTTCCTGCCGAGAAATTTCTTTCTTTTTATACCAAATTATTTTTTACGATCACCTATAGTCTTTATATATATTTATATATATATACGTACATATATTCTGTAATTTTCATTTAATTTGATCGGTAATGGGTACTCGTGCCGAAATGTTTATAATTTTGGCATCAGCATTTTTCGCATTTTTTTTTTTTTATAAACAAATAACCCGAAGAATTGAGAGCAGCTGGCGACTGAAAGGGAAAACAGGACTGGATACTTGTCAAACCAATGTGCGGCAGTAAAACTGACGACAACTGAAAATAGCTGAGGTATTTTTAGTGTTTCACTTTGCGTAGACAAAAAAAGGAAAAAAAAAAAAAAATATATATATATATATATATATATATATATATATATAAAGAAAATGTATAGCAAGAATAGGAACAAGTGAAATGCAATGTAGATATTTCAAATGTGTCCCATAAAATTAATACAAATTTTTCCGGTTGCTATTCTTAAAAATTATTATTGTTTGCTTTTTGCAGTTAAATTTGATAATTTATAGATTTTTTTTGTTACTCACATGCTATTTTAGTATAAGTGACACAGAAATTTTTACGCTTTGAATGGATAAATAAAAACGTGCCACGAATATTTCTGTTGCTTTTGTTGTATCTTTTATTTGGCTGTTGTTTATATAAATTGCACAAATTGTTTATTTATCGGGCGTCTATCTGATGTCTGTTTGCTATTGCTGCAACTTTCTGTATATGTAATTCTGAATTATTTTTTGAAATTCCGACGGGAGCTGTCTACGTTCCGCTTCCACTGAGAATCGTTTCGAAATTGCCCACTGTTTTTGCCGAAAATGTATCGAGAAGCGTGAGGAAAACTTTCCGAAATGCATAGGCATACATAAGAATGAAGAACCGGTGATTATACATGTTCATGTATGTATATGTATATATATCTGCGAGTGGGTTTTCGTGTCGGGTCTTTATAAATAGAAAGATTTCTCGCGGCTCTCACGAGAATTTGATGGCGTTGCAATTACACTTCTCAAAATATTTGATATTCATGTGATTTCATGTTTATCAAATCCGCAACTTAAAGTTCTGGCATTTTGTTATATTTTACTTATATTAAACCTTTGGTAAAGGACAAATGACAAAAGTCATTGCACGTGGGTGGGTATGTGGGCGGTGCCACAGAAAGGTCGGGAAAAACAGAAAATGCCATTAAGTGGCCACCAAAATACATTCCCTGCGCAGCAGGCAGTCCTGTCAGCTCCTGAAAGGAACAAGTCTCACATTGCGTACCCGACATGTTGACCAAGGTCCACAAACGCGAATTTCCGTCAATTGCTACCGAAGCGTTAAGCAGTGCAGGCGTTTAACGGTTTATCATAGTTAAAGCGAACCAGCAAAATAAATCCACTCTTAATATCAAAATGAGAACCACTTTGGAGATTTTCTTATGCCTTGCTGCGATTTTTTTATTTGCTTATTCTGCAGATGCCTCTCTAGAGACAGAAAACAATGAAGTGAATGTAAGTAAATGTGCCATAAAAAATGAACGTATTTGAAATATTAAATGCATTGTATTTAAATATTGTTTTAGTTGATGTAATAAAAGTTTTAAGTGATTATTAACTATGTTAGAAATAAAGATATAAAAAACAACAGTATATTTTATCGTTCAGTACTTCCGTTGATGTTTCAAATTATGTTAAATATTTGGTTTACTCTTAAAGCACAAGCTGAGTGGCGTTATACAATGGAAATTCGAGAAACGACCCTTTTGCAATGCATTCACAGGTGATTTATGCTCAATTTTAAGAAGTAAGTAAAATTTTCTAAGTTAATCTACCTTTTCGCAGGTTGTGGACGTAAGCGCACTTCGTATCCTTCATATCCGCCATTTTCATTGTTTAAGCGCAACGAGATTGAGGAAAAACCTTACAATAATGAATATCTATCAGAGGGCCTAAGCGATCTGATTGATATCAATGCGGAGCCAGCTGTTGAGAACGTACAAAAGCAAATAATGTCGCAGGCAAAAATCTTTGAGGCTATAAAGGAGGCAAGCAAGGAAATCTTTAGGCAAAAGAATAAGCAAAAATTACTCGAGAGTCAACATCAACAACAGCTACAAGACCAGCAGTTGGATCAGGGCGATAACAATTAAACTGGCATATCCCGAAGGTGCTAAATATCCCGATCAAATGAGTGGCAACTAAATACATACAAGCGTTCCTGTAAATATGTATCTCTAATATATCGAATAATAATCTATGCATTCATGCAAGTACTTTCCTATCTAAAAGATATAACAAGTACAATCATTGTGAGCATTTAATAAAAAGTGTTGACTCTATTCAAATAATAATAATAATCAGGAAAAATATTTTCGTATCTACTGATAAGGTGAATTTACTGTAATCAACTACTTACAAAGCACTATCTTAATCGAATTATGCTAATTAGTTTCACAATTTTGGGCAACATTGCATTCAGTTTAGTTCAGCACCCGCTTGGAGAGACGCACTTTGACGCCATTCTTTGGCGTCAAAACAATGCCGGAAATTTCAAATTCCAGCTCTCGCTTGCTCATCACTTCGATGTTGAAGTTTTGCAGTATCTTGACAATGGCCAGCTTGACATTCACTCGACCCATGCGCTGTGCAATGCAGATCCTGGGTCCCTCACCAAAGGGCATATATGCAATGGGATTGTAGTTCTTGGTTTCCTCAGCGAAACGATACGGATCGTATTTGTCGGGATCGGGGAAGTACTCTGGGTCCCGGTGTATGCCATGCAGTGAAATGACAACAGGAGTGCCTTTCTTGATGACATGATTGGTGTCGGGGATTGTGTAGTCCTCTGTGCATTCACGATTCAGTATCGGTAATCCGGGGTATTTGCGCAATGATTCCTGCAGACACAACTCCAAGAATTCCATTTTATTCAGCGCATCGTAGGTGATTTTTCCATCGTTCTGCTTTAGTGTCTCATCCACCTCAGCTTGCAATCGTTTTAAATGTTCCGGATACTGTGCCAGCTCATAGAGTGTGAATGCTGTTGTAGAAGCAGTTGTCTCCTGGCCAGCAACGTAAAAGATAAAAGCCTGGGCGGTAATTGTCTCCAAGGATATGCTCTTTATTTCACCTGCGAATGGAAAAAGTAATTTGTGATTGGCCTTAAGCCAAGGATTTCTATTTAATACTCACCATCTTCAGAGGTCTGAATGTTCCAGTTTTTATTTTCGTCATCATCGATGCTGCCCTTGTTTCTTAGCTGCATGAGCAACTGCAGCATATCCTTGCGAACAATGCCGTGCTTTTCGCGATACTCGATAGTGTCTTTGACAATGGCCAATAAAGCTACTGCCACAGGATTCCTTAATCCCATCCTAACCATGAACTTTGCAATTCTGTATAAAGCGATAAATTTAATTAATATTGAAGTAGTCTTACAACCAGCAGTTACTTACGATGGAATCAAGACTATTATCATGCCAATAAAAGCTGCAAAGCGATTATTTCGTCGTATAAGGGAAACGACTTTCTTAAATTTATTGTCCGGCTGCTCAAAACTGTTTACGTCCAGGCCAAATATAACAGAAGCAATAATGTCTATGGCATAGGTTTGTGTCACCTCCTTTAAGTCGATCTCCTTTGCACCCTGTTCGGGCAGCTCTTTCTGCAAGTGGGCCACCATTTTGTTGCCTATATCCTCCGAAGTGCTGTACATGCTTTTCAGCTTACCGGATGTAAAACAGGGCGAAAGCTTGTGCCGCATGGAACGCCAGCTCTGCCCTCGCAACGAAAAGATGGACGCCGACAGTGGATTTTTCTCCTCTTCAACGTAAACGCCGCGATCGTGAAAACTCGCAAAATCCTGAGTTAGGACACGACGTGCCAGTTCTGCATCGCGAACTAAAACCGCTGGCCGATAGAGCAAATAGGTGCCCAGAAAACGCTCCTTACTCTTCATGTACACATCGTAGATGGCCATGCCCATGCCCCTCTCCATTCTCCAAACACTTGCCAAACAACCAAATGGTATACCCGCATCCTTATCATACGGAAAGCCACGACGCTCCCAATATGAGTATTGGTGCTTTAGATAGTACCAGCCCAACACCAGCAGTGTTATGATTAACAACCCCAACGATAACATTTCAATATGATCAATATGCACGCAACGCGAGTAAATATAAAACGCTTCTGACTGCTTTCAGCACATTGCATGTGTAATTTATACACTCTCTGATTTCACAACATTCGTGCTCTTTGTTGTCAGCGCTTTGTAAAAGTTACCAGTAGAGTTATCTACAAAAATTTGTTAAGGTTATCAGATTGGACTCAAGCTTGTGGTAGATATTCAAAACCAGCTAAACTTGGGGTAGGTTCAATTAAAAGTCTCCGTATAGTATTTATAAGTCATTATCGTTTCTCATCTTTCGACTTTTTAGTCCGAATAAAATCATCAAGACTGTAACATAACATCGCAACCTAACATGCTATGTACTTAACATTGATCTCGATGTTAAGTCGATATCAACGGTGTGATCACTAACTTGAAGAAGCAGAGAGGAGTCGTGTTCTGAAAGGAAAGGTATTTTAGTTTTGATAGCCACAATATCAGAATTGGGATAAAAAATGCAATTCACATTCAATTAATATCAATCTCCAATATCAAGGACGTACCGGTAGCCACTCTAAAAAAAATGGTTGCTTACTCTGGGTCTACAAACGAAGGCGCCAAAGCCGAAATGCTGGCGCGATTGAACTCGGTGCCAGCAAGTGAGTTAGAAAATAAGATTTGATTGAGCAGCTTCCTAATATCCCAAGGGAACATTTTCGAAATGCAACTTGACGAAATCTTCAAGGGCACCAAGTGGTGAAATAGCTTCAGCGAAGAATTTACTCGAGCAGCTACGTTTGCAGGCGTCAGTATCGATGCCTATTCGCTGGCAAGCGGTTGAAAATAACGGTGAATGTATGGAGGGAGGTAGCTGACAACGGGGGCAGTCAACGGTGGTCGCCGTCAAGTTGTCGCCAGCATTTTCGTCGACGGATTTCGATCGTAATTTTTCAGCTCGCAATTGGATCAGACAATTGGAAAATGTTGCCGAAATGCACTAATTGACTAAGACACAGCGCCGCTTTTATGTTTAGCCAGGCTTAAGGGCGATGCATTGCTATGGCACGTATTGTCAAACAATTTGTTGAGTTATTAGAGAACTTAATGATTGCGTTTGGTGGGAAGATGACTAAAGCAGAACTACGACGCAAGTTTGAGGCTTGCATATGGAAGTCCCAGGAGAAGTTTGCAATGTACTTTGAGCGCAAGACATTGATGGCTCAGGAATTAGACATGTATGACGAGGAGTTGCTGGATGGC